CCCTACTCCTAGCGAGTAGCACCTGCATAATGAGCTAAACTTTCAAGAAACGGGTTTATTGTGCAGTAAAAGACCATCGGAAGCTCAAGGCTGATGATTTACGTTTTTCAAAGTAATCAAATTATTACATCATAATAAAAACATCCGAAATACAAATCAGTCAATCTGCTAATGATAGCATCATAGAACAACGTATGAAGATTACTGATTATAATACAGAAGGAATCAACTTACGCCTGTATAACAACTGAATGGATTTATGGTAATTATTCGATCTCCTTTTGCATGATGACTTCATTTCGCCCTACTGTTTATAGTGTGCCATTGATTATTTAGCTATATACGAAATACGGAGACGGTAAGCAGTGCTCAAACCTATGCTCTCTCTCTCTCTCTCCCTCTTTCTCTCTCTCTCTCTCCCCCTCTCTCTCCCTCCTTCCCTCCCTCGCCCTCTACCCCCTTCTCCATCTCTCTCTAGCTCTTTCTTTCTCTAGGCACTCCCTCCCTCTCTTTCTCTAGACTCTCTCTCTCTCTCTCTCTCTCTCTCTAGGCTCTCTCTCTCTCTCTCTCTCTCACTCACTCTCTCTTGCTAATTTCCTGCTCCCTTTAATGTTTCATCAAAATATGGTTAACAGATTTTAAGGATGTTGAGTCGCGGTTCAATCTTGTTTGGAGCAAAAAGAGCGTTATCATAAACTGATATGGTACTTGAAACACAAAGCCCTTCTTACTTTCGGAACCATACAGAGTCCGTCTCTCAAGGCGTGTGAGAGTTTCGCGATACAACTGGGACGAAATGGCAAGCGCGAAGTTTTAAGGGGGAGATGTCTAGAACCGATCACTAATTTTCTGCGAAAGTACTATACACGTATTCCCATTTTAAATTTTACTCCCACTGAAAAATTATCCATTATTGTGATACAAATTGCCTTTTAAAACAAATATCTTTCATAAAATAACGTAAAATGTATATAATAATATTTTTAAAAATAAAAATGATCTTGTGAACCAAAATATGAAAGCAGCAACTGAAGTAACATCAATTTTGATTACCGAGCTTCGTATTGATGGGTGGGTAACAGTTTACCTCATGTAATGAGAAGTGTTCATGTGACGTATTTATCATATTAAATGACGTCCATGCTAAATTTATGAGTTTTGGGATAGGGAGCACAGTACATGAGTAGGCTTACTTCGTCCATGTCCTATTCCAATACCAGTGTGTGGCAGTGGCGCCTCGAGGTATTATTTCGCCAGGGATAAATAATGAAATTGCATCCACAATATATATATTTTATTTACGATAATATAAGTAACACACATGTACCATAATCAGTTAACAACTTAATTATTCATACCCCTTGTAAAATTGATGCTTGTGTGCCTTTTACGTAACTCGAGAATGAAAGGCGGAATGGTTGAATTAGGGCCGGTGTTGAACGCTTTTAAATGTTGCATTCTCAAGAAACTCAAATCAATTTTTCACATCATTAAAACATGACAAAACGTGGTATGGGTATGAATAATCTACTGCTTAATATAACTGTATAATTCAATAGTACATGTTTATATCATTATATATATATATATATATATATATATATATATATATATATATATATATATATTATTATATATATTATATATAATAAATGAGAAGCGAACGAGTGGTATATTTTTCTTTCCTTCTTTTTGTTGTTGTTGTATTTTTAACCCTCTCAAAAGTTTTACCCTTAGTAAATTCACAAGGGAGTCATAGGCGTATACGGGCATAATAGAGGTAAGGCCTCTTGGATAAATATCAACCATCCTGTGTATACATTTCGCGAGTGAGCGAAGCGAGGGAGACAAAATTGACACAGTCATTAGGCTAATTCGCAATGAAAAAAACACTACATAAGATGAAAGTTGCCCAATTATTGGAAGTTTAAACCTTCCCTACAATCGAAGAGTATATACTTTCTAATTTTGAACATCGATAAGCTGTCTTTTATTTAATTTTTCCTCAAATTTGATGCAAACTCTCAGGGGAAATATCGAATTTTAGTAAGGTAACCAAAACTTAAGATTTCCTTTAGATGTATGTTTTTTGCAATTACCATTTTATACTAGGCCTATATTAGAGGCCCAATATCTAACAAACGCTGAATCAGCATCAGATGCGACATTTCATGATAGGGAACAAAGCAACAAGAATTACAAATTTCGAACCCTTTCCTATTTGGGCCACAAAATTAGAAGACCCTGAAGTAATTATGCGAGGGAGCGAAGCGACCGATGATTCATTTTAATTCCTCAAAAAGCCTAGTAAGTTCTAATGAACTTTAACCTCAGCACTAAAGTGTGGGCGCTTTAACTACTGGTACTTACTTTTTTTTGTTCTTCCTTTCCTTCTCTTTCTCTTTTTTTGTTATCATTTTTTGCGCCCCCCTTTTTTTTTGCATCCCCCTCTTCATCACCTTAATATGCCACTGTCTGTTTATCTGTTTAAAGAATTGACGATGATAATATGATATAATTAACAACAATGATATTTACGACAGCTTTAAAGCCTATCTGCATTATTTTGGCCACCGGGAGGGATAAGACCTCCCTGCGTGGTCACTGGCAGGTGGTTATCTCATCAAATCAGGCCAATCAGCTCTCAATTAACATAAGAAAAAGGGGACCATGGGGGACCAACGGGTACCGCTTAGGCATTGTTGGCTCTATAGAGGGCGCAAGTAGCTACAAGTAGTGCAGTCCCGCATTAGGAGAAAAAAAATAATAACATAGCTTGACTAGGCAGTTCTAAGGTAGAGAGATAGAGGGAGGAAGAGAGAGAGAGAGAGAGAGAGATAAAGAATGGGAGAAGGGAGAGGAGAAATTCGTAAGGGATGACATCGGATGCAATATTTTAGATCCTCTTAAAAAAAGAGCACATTAATTCAAATTTCTTTAAAATGCAGTCGTGCGCAGCATTCCAAAATAAACTGAGATTAGAGGTTGCACTATTATGTGAAGGGAAATGGGGTTCATAAAAAGGCCACCCCCCCCCCCCCCCGCCCTCCACTGAAAACCCCTTCATTGAGAAAGAGGAAAAGGGAAAGAAAGTAAAAGAGGACACGTGGGTGGGATTACCGGGGGAGGGGGACTCACGCCCCACCATGTGACCTTTCCCCTTCACTCTGACAATTCTGAATCCATGCACTCCTAGCTTGCGGATCCATGCAGGGATTGGAAAAACTAGCGCCGCCGTTTATGCATGCATACATTGGTCACGTGATCACGGGTGTCAAAAGACGAACGAAGTTTCCCAGCAGTTTCTTATGATTATATATACCAGTGGTACATTTTGTCATTCGATCTATATTTTGTTAGCATTTCAATGTCATTTAATTTCAAGTTTAAATTGAAAAGGGTCATCTATATAGCTAACCGCTGAAAAGCCTATATCGTAATTTATCATAAGTCTGTTCCAATAGTTCCTAACGTATACTATATAGTCAGGGGCGGGTCCAGCCGGTGGCGAGGGGGGGGGGGGGCAGCACAAAAATAAACACTTTTTTTTTACGTCAACACCCGTCCCCCTCTCCTTGAGCAAAAAAAAAAGGTTACCACCCCCCCCTTTTTTGCCAGGGGTGGGGACCCGGTACCCCCCCCCCCCCCCCCATGGATTCGCCACTGCTATAAGTCATTCGGAATGGACGGTCCTGGACTCCTGGTACCTTTACCCAACTTGGCGCCGCTAAGTATCCCTAATAATGAGTCCGTCCATCTTGAGAAGTTTGGGTAATTGTAGGCCGATGCCAATGATACAATTCTCATTTTAGTACAGGCAATGGGGATTACTTTGCCCAGAGCGATTACAAAAATTATCCACTCTTTCGTTCAATATTTACAAGAAAGAGTTATGATCAATCTCTACATCATCCCAAATTGGTATACTGATAGCGGGACTGATAGTATACTCCACGCTATCATAATATTATGATGCATCGATCTCTCGATCTCTCTTTAAAAAACGTTGTTACCGTGGTTTTTCAAGTTCATCATCCCAGCTTCCAACCTTCTCCCGTTATTCATACTCAGAATTTTAAACCCTCTTCCTGTCAAATTAAAGTTGCTTTAAAAAAAATTAATAGGTACAAAACAATCAATGTAAATGTGTTGTGCAAGGTAAAGACAAGTTGGCGCAAATTATGTTTATCTTGGTTTATCTGTACGCAATATTTAAAGAGGGCGCCATTTAATCATAAGTTGGGCACAAGCATAGTGTTAGTAGTATATCTCTATGGGCACAAGCAACTTGGATTCAGATTGTACCGACGACATTTTCTTTCTCTTTTGTCTTTCTTCCTCCATTTCTTTCAGGCTTTCTTTGTACATTTTTTTCTTTCTTAATTTGCTTCTGCATATTCTCTCTCTCTCTCTCTCTCTCTCCCTGCTTAAAATTGTCTCGATGTCTGGTTGTAAATTCTCTCTCTGTCTCTTCGCCCCTTTTTCTCTCCATACATTTGCATCTATTTTGGTTTATAATACAGAGAGCATTCCTTTCCCAACTCCCTGATGAAAGTAACCCCTACATGCACTTAGATGGTTAATTTAATCCACATAGGACTCATAAAACCGATCCTCACTAAGAAGGAAAAAGAACTTAATTTATCAAAATTTTGTGAGAGGCAGCAGAATCTCAGAATAACAATTGGTGTGGTAGTACATAAATTGTCTTTGGTCAGGACAATGTAATTTTATGCCATTTGTTATGTGGGTGATGACCACTTTTCAATGCAAGCCTCATTTATCAATGCATATTTTTCAATCTTATGTGGAATAACTGAGCATATACACAACTTTAAACGATCTTTTAAGATGTTAAGTATGACAATTATTAATTTCACAGTTTTAGAGAGAGGGTTAGTTATCACTCTAAACCTTGAAATTCACTTCAATATAGAACGTATGTTAATAATATTTACAAGGAATCATTACTACAACAAATGAAAGTAGGCATATAATTGTAAGTATCAAATGCCAAATATGTTTTACTACTTTATTAAAATATTTCCCTCCTCAAAAAAATACATATACCAAAAGTATATAATCTTCCTTTTCAGTAATCACACATTTTTAGTTACAATTTGTACATGTAATTAGTCCATTAGAAAAATATATCAAGTTTTGAAAAATATATGATTTTTAAATTATTTTTTCAATCATAACAAACAACACTTTAATACATTTTGCCATCAATCCCATCCTGAGGTGCCAGGGCATACTTAAATTAAAAGAAATTACATCCATGAATAAATGAATGACAAAATATGAAAATGTACATGTACATGGTTAAAAATCTGCCACAAGAGAGTTCTTCCTGTGACATAACCTGATATAAGCTAGATGCCGAAAGAAATATGGAACCTCGACTAGAAGCTTTGGTCTCTTCCACAGAGGCTGTAAGTACCATGTAAAAAGTTAATGGATGATATGCTTCTGGCGCTATGCAGATGATACAAGGAAAAAGAAGGCTGCCATATTCTCTGATAAAATCAATCTGAAACAGAGTTAGTATGCTACATACAGTTTAATTGATATTACTTATTTGCATGAAAAACATGTGACAATGAATGTTGTGAGTGAATTATATATTTCACTTTGATATTTCCTCTCCGCATGGCTTCCTATCTCAACTAATAAGATCACTGCAGCCTGATTCAGTAAAACTGAACAGTTTAGTGCTGTTTAGTCTACTCCCCAATTGTCTATTCCCATATGGTCTACACCCAGCATGTCTACTATCTACATGGTCTAATAATTATTCTGTCTACTTATCATTTGGTCTAATGACCATTTAGGCTAATAGTCATTTGGTCTAATCTCCAATAACTATATACTATCTAGTTTGTCTAATGCCCATTTTGTCTTCAACCCATCTGGTCTATTGCTCCTTTAGCCGAATTTCCAGTCAGTCTAATTCCTAGTTTGTCTAATGCCCATTTGGTCTTATGACCAGTCAGTCTAATTCCTAGTTTGTCTAATGCCCATTTGGTCTAATGATCAGTCAGTCTAATTCCTAGTTTGTCTAATGCCCATTTGGTCTTATGACCAGTCAGTCTAATTCCTAGTTTGTCTAATGCCCATCTGGTCTAATGACCAGTCAGTCTAATTCCTAGTTTGTCTAATGCCCATTTTGTCTTCTATCCATATGGTCTAATGATCATTTAATCATAAATAATAATAATATTCATCGAATAATTATTAGACCTCTAGATAATAGACAACATGGGCATTATACAAACTGGTTGTATACCAAATGGCAATACACCAACTGAACAATACTGACATGAGATACAATCAAGAATATAATAATTTTCAGTGATAATGAAACAAACGAAAATGCCATGCATGTTTAAACACATCATTTTCTCATAAATTTCATTAGAAAATAGAATGATTGAGGTAGTGAGAGCAATATGCTTAAACACTTTGTCATTAGAAATGATGTAATCACTATGGAGATAACAGTAGCTCAATCAAATTTGGTAAACATGTATATGAAAGTTCAAGATTTAATATTTCAAATGATGAACATATAACCATGCCTAGTGAAGGTAAACTTTAATACTGAAGTGTTACTACACATGCCTGAGTTGTTTACAGATAGTACGGTGAGGCTATGATATTTGGTGATTTGTTGGTGATGTCCAATGTATGTAATCAGCATTACAACTGGTCATGTCTATACACATCAATATATAATAATACATACAATGTATCGATTTAATCAGTCAATGACTAAAACAACAACGTTAACACAAGCTGTAATTCAGCTGGGCATAGAAAACATTGGAATACTGAGATTATCAAATACACATCATTATTGTTCCTAAAGTCTAAAAGCTGCTTGACATATCGAAATAAATAACTTCTCAGTATCAGAATTGCTTCAAATTAACAGCTTCTCGCAATCTGCAAAATTGATTTGTCATCTATGTCTCTTCAGACTTAAGCTGCAGAAAATGCATAAATATACTTATTTGACTTACGATAGTACATTCCAAAACAGACTTGTTATAAAGTAGTACTGATAGACAGTCAATACAAACCAACAGCTGCATACACTGAGACCCTGCTTCCACTCAATATTCATGGAATGCATGAACTGCACACAATTATATCCAATGCTCTTACTGTTTCAATCACATTTGTACTTTCTGCAATAATAGAACAAACATTTGTATTAGGTAGGGGCTACACAAAACCAGATTTGTATTGATATTATTCATTTGTATTTATTAATTGTGTGTCTGATACTAAATCTGAAGGAAAAAATGAATTACAAAGGGAACGATGATGTTATATATACAATGGACTGAGTCTAACTACTCTATTCAAGCTTTCTACATTGCTCTTTGTTTATACATGCACCCAAGTCTTAAGTAGAATTATGACTAAAATATACTTAATGTATTTTTTTTTTAAACTCAGTATTACATATTGTTGCCAATCTATGGAAAAACTAAATAATCTTTGTGCTGGCTCCTGCTACGCTAATCATATTAATGTAAAATATTCATACATACATGAATATGTAACATTTTGAAAGGTGAACTTATAGTACTGAACATCATGTTCTAATGCCATCTATGTTTCATTCTCATATACTATAATAGGAGTAATAATTAAATTACCCAATGTACACAGATAAAAACAATTACAATGATATAAATGGTACAGGCACTGCTTCAGCTAATAAGTAAATAAAAACTCTATCCCTCCACGAGTCAGACTAACCATCTTACACACGGAATAAGAAGAGGATCATCCGGTCTAGGATGAGATCCAATCACTGCGATACATTTCTTTCACGTCAAGATGTTTCCTGAAGAAATTCACAATTTTTCTCCAGGCAAACACCTGGTCTTTCGTTCCCTGCTTAGTATCACTGCCACCGAAGTCAGTCAAGTATACTGTTTGATTTTAAGGTAAGATACAGAAATAGATAGAAATCAATCTCTGATCAAAGCATAAGAGTTCTAATGCAAGAGTGGGAGACAAAAAAGTCCTGGGCCCCGTTGCACAAGACTTACCATTAATTTTGCCATCAATGGTAACTACCATGGAAACCTCAATTTTGATTGGCGGTTGAGCCCTGGTACCATGGTAAGTTTTATGCAACAGGGTCCTGAAGACATCGTTTCCATTTCTATAAAGTGATATTTTCACAGAAGTAGAGAATTATCCCTCCAAGGACTCCAACGTATTTGCGTGGTTTATTCCATAACTTTGAAAAGCGTAAATGCTCTGAAACCTACGGTACTATGAAAGAAATCAGTGGTTATTCAAAGGATGAGATGAGGTAAACCATGGCAATTTTTCTTCTCCTCTTTTTTATGTAGTAAACGAATGCCAAGGGTGGATGAAAAAAGTAACTGCATGCAACAATGGTCCTATACGAACTGATTTTATATGTGGGCTATAAGATACAAAAATGTGAAGTCCAATTCACCCAATGTGAAAAGTCTTTAGAACCGCTATTTCAATAATTACTGATTGAAATTTCTTTAGAATTTTCAACAACAAAAAAAAACTTTGTACACACATGCTCACAGACATATTATACACTTAAGTGAACAGGGAAAGCCTAATACTTACATTTAGGAGATTGAAGTGTGGTTGGATCATAGAGGCTGGAGATGGTGTTGATTGCTTGGTATGGGACCTCCAAAAAGTGACCTGTTCCAGGCAGTAGCTCAAACTCTACCAAATGACCCTTGCCAGCTTTCTCCAAACGATCTCTCAGCTTTAATAACACAAATGTTTAGATAAAGTTACAATATCAGTTGATAATGACTTGAGTTTCAGTGTTCTTTTCCTCTACAAACTTTCAAAAATAGTACAATCTCTTTCAAGCGAGGAACTGCATCAAAATGGCACTGTCACTTATGAATTACTTACCTCAGTGGTTGCCTTCAATGATGGGATATGGTGATCATCCGCATGAGCAAACAAGAGTAATGGACATTCTAAATTCTCCTCCTGTTTACAACATAAAGAAAGCAAAGATGATGTATTAGAATAAATTCAATTGATGGATGTCCAATGTTCTTCATATGTATACACACCAGGCTACTTAAAGGGAAAACCAATCTTTTCAATAACTTCAGTGGTATGGAAGCAGAAAAAACAAGAGAAACAAAATGACGAAATGTATAAATAAATCAGGCCAATAATGAGGGTGCAGCTTCGGCGAAGGACCCGTCTCCATAGGTAATCACTCTTGTCATAGAATAAAGAGCTAGACATTTGGTGCTCCATAAATCATTGGACTATGTTAGAGTTGAAACGAAGTTTAAATTAGTCCATTCTCTTAAACATGAACCTTTGAATTAGAATTGTTTTAAAAATAGAAAGATAACTTATCAAAATAGCTTTGAATTTCATTCACAGAATCATACAGGCTATGTTCGCATCAGGCTACAATATCTTATTCATTTCATGTAAAGTTACCAGACAAAAATTGGCGCTTTGCGATTTTTTGGCAAGATCGATGAAATTCTCACTATCCGTATCACTCTTGAGTGTAAGCCAGCTCTTGCCGTTCTCATCTGTCCAGGTCGTTAAGTACATCGACATTGGGCTGCAATCAAAAATGATAAATTTAGACACACATTCTGCAGAAAATTGGAATTATCCCTATTACAGTATGTGGGTTTTTTTATGGAACTACAATACTTAGTCCAAAAGCTTGTTCAAAGCAAAAAAATCAAGTAAAAAAAAACACAGTTAAAAAATATATATCTTTTCCTAACTATTTACAGAACTAAGACAAACTGAAGAGGAAATATTTTGTATTTGTATAAAACTATAAATGATAATAAATTTGTTAAAAATTTACCTATATTTTCATTTTTTATGTATCAAATTTCGGACGATCCTAGGATTTTCAGAAAATGTGGGAAGAGGGAGATTTCCTAACTACACTTTATACATTCAGGAATTCTGCTGGCCTTCTCTAGGCCTAACAAAAAAAATCAATGGGGATAGGAGAAAAAACTAGATGGAACTTCGACTGCGCGCAGTCGAAAGTGATGCCTCCGTCATAGAGCAATTTTACAAACCAAAATGGAAGAAATTTTTAAAATTCAAGTTCGGTTGTAATCCATTGACAGGGTCTCAGAATATCGTGATTACAAGCTATTACTCATATACATGTATGACCCTTTGATCTTTGACCTCATGACCCCAAATGCAAGGTACATACATGTTTTGAGTTTGATGGTAATCCATCCATCGGTTCTAATGATAATGCAATCACAAGCTATTTTTGCATACATAATGAGCCCTGTGACCTTTGACCTATGACCCCAAAATCTAATCAATTCATTGGATCTGCAAGTTACATACATGACCAAAGTTTGGTAGGAATTCATCAATCGGGTCTTGAGATAATGCGATCACAAGCTATTTTTGCATACATAATGAGCCCTGTGACCTTTGACCTATGACCCCAAAATCTAATCAGTTCATTGGCTCTGCAAGTTACATACATGACCAAAGTTTGGTAGGAATCCATCAGTCAGTTCTTGAGATAACGCAATCATGAGAACGAGACGTACGTACGTATAGACGTACAGACGGACGGACGGACAACCTGAAAACATAAATGCCTCCGGCTACTTCGTAACGGAGGCATAAAAAGGGGAGGGGCGTATTTTCTTACGAGTTAGCTCTACTCCAGGCTCTTAAGAGGGCTTTTCCAATAATACATCTGTGCTCTTTATCAAGCTCTACCATAGAGGCTAAGTGGCACTTACCCTGCAGGTTCGAGTAGACTCCCATCCAGGTTTTTCCATCCAACATTCACACACAGTATATCAACAAATCCAGCTGCAACCATGCACTTGACTGGCAGATCAAGTCTAGTAGCAGCATGAAGCATCATTGCCCCTCCATAGCAGGAGGATGTCATTCCTATCCTGTTCTCATCTAGCCGGGGATGAGCCTTGACAAAATCTATGATGCCCTAAAAATATACAAACACAGATATACATATACCTAACCATTAGACCTCTTTGAATAATTGAATTTAATTGAATTGAAATTTATTTCCATCATCATGACAATATATACAAAGATAAAATATGGAATTTCGTAACATGTAACATTACTAACAATATCAAAATTACATATAAATTGACATAACAGCATTCAAAATATAAATGGAAAATGGTGCATCCGTAATAGCCAGTAAGGCTTGACAATTGAATGCACCAGGTGCAGAAGTAATAATAACATCTACTTTAAAAATTAAAAAAAAAAAAAAAAAAGGAAAAATAAAAAGAAGGAGAATTAGTAATATAGGTGTAGTCTTAAAATAAATTATGCGTTATAAAGAGAGAGAAGATGTTCCTTGTAAAGTCTTTTGAAAGAATTATGTAATCTGACAGATTGTAAAAATGGAGGTAGGGAATTCCACATTTTTGGACCAACATAATGGAGAGAATCGGTTAGTATATTGGACGAAGCATTCCAATGATGGAATTTATCAGCATTTCTTGTGTAGTGGGTATGGACCACATTGTTAAGACTAAATAGGTGCATAAGGTTTGGAGGTAGTGAGTTTGAGAAAAATCGTTGCATCAATGACGCAATTTGCAATTTATTAATATCATAATTATGTAAAGTATTGAATTTTCTAAATAAAGGTAGTGAGGGAGCTAAGAAAGGGGAATTAGAGCAGAGTCGTAATGCCCTTTTTTAAGTCTATGTAATTTAAGTAACTTAGAGGGATGTTTCGTCGCCCAAACAGAATTGCAATGCATAATATATGGCAAAATAAATGCATTATCTAACATGAATAAGATACGGAGTGGAATAACAAATCTTAAGTGACTAATAATACTGACGCCCTGAGAAACCTTTTTTGTAATATAATTAATATGAGAAGTCCAAGATAGGTTTTCATCGAAAAGTACTCCAAGGTAATTAAAAACTCTACACTGTTTAATTAATCTGTTGTTGATAGAAATAGATACATTGTCATATACAGGATTTAGGTTCCTAGCATTTTTGAAAATAACAAATTTAGTCTTAGAAACGTTCAAAGACAGCTTATTGCAAACTAGCCATTCGTATACAATTATACATACTCCAAATTAATATTCAGTTTATGGGTTAATAGATCAATTTTTTTTTCTGAGGCAAGAATAGTCGTATCGTCTGCAAAAAGTGTGAATTTACAGAAAGTGAAACAGTTTAGAATATCATTGATGTAAATCAAAAATAAGAGAGGCCCCAAAATAGAGCCCTGATGAATGCCATAAAAAATATGATATTAGATTAAAAAAATAACAATGAAAATTTACAGATGTAAATTGCTTCCTTTCGGCAAGATAACTTTGAAACCATTTGTGAGGTAAACCTCTTACGCCGTAAAAATGTAATTTAACTAATAATATATCATGGGGTATAGAATTGAAGGCTTTCGAAAGATCCATAAAAACACATATTGCATGATTATTTACACTAACATAATGGACTATTTTATCATATAAATCAAGAATGGCAAGACCTGTGGAAGAATTTTTTCAAAAGCCATATTGCTCATGAGACAGAATGCTGAAGTGAACCAAAAAACTTGATAGTCTATTAAAAACTAATGTTTCAAGTATTTTAGAAAAAGAAGGCAGAATGGAAATAGGACGGTAATTATCAACATTATCTGTATCTTCCTTCTTGAACAAGGGAATTACTTTGGCGATTTTCATGTTTGAAGGAAAATCACCATTCTTAAGCAACAGATTACAAATATGTGTTAAAGGTACGAGTAAAAAATTGATTACAGACTTTAAAAGACGTGTACTTAAGTTATCATACCCTGAACTGTTTCCACTAGGCAAGTTTTTAACAATATTTAAAATTTCAGTGATAGTTACTGGTTTGAGAAATAAACTGTGAACAAAGTTACCTTGTAAATAGTCAGAGAATGAATGATTAGAGTCAGGAATGGACTTAATAAGGTTTTCTTCAATGTTGACAAAATGATTATTGAAAATATTTGCAATTTCTTTTGGTTCATTTACAGTTTTTCCTTTGTATTGCAGCGTTTGATGCATTGTACGATTCTTTTTACCCAAAATAGTATTCACAACGTTCCATGTTTTACGTAAATTTATCAAAATAATATTTTCTTTTAGAACATCGTTTTAAGGTATTTATTTTATTACGATATTGCCTATATTTGGATTTATTTTCAAAAGAAGGGTTTAATTTATATTTACCATACAACATGTTAGTTTTCTTAATAAACTTCAAAATAGCAAGAGTTATCCAGGGTTTTTTAATCTCATTTCTACGGTAGCTTTTCTTCTTTTGATAAGGTATATGCTTATCACATAACGATGTAAAACTATCAAGAAATATATCATATGCCGTATTCACATCACTTGATTGAAGTACCATGTTCCAATCAGTAATTTTTAAATCATTGGTTAAAGAGGCAACTGAAGTTGGGGTAATATTACATACAAAACACTTTGTATCGACTTCACTTGTTCTGCGTCAACCAATTATAGATGAAATACTAAATATAGGAAAATGATCACTAATGTCAGAAACACAAATACCCGAAACAAGACTATCATAGGTTGAATTTGTAAATATATTGTCAAGTAGAGTAGCTGAATCTATAGACAAACGAGTGGGTTTATTGATCAAAGGATAAAGTCCAAAAGAAAAAAAATGTTCAAAAATTTGCCGATACTTGAGACAAGGCCTGCCGATACTCGAGATAAGGCGTGTATTATCATAACATTTAGATTAATACATAGCTAAAGATATTGTAAGGTTTGCTCAGACTTAGTGACAATATGAGATGCCCAACTTTGTCATATTTTTGTTCATCGATAAGCTTAAAAATGTAGTATCAAGTGAAATATGTTTTTAAATGACGAAGGGATATGTGCATACAAAAAGAGATTCTTAATATAAAATATAACTTTGATAAAAAAGAAAGTTCTCTCAAAATAAATGCAACATTAGGGGCAAGAGAACTTCTTCAAAACTCACAAGGAATGCTTGACTGTCCATGTATACAGTTTCCTCTTGACTTTTGCGCCTGCTAGGCATGAAGTAATCAAAGGCAAAGACAGCAAACCCATGAGAAGCTAGCGTGGCTGCACGGTCGACAACTAGATTGGTGAGAAGACCTCGGATGTCAATAATGAAAGGTAGTGGATCCGATGATCCTACAGTGGAAAAAATATATAAAAAACAAACATTATTGCCAGTAAAAATGTTAAATTCAACGATTCAAGAATATGATATAGAAGTACAACTGACCGAAACCAATTCAATTCAATTAATAAACCCACATAAAAATGAAAAAAACTAAAAAGAGCTTTGTGTAATTATTTGAGCATACTTGATACTTCATATACGCTTGATACTTCTGCTAAAGTATGCCTTAACTCGATCTCCAGTTATTTCTTTTTTTTATTTTTTTAATAATATGACCTTAGTACTTTTTATCAATCATTAAAGCATGTTATTATTTGCTATGAATATGTTTATATTTTACACTGTTTTATAGAGGTTTCCATAAAGTACAATGCATTCAAACATACCTCTTTGTTTAGGCAAGAAGAGTACCCCTTCTGCCTCGCCCATCTTAACTGGTATCCTTTCAACATAGTCCGCTAAGAACATTCTTTCAAACGATGTAGAGGTGAGGACCTTCTCCTGACCTTCGTCTCCATCGATGAGCTCAAGTGTGTAACTGAAAGGCGTTGTGACATCCCATTTGACCAACCGAGGGTATTTGTGGGCCACCTCTGGGACCGGTTCCATGGCTAAGAAGAGGCCCATTGGTTCAATGCCCTCATAGCTCCCTCCTAGTGATGGTTCCTTTTGAACTATTCAAAGAGAAAATGTAATTTTAGACAATAAAGTATGCAGGACGCTATGCTATAGGCTACAAGCAATAGAAAACTTTTGTGCATTCTTTTAGGGCATGTATGATATAACATCAAGCTTTTCCCTCAAAACGACTTTGAAACTTGTATGTATATGGTACATAAAGATAGCCGATGAGAAACAAGAAATGGGTTGTTTTTACAGATAGTTCATGTATGATTGATTATGGACCTACAAACCTCTTACTTTTCCGTCTGCATCAGCTTTGTAGTGAGCTCTTGACTCAAATCTGTACTTCCCATTCTCTGTGTAGACATGAGCTTTGAGAGTGACCAGTTGCCCTGGGGACAACCCATTTGCCTCAATGTTGACAACCTCATCACACAAGCTGGACTCTGGATGCACACTCAGGGTTGGATTAGTTGGTCCTGTACTACTGCATCTGGAGGATGCTGCCATGTTTATAGTTTATTAGTTGCCAATCTTCAGAAACCTTTCAGAATGTTGGTCTTAAAAGAATCAAGAACAAAACAATTGATAAATAGACCTTGGATATACAGTGTGTTTCAGAAAAACAAAACCGAGAATTATTGATATTTTATCATAACTTTATCACAATTATAATTAATAAACGACACATATTTGTAAAGCTCCTCTTTCATTGAACTCACATGATGCATATTTCACGCATGAGTGGTTGACACAATTTGAAGAGAGGGTACAAAACAAACACATGTAAGATCAGCTCTGTTGCCTCTCTCTTTTCTTTATCTATCTCTGTACACATGTATACCGTATCTCTTTTTTCCCCGTAATATAGCCATCACAGGCGCGGATCCACGATTTCTTAGGGGTGGGACCATTTTTTTTTTTTGCTCCCCAAAATTTGAAAATCGTACACCCCCCCCCCCCTTGAGCGCCAGGGGAGGGGCCATCTCCCAAAAAAGGTAAAATAAAGAAATTAACGTGTTTTTACACATTTTTTTTCCCAGATCCGCCACTGAGCCATCCGGTTGTTGCATTTGGTTGGCTCAATAGGATATGTCAAGCGCTAATAATTATCAAATAGAGTCTAGATCTATGAGAATTCATACCAAAATTTAAAATGCAAAGCTAAGTTTACTTTAAATAATAAGTGACGTGACATTGCGACAAAATCGGAAGGCTTACCATAAACGAATGACTACCCAGGTCGTAACTTAATTAATTTAGTCCAGAATCTGGCCGATTTAATTTTGAATTTGATCTCCACCTCCCCTAGATTGGAGTAATTCAGGGCCGGCTCTCTCTAAATTTGGGTAGGGTCGGCTACCCAAATCAGAGGCTTACGGATGGCTATATTACGGGGAAAAAGACGCGGCCGGGCCAGGCATGGACAGGCCCCAGCCCGGGAGATGCACGAGCAAGGTTGAAGGTATTGCCTAGCCCGAGTTTTCTGTCTCTTTCGTTCGTTAGCCTCTGATTTGAGAGGAGCCGACCCTACCCAAATCAGAGCAGAGGCTTACGAACGAAAAAGACAGAAAATTCGGGCTATATTGCCTATTGGCATGAGCCATGATTGGAGTAATTCAGGGCCTAATCCAGATTCCAGATAAGAAACTTCCTCAAACTTACTCTTACCAATTTAACCCCCTGCAATAAAGGCGTATCCACAACTCTCTCCAGATCTCGGGGAAGTCAACCAAACCATATGGCATTGAGGGCGAAGATAATGCCAAACTCAAGTTAACAAAGCATGCAATGGATTAAATTTCGCCAGCGCGGCGCCAGCGCACAACTAGTGGCACTAGCTGGTACGGTCCGTTCGTTCCGAGACGACAAGGCGTGTCTCATAGAGCTCTGAGACACGCCTTGTAGAGTCACGTGACAAAGATAGCTGGAACGTCACCTGACATTTTGAAAGTGGAGAGAAAAGTTCCTCGATCGACTCGATCTCGACTATACAGAGATTCCCAACCCCGCAACCAGGGGCGGCGATTTCTTTTCATGACCGGGGGGGGGGGGGGGGGGGACGAAATGCGAGGGACGGGGGAGCTGTTTGTTTGTTGTTGTTGTGTTGTTGTTGTTGTTGTTGTTGTTTTGTTTTGTTGTTTTTTTTTGGGGGGGGGGAGAAAAAGATCCGCATCCGCATCTCCACTCTTACATGGTTCGTGAATGCAGGCCCCGTGGAACGTTTTTCAAAGTAGGGGGGGGGGGGAGCTAAAGTATTTTCGATCAGATAGAGCAAAACGAGCGAAGCAAGTGATTCGTAACTTGGCGTGGGATCCAGGGGCGTAGCCCAATGAAGCCTCAGGGGTTTTAGGCATTAAGGGTCAGCTGATCATCCAGGGGGCCGCCTTGGAGCGCCTTAGTGGGGTTCAGGGGGCAGAGCCCCCGGAAGCTCAGGATTTTGGGGCATTTAATCACGGTCAGATGAGCAACCAGGGGCCAGCCTAGCTTAGGGCCCTTGGTGGGGTCCAGGGGGCAGAACCACCGGAAGCTCAGGGAAAAACATGCCATTTCAGCAACATATGTAAATCACTGGTATCGAGTTAGAAATAAACCAAGTTTGCATTTTAGCAGGGGGGCAACTACCCCCCCCCCCAATCATTACGCGAGGACGAGGGAGCATAGTGAACGAGAGGGAGAGGGGTGAAGGTAACGGAAGTGACTACCCCCCCCCCCACATGTTTTTGAAGTATGGTTGTATTAACAAATTACATTCATTAGCATAACAATAGTACAAAAACAAGCAATATACATTTTTCACACTTCACTTTTATAGAATATTTACTGTACACTAATTTTTGAAGAATATTATGCGAGGGAGCAAAGCTCCCGAGCGAGAAGATTTTTGCATTTTTATTTTTCTTCACGCTGCACTCTTGGGCCAGGGATAAATAATGAAATTGCATCCGCAATATATATTTTATTTACGATAATATAAGTAACACACATGTACCATATCAGTGGCGCATCCAGGGGGGACCCCCCATCCCCCCCCCCCAGGGGAAAAAAACGTGTAAAAACACGTTAATTTTACCTTCTTGGGAGATACCCCCCCCCCTCCTAGAGCTCAAGGGGGGGGGTGCAAATTTTCAAATTTTCGAGGGCCAAAAAACAGCCTATATTTCTAATGAACTTTAACCTCAGCATTGTGGGCGATTACTGATTATCTCTTAATTGTTCTTCCTTTCCTTCTCCTTCTCTTTCTCTTTTTTTATGTTCATTTTTTGCGCCCCTCTCTATTTTTTGCATCCCCTCTTCCTCCCCTAGATATGCTACTGTACTGTCTGTTGATATTTTTAAAGAATAGACGAATATGATACAATAACATTAACAACAATAATATTTACGACGGATTTAAGAGGAAAAATAATAACACAGCTTGATTAGACAATGCTAATTAGGGAGAGAGAGGGAGAGCGAGAGAGAGATAAAGAATGGGAAAAGGGAGAGGAGAAATTCGTAATGCATGACATCAGTTACAATATGTTGGATCCAATTGAAAAAAGAGTACATTAATTTGAATTTCTTTAAAATGCAGTCGTGCGCGGCGTTCCAAAATAAACTGAGATTATAGGTTGCACTAAGTGAAGGAAAATGGGGTTCACAAAATGCTCCTCTCCGCTGAGAACACCTTCATTGAGAAAGAGGAAAGGAGGTCAATGAGGACACAGTGGATGGGATTACCGACGGAGGGGGACTCACGCCCAATCATGCAACCTTTCCCCTACACTCTACAAATTCTGAATCCACTACTAGCTTGCGGACCCCCCCCCCCCCCCCCCCCACTCAGTGTTATTTAGGGTACGCGAATGCATGTTCCCTCTTTTTTTTAAAAGCACCCCCTATCTCCGGTGTGAAAGTCAATGGCGGGCCGGACTTTGTCGCGTGAAAAGTACCCCTTTGGTACCGGAGATTTTGGGAACATGCATGCGGTCCCTCCGAACCCGGAGTTGGGGGGGGGGGGGTTGCGGATCCAGTGATTGGATTATGCATGCATACATTGTTCACGTGATCACGGGCGTCAACAGACGAACAAAGTTTCCCAGCAATTTCTTATAATAAATTATAGGTCCTAGCTCCTGAAAGCCTTTAGTTGTTAATTGTGTTATCCGATCTATTTGTTAGCATTTCAATGTCTTTTAATTTCAAGTTTATGCAAATTAAAAAAAGGTCACCTAGCTAACTAAACCTATAGGCTAAAATAGACTAAATGTATAGGCTACATCATAATCTATCATATAAGTTTGTACCAAGTTTGTATTCCTGCCATATAGTCATCTGGAATGGACGGTACTGGTACTATACCTTTACCCACAACTTTGCGCCGCTAATTATGTATCCCTAATAAATCCGTCCATCTTAGTTTTGGTAACACTCAAGGGTGTCGATTTGTATCCGTGGTCGGGGGGGGGGGGGGAGGATGATAGGTGCCAAAATATTTTCGGCAATGGATCAAAGCAACCAAGAGGTAGACGCGTGTGGCAGGTTGCACCCCATCCCCAAGCGTGTAGCCAGGATTTCATTTTAGGGGGGGGGGGGGGGGTAGTGAGCACGCGAAGCGCGCTCCCTAGGGGGTTGGGTGCAGGGAGGGAGGAGTTTCCCCATTCCCCCGCGAAGCGCGGAAGCTTCGACGCTTCATTAAATTATTAAAGAAAGAAGACGATTCGTTGGAACGTTCTCGACTCTTAATCCTTGTTTGAATCAAGTTCCCCTTCCTCCGCGCGTAGCGCGGAAGCTCTGAAGTTTCATTAGATTATTAAAGGAAGAAGACGATTCGATGTACCATTCTCGACTCTTAATCCTTAATGTTTAAACCAAGTTCCCCTTCCTCCGCGAGTAGCGCGGAAACTCTGACGTTTCATTAGATTATTAAAGAAAGAAGACGATTCGATGTACCATTCTCGGGACCATTCTTGACTCTTAATCCTTGTCTGATTTCAGTTTCCCCACCCCTCCAGCGCGAAGCGCGGAAGCTTTGACGTTTCATTAAATTATTAGGGAAAGAAGACGATCCGTTGTACCGTTCTCGACTCTAAATTCTTGTCTGAATTCATTCCCCCCCCCTTCCGCGCGAAGAGGGTTAAGCTTTGACGTTTCAAATAATTATTACTCTAGTCTTAATCCTTGTATGAATTCATTTTCGCCCATCTCGCGCAAAGCGCGGAAGCTTTCACGTTTCATTAAATTATTAGAGAAAGAAGACGATTCGTTGTATCGTGTCCTTGTCTGAGTGCAATTCCCCCGCCCTCCAGCGCGAAGCGCGGAAGCTATGACGGTTCAATAAATTATTACTCTTAATTCTTGTCTATATTTTCGCCCATCTCGCGCGAAGCGCGGAAGCTTTCACGTTTCATTAAGTTATTAGAGAAAGAAGACGATTCGTTGTATCGTGTCCTTGTCTGAATTCAGTTCCCCCCTGCGGAAGCTTTGCATTTCAATAAATTATTACTCTTAATCCTTGTCTGAATTCATTTTCGCCCATCTCGCGGAAGCTTTCACGAACTTTCATTAAATTATTAGAGAAAGAAGACGATTCGTTGTATCGTGTCCTTGTCTGAGTGCAATTCCCCCGCCCTCCTGCGCGAAGCGCGGAAGCTTTGACGATTCAATAAATTATTACTCTTAATCCTTGTCTATATTTTCGCCCATCTCGCGCGAAGCGCGGAAGCTTTCACGTTTCATTAAATCATTAGAGAAAGAAGACGATTCGTTGTATCGTGTCCTTGTCTGAATTCAGTTTCCCCGCGCGGAAGCTTTGCATTTCCAGGAAGCTTTCACGTTTCATTAAATCATTAGAGAAAGAAGACGATTCATTGTATCGTGTCCTTGTCTGAATTCAGTTTACCCCCATATACGGTTGTCTCATTTATTTCGTATATATGTATGTATTATGAAAATGAGATAGCAAAATGTGTATATTGATGGTCATCTTGCGAGTAATAACCATGAACTACTCTCATCAGACTCTCATCATTAATTTTTCTCTTTTTTTTAATTTTTTTTTTATTGATGGTGAATTATTGGGGGGGGGGGGGATGATTGTACAGGCCATCCCCCCACCTGAAATATTGGGGGGGGGGGATATATCCCCCCATCCCCCCCCCCCCCCGGGATCGACACCCATGGTAATACTATCGATGCCAATGATACCATTCCCATTTTAGTGATCAACAAAATTACCCACTATTTCGTTCAATATTTACATGAAAGAGTTATAATCAATCTCTCCCTCATCTCAGATAGATATATTATGGTGGATACTGATAGTACTGCTATCATGATAATTATGATGCATCTCTCTCTATCTCTCTCTCTCTCTCTAAAAAAAAGTTGTTACTTTTGATTTTTCAAGTTCACCATCCCAGCAGGGATATCCAGCTTCCGACCTTCTCCCGTTATTCATACTCAGAATTTTAAACCCTCTTCCTGTCAAATTAAAGTTGCATTAAAAAAATTAATAGGTACGAACAATCACGTTAAAACAATATAAATGTGTTGTACAAGGTATGTAAAGACATTGGCGAAAATTATGTTTATCTTGGTTTATCTGTACGCAATATTTAAAGAGGGCGCTATTTAATTACAAGTTGAGCAAAAGCAATTTCGATTCATTGTACCGACGACATCTTTCTCTTTTGTCTTTCTTCCTTCCAATTCAGGCTTCCTTTGTATATTTCTTTCTTTCTTCTACCTTCTCTCTCCCTCTGTGCTTAAAATTGTCTCGATGTCTGGTTGTAAATTCTCTCTGTATCTCTTTTTGTTCCAATACATTTGCATCTATTTTGTTTGTAATACAGAGAGCATTCCCTTCCCATCTCCCTAACACACTTGTTAACTTTCTCTTATGATGTTAAGCATGACAATCATGAATTTTGCGGTACTAGAGGGATGGATAATTATCACTCAAACAAAACCTTGAAATTCACTTCAATGGGGGGGGGGGGGGGGGGAGCTGACGGGAAATATTATATTGGAGACATTTCAATGAAATATCATATTATGAGACATTTTAATTTATGACGCATGATATTCATACGATTGTGCTGGTAAATTGTTAAATTGTTAACCTGATTTTTTCAATCATTAAGAGTTCATTTTACTGTAGAAGTGTTGCCGTAATTATATCTCGCATTTATAATTATGAAATATGAATGTAAATGTATTTATTCCTGTTATTTTCTGCAGATCCAAAACCATCTGTGGATCGGGAGCTAGCGGATGGGGGGGGGGGGGGGGGGGGGTGCTGACGAGAAATACTATATTATATTATGAGACATTTCAATTTATGACGCATGTTAAATGTAGGCAATATGAATTGAGGGGCATATGCACACTATAAATAATTATCCATATTTATGTACATAGTTTTCTATAGTTAAATGTTTTCTATCACTTGTATTTTCACTGTCAAAAAAGCCATTGGAAGCAAAATTTCTATGTAATGTTCGCATGCATGGACCAATAAAATAATCTTGAATCTTGAATCTTGAATCTTGAATGTCTCTTCAGACTTAAAGGTAAAGATAAGTATTGGCAACGCCCCAATTTCAAAAAATGAAATGGAAGCTCTCATTACCAATCATGTGAAAGAATATGTTTTGACTAATACATGATGATAACAAATTTGCCGGGAAACCGCCTACTAATTCATATATTTGGTAAATTTATTTCTCTCATGGTCTGGTGAGAGAGATAGGGTAGTCCCATATACATCTTTCTGTGTATAGTGCTTGTAACTTTACGAAGAATGAGCCAAATTTCTTATCATTTTGATGATTCCAGAACCTTGCAGATGCTAGATGCTAGATGATCGACCTTTTCTGATCGATTCCACAAGGTTTCTTTCACAATGCAATCGCATGACCATTACTGGTCTTTACCTTTAAGCTGCAGGAAAATCAAATTTGCATTATTGCAATGCATAAATATTCTAATTTGAATTGGTACATTCCAAGACTTAATTGTTATAAAGTAGTACACATAAACAGTCAATACAGACCAACAGCTGCTTAAATTAAAAGCTGCAGGAAATGCAAATTTGCATTACCGGTAGGTCTAAAATAAAAACTTATTGTATTGACCTTTGCGACCGACCCAAAAATCTGAAAATCTACGGTCGACATTTTAAAAAAGTTTTTTTTTTAAACCGTTTTTTTTAGATTTTTTTAAAATAATGAATAAAACAATATGTATTTTGTTTGTTTAAATGGGATATAATTTGCATGAAATCTAATTATTCCACAATTCTCACTCGTGCAAACCATGGATAATAATGAGGTGAAAAAGATATCAATAGATAGATGGATAGATAACTGGTTTATTAATGAAAAAAACATCATTGCGGCATAGCCGAATTGCGATGATTTTACAAATATTCCTTTTTGAAAATGACATAAATACATTTGTACAAACATTTTAAATACATTGGGAAATATAGATTCAAAAACATATTGCATATATTCAGACTGCATCAAAAATTGATATTATTGTTATTATGATAATACTGTGGAGTAGTAGGATATAAGTTTAAAGTTTAAATATTAAATGTTGGTTTGTCATACGGTAAAGAAAGTTTAGTAAAAAAAAAAAAAAAGGTGTAGGAAGAAGATGAAGAAGATGAAGAAGAAGGGGAAAAGGGAACAGGAGAAAAAGAAGGAGAAGAACAAGAATAAAAATAGGAGAATAAGAAAAGGGGAAGAAGAATAAGAAAGGAAAGTAAAGAAAAAGAAACAAGAACAACATACTGGTATTGCCTGAATATTGGTTAACCTCCCTCCACAGAAAATAACAGTGTATCTATTACTCATCCCACCCCCCCCCCCCATGTGCACACACATGCATGCACAAAATCAATGGAATGATGACACTGAAACACATGTATTAAAGCATTAAAAACGGAGAAATATCAGCTAAAAGTGGGCGGAAAAAAAAACAAAAAACAAAACAAAACATTCAAATCTGAAAAATATTGGCCCAAAGAGGGTGACAAAAAAAAAGTTAAAAAAAAAAAAAAACCTTTTCCGAGCGACCGACCCATATTTTGGCATCCAAAGGACAATACAACAAGTTTGTATTTTAGGCCTAAAATAAAAACTTGTTACATTGCCCTTTGGGTGACAAAATATGGGTCGGTCGGTCGGGAAAGATTTTTTTTTTTTAAACTTTTTTCTGTCGCCCTCTTTTTGACCGATATTTTTCAGATTTGAATGTTTTTTTGTTTTTTTCATTCTCCTATACTATAATAGGAGTAATATTCAAATTACCCAATGCATACAGATAAACAATTACATGTATTAAATGGTACAAGCACTGCTTGGCAGCTAATGAGTAAATAAAAACTCTATCCCTCCACAAACCAGACTACCTGTATCAATCTTACACACAGAATGAGAAGAGGATCGTCCGGTCTAGGATGAGATCCAATCACTGCGATACATTTCTTTCACATCAAGATGTTTCCGGAAGAAATTCACGATTTTTCTCCAGGCATACACCTGGTCTTTCATTCCCTGCTTGGTATCACTACCACCGTAGTCAGTGAAGTATACTGTTTGATTTTAAGGTAAGATACAGAAATAGATAGAAATCAATCTCTGAAAAAAGCATAAGAGTTGTAATGCAAGAGTGGGTGACAAAAAAGTCCTGAAGACATTGTTTCCATTTCTATGAACAAATCCTTTAAAAGAAGTGATATGTTCACAAAAGTAGAGGATTCTCCCTCCACAGACTCTAACGTATTTACGTGGTATATTCCATAATTTTTAAAAGCGTAAATGCTCTGAAACCTACGGTATTATGAAAGAAATCAGTGGTTATTCCAAGGATGAGATGAAGTCAACCATGGCAGTTCTTTTTTCTCCTCTTTTTTATGTAGTAAATGAATGCCATGTGTGGATGAAAAAAGTAGCTGCATGCAGTTCTTTTTATGTGTATGTTTTTTGAGAAACCCCCCCCCCTAAAAAAGATGACCTTACCCCCCCCCCCCCCCCCCACTGAAACGGAATGTCGATCGGTCAAATTTTGGGACCCCCCAAAAGTCCTCTTACCCCCCCCCCCCCCCCCCCCCCCCCCCCCCCCTTGCTTATTCAGCGGCTGGCTGAGTCGTTGCAATTTTTTTGGGACCAAGATTTCAAAATGTTAAAACACCCCCCCCTTGAAAAAATCCTGCATACGCCACTGATCCTATACGTATTGATTCTATATGTGTGCTATAAGATGTGAATTCCAGTTCACTAAATATGAAAAAGTCTTTAGAACCGTTATTTCAATAATTACAGATTGAAATTTCTTTTAAAATTTCAACAACAATACAAAACAAGGAACAGGGAAAGCCTAATACTTACATTTAGGAGATTGAAGTGTGGTTGGATCATAGAGGCTGGAGATGGTGTTGATTGCTTGGTATGGGACCTCCAAAAAGTGACCTGTTCCAGGCAGTAGCTCAAACTCTACCAAATGACCCTTGCCAGCTCTCTCCAAACGATCTCTCAGCTACAAGTCAATAACACAAAGGTTGAGATAGAGTTACAGTATTCTTTGATAATGACTTGAGTTTCAGTGTATGTTAATGCTGGAAAACTATACAAAACATAACGATGCTTTTCTTTCATTATTAAATGAATATAAATGAATTTATAAAGTTCCAAATAATGTTATACAGCATGAGGAACTAAGTCTGTAATAAATCTTCCAAGTTCCCTATCAATATTTGTAGATTATTGGATATCACAGAATTTACAAACTTACAAAAATAATGACAAATATCCATTTTATTGAAAGAACATGTCCGAGATGAGAACCCACAGAATGCCATGTAAAGTCATTAAAGCTTATCTGCCATAGTTTACAGGAGGGATTAGAGCGCCCTGCAAGGTCACTGGACAGGTGGTTATCTCATCAACTCAGCTCTCAGTTAACATAAGAAAAAGAGGATCATGGGGGACCAATGGTCACCGATTATGCATTGTTTGTTATATAGAGGGCGCAAGTAGCTACAAGTAGTGCAGTGCAGTGGCGGATCCAGGGGGGGGCCCAGGGGGCCCGGGCCCCCCCCCCCCCTTGAGAAAAAAATCATGTAAAATCACATGATTTTTACCTTTTTTGGGGGTTGGGCCCCTCCCCCCCCTGGCGCTCCAGGGGGGGGGGGTGCAAATTGAATTTTTTTTTGAGGATCAAAAAAAAAAAAATGTGCTCACTAACCCCCCCCCCACTGAGCGAATTTTTGGCCGGCGCGTTTTTCAAATTTTCGGGAGCAAAAAAAAAAAAAAAAAAAAAAAAAAAAAATTGTGCTCACTAACCCCCCCCCCACTGAGCAAATTTTTGGTCGGCGCGATTTTCAAATTTTCGGGAGCAAAAAAAAAAAAAAGTTGGGCCCCCTCCCCTAAAAAATCCTGGATCCGCGCCTGGTGCAGTGGGCCTTTAAGGGTTATTTTTATGTTTCCTAGGTGCACAAAATCATGGGGGCATTAGGTACTCTTAAGTCTGAAACATATTTTAGGTCTCTTTTCACTGCATGTAAAGATTTCAAGCCTTATGTATACCTCAAATGTATAAATGAAAACAAAAAATTGAATTTTGGAAATCCTAATTCCATTCACTTCATCCACAAGATTGTTTACTATGTTATAAAGTTGCCCATTTGTACCATAGCATGTAATCATGTGCTTCCTTATCTGAATTTGGCACAAGTTCAGAGCATAAATTGTCATTATTTTTTATCTACATGTATATATAAATATAGATACCAAGAATTATTTTCAAATCCTACTCAGATTTTAAACATCAATTATTTTTCAAATCTTACATAAATATCAATTAATTTCTAATCTGATTTTAGATATCATAAATATCTTATCAAATCTCAAATCTTACTTAGATACCATGACAAAAAATTCAAATGTAATTCAAATACTAGTAACATAAATTATTTTCAAATCATATTTTGATCTTATGAATTACTTTTTAAATCCTAATAAGATATCATAAATCACTTTAAAAATCTTATGGAGATATCATAAATGATTTTTCAAGTTTATTCAGATATCATAAATTATCATTCAAATCTTTTTTAAATACGTTACCGTAAAATATTGTTCAAATCCTAATAAGATATCTGTAATCATTGTCAAATTAGACTACAATCTATTTCATGCCAGAAACTGCATCAAAAATTACTTACATCAGTGGTTGCTTCCAATGATGGAATATGGTGATCATCCGCATGAAAAAACATAAGTAATGGACATTCTAAATTCTCCTCCTGTTTACAACATAAAGAAAGCAAAGATGATGTATTAGAATGAATTCCATTGATGGATGAAGATATTCTTCATATGCTTACCCACCAGGCTACTTAAAGGGAAATGCAACCCTTGTAATATTTTCAATCATATTTTTCCTATGCATAAACAGCATTTTCTTGAAACAGATATCTACTAAAATTTTCTATGATTTTGCTCTCACTGCCTATGTGTTACGTATAATTCATAGCATTCTGGATCAAATTATACAAAGAAAATATCACTTAAAGACTGTAGGTTAATGTAATCATAATGGTACCCAATTTAGATTGAATGGCCAGCATTTTACCTCAAGCATAATGTGTTCTGGAATAAGTCGATCATTATATGGGCATTTTGATCAGTATTCAAAAAGCATACCATACTCCCTTTAGTCCAGAACTAAATCCTGAGTTAGTGGGTTCAGTTAGTCCACTAAATTATGCAGTGCAAAATGTCAACCTCTTCATCCCATAAAAATTAACATAATTGAGTCATCAATAAACAATTAAATTCATGTAAACATGAAAACAATTTCTTCTTTTCATTTCTTAACGGCATTCATTTTATTTTTTCATTTTGTTAGAAATACAGTAAATGAACTAAAAACTTTAGATCAAGTCATGACAACAATGAATATGCAAATTACATAAATAACTGCTCAACAGATAATCTACAAGTAGTGAAGCTATAATTTGAGATAAACAGATACGTTTTCAGTTGTGTATTGAATTGTTCTATGGAAATATATTTTTCTCAGATAAGAAGGAAGTGAGGTTCAGAGAACGGGTGCAGCTTTGGTGAGGGACCTGTCGCCATAGGTAATCGTTCTTGTCATAATATATAGAACAAGTTAACGCAAAGCGTAGCATCCCCTCGCCGGGTACAAATGGCCTAAATTTAGCAATTTTTGCATAGTTAATGAGCTGTGACCTTTGACCTTTGATGTACATACTCAACATTACAAATTACGTAATTGAATGAAAACCATTTTTGCATATATAATTAGGTATTTTTGCATATTTAATGAGCTATGACCTGTGACCTACATACTCCGAAATGGAACTTAGGCTGTATTTTGATACCATTTTCCCTTATATTAAATTTCATTGAAATCCGTCAAACATTACTTAAGTTATCGAACGGAAACCAAATTTTCGAATAATTAGCTTTTTTTCGCATATTCAATTAGCTATGACCTATGACCTATGATCTTTGACCTAAATACTCCAAAATCAAAGTTAGGCTGTATTTTTATACCATGTACCTTCATATCAATTTCATTAAAATCCGTCAAACATTACTAAAGTTATCAAAGATTTGTTACGGACGGACGGCAGCGTTACTATATGTACATGTATATCCCCTCCGACTTCTTCTGCGAGGGGATAATACAGTGCTTGACATTTGGTGCTCCATAAATGATTGGACTATGTTAAACAGAGTTAAAACAGAGTTCAACTTAGTCATTCTCTTAAATATGAACATTTGAATTAGAATTGTTTTGAAAATAGAAAGATATTAAACTTTACCAAAATAGTTTTAAATTTCATTCACAAAATCATACAAGCTATGTTCACAGCATAAGAACCACTATTCATAAGGACCGCTACTCATAAAACGCAAAGGGGGTCACTATTCACAAAGGCATAAGGACCGTTATTCATAAGGACCGCTATTTATAACGTGAGATGAGGGTTGCCATTCATAATTAACATTGAGGGTCATTACTCATAAGGACCGCTATTCATAATACGAAATCGGGGTCGCTATTCATAAACATGAAGAAGGGGCGCTATTCATAATTTATATCGGGGGTCACAAGGACCGCTATTCATAATACGAGAAGAGGGCCCATATTCATAATACGGAATGAGGGTCGCTATTCGCTATTTGTATTATGAATAGCAACCCCGATTTTCTATTTCGAATAGCGACCCTCTTCTCATATAATGAATAGCGACGCCTTGATTATGAACAGCGGTCCTTATGAATAGCGGTCCTTATGAATTGCGGTCCTTATGAATAGCGGTCCTTAGGAATGATGACCCTTTTCTCAAATTATGAATAGCGGTCCTTATGAATAGCGGTCCTTATGAATACCGGTCCTTATGAATAGCGGTCCTTATGAATAGCGGTCCTTATGAATAGCGGTCCTTATGAATATCGGTCCTTATGAATAGCGGTCCTTATGAATAGCGGTCCTTATGAATAGCGGTCCTTATGAATAGCGGTCCTTATGAATAGCGGTCCTTATGAATATCAGTCCTTATGAATAGCGGTCCTTATGAATAGCGGTCCTTATGAATAGCGGTCCTTATGAATAGCGGTCCTTATGAATAGCAGTCCTTATGAATATCATTCCTTATAAAATGCGGTCCTTATGAATAGCAGTCCTTATGAATAGCGGTCCTTATGAATAGCGGTCCTTATGAATAGCGGTCCTTATGAATAGCAGTCCTTATGAATATCAGTCCTTATGAATAGCGGTCCTTATGAATAGCAGTCCTTATGAATATCGGTCCTTATGAATAGCGGTCCTTATGAATATCGAGCGGACCCCGTTCACATCAGACTACAATATCTAATTAATTTCATGTTAAGTTACCAGACAAAAATGGGCGTCTTGCGATTTTTTGGTAAGATCAATGAAATTCTCATCTGTATCTCTCTTGAGTGAAAGCCAGCTCTTGCCATTCTCATCTGTCCAGGTCCTTACAAAATCTTCCATTGGGCTGCAATCAAAAATGATAAATTTAGACTAACATTCTGCAGAGAAATAGAATTATCCCTTTTATGTGGGTTTTTTTCTGGAACTACAATACATAAGGTAGTCCAAAAGCTTGTTGACAGCAAACAATTCTATTTAAAAAACAAAAAACAAACAAACAAAGGTAAAACTGAAAGATAACTATTGCATATTTCTTCTTCATATTTATCTTTCCCCAACACATTTACAGAACTAAGAAAAACTGTATTTGTATAGAACTATAAATGATCATAAATTTGTTTAAAATGTACCTATATTTTTTTATTTTTGATGTATCAAATTTGGGACGATCCTAGGATTATCAGAAAATATGGGGAGAGAGGGAGATTTCCTATCTATACTCAGTATCCTTTCAGGAATTCTGCTGGCCTTCTCCAGGCCTTTAAAAAGAAATCAATGGGGATAGGAGAAAAAAAAGGGTGGTATTTTCTTATGAGTCAGCTCTACTCCAGGCTCTTAAGAGAGCTTTTCCAATCATGCATCTGTGCTCTTAATGAAGGTCTACCATAGAGGCTAGGTGGCACTTACCCTGCAGGTTCGAGTAGACTCCCATCCAGGTTTTTCCATCCAACATTCACACACAGTATATCAACAAATCCAGCTGCAACCATGCACTTGACTGGCAGATCAAGTCTAGTAGCAGCATGAAGCATCATTGCCCCTCCATAGCAGGAAGATGTCATTCCTATCCTGTTCTCATCTAGCCGGGGATGTGCCTTGACAAAATCTATGATGTCCTAAAAATATACAAATACAGATATACATATAACCATCAGACCTCTTTGAATAAGGCGTGCATAATCATAACATTTAGATTAATTCATAGCTAAAGATATTGTAAGGTTTGCTCATACTCAGTTACAATATAAGATGCCCAACTTAAATTTTTTTTCATCTATGTAGAATCAAGTGAAATTTGTTTTAAACTGATAAGGGGATATACATGCATACAAAAAAAGATTCTTAATATGAAATATAACTTTGATAAAAAGGTAATTATCTCTAAAATAAAAATGGCAAGAGTACTTTTTCAAAACTCACAAGGAATGCTTGGCTGTCCATGTAAACATTTTTCTCTTGACTCTTCAGTCTGCGTGGCATGAAGTAATCAAATGCAAAGACAGCAAACCCATGAGAAGCTAGCGTGGCTGCACGGTCTACAACTAGATTGGTGAGAAGACCTCGGATGTCGATTAGGAAAGGTAGTGGATCTGATGATCCTACAGTGGAATAAAAATTAAAAAATAAACGTTATTGCCAGTTATAATGTTTCATTCAACGATTGGAGAATATGATGCAGAACTACAACTGACAGAAACCAATTCAATTCAATTCATAAACACACACAAAAATTAAAAAACTTCTTTGAGCATATTTATGCATGATACTTCATACACATCTGCTGTAGTTTGCCTTTAGCGCGATTTCCAGTCATTTCTTTTCCATTTTTTTTAATAATATGACATTAGTATACTAATAATGACTGCTATGAGAGACATAGTTGTTTTTATACACTCAAGGGGAGGTTACATTGTGCTATCGCCCCGAGGCGTGCTGAGGGGTGATGGCACGATGTAACCTCCCCGAGAGCCTATAAAAACAACTATGACTCGAATATTAAAGAAGTCATTATAACTTTTATATACTGAAAAGGGTCATAGAATCCATGTGCGACTTACCAATCATGGTAATCAAGTTTGTTTACGCTATCAAGAGCTAGTCTAAATAGGTTGTCTGGTCAGGCACCACTTGAGTTTGTGTGCTAAAATTCTTCCCTTTGAGATAGCACGCATATATACGTAAAATTCCAAAACCGGTCAATAGTCTTCTGAAAAGTGCCCTAGGGCCTTTTTCAAAATACTATTGACCGGTTTGGGCATTTTACTTCTCTTTACAGGAATGGCTAAAATCACGACTCCAATGTAGACCAATCCATCAGATGGCTGGATTTCTAAAGTGAGGTATATAATACTTTTTATCAATCATTAAATTATGTGATTATTTGCTATTTATATGTTTATTTTTTATACTGTTTTTACAGAGGTTTTCATAAAGTACAATGCAGTTAAACATACCTCTTTGTTTAGGCAAAAAGAGTACCCCTTCTGCCTCGCCCATCTTAACTGGTATCCTTTCAACATAGTCCGCTAAGAACATTCTTTCAGCTGACGTAGAGGTGATGACCTTCTCCTGACCTTCGTCTCCATCGATGAGCTCAAGTGTGTAACTGAAAGGCGTTGTAACATCCCATTTGACCAACCGAGGGTATTTGTGGGCCACCTCTGGGCCTGGTTCCATGGCTAAAAAGAGGCCCATTGGTTCAATACCCTCATAGCTCCCTCCGAGTGATGGGTCCTTTTGAACTATTCACATAGAAAATGTAATTCAGACAATTAAATTGCAGGACGCTATGCTACACAAGCAATAAAAAACTTTGATACATATTTTTAGGGCATCATGTATGATAACATCAAGTTTTTCCTTCAATACGACTTTTGATCAAACCTGTATGTATACATAAATGAGAGCAGCCAATGAGAAACAAAAAAGTGGTATTTACAGATAGTTCATGTATGATTGATTATGGACCTACAAACCTCTTACTTTGCCGTCTGCATCAGCTTTGTAGTGAGCTCTTGACTCAAATCTGTACTTCCCATTCTCTGTGTAGACATGAGCTTTGAGAGTGACCAGTTGCCCTGGGGACAACCCATTTGCCTCAATGTTGACAACCTCATCACACAAGCTGGACTCTGGATGCACACTCAGGGTTGGATTAGTTGGTCCTGTACTACTGCATCTGGAGGATGTTACTCTGGGAACCAATGCCGATGATGTATACATTTGATGTTGTCCACCGGATGAGATAGTAGCCCTACCAGCGACAGTCCTCAGGACATTCTGAAGCCTGGCTAATGCTGCCATATGTTTATAGTTTATTAGTTGCCAATCTTCGCAAACCTTTCAGAATCTGGGTAAGAATCAAGAACAAAACAATCGATAAATAGACCTTGGATATACAGTACATCTCAAAAAAAAATTACAATTTCAGTAACATATTTTGAAAAAAATACATGTAGGCCTAGTTCAAAATTATTTCAGGAACTTTCTTAGACCGAATTTTCCGTCTCTTTCGTTCGTTAGCCTCTTATTGGGGTAGGGTCGGCTCTCTCTTTAGAGACGGAAACCGTCTATACGCATTCCCTTGATAACGCCACGGCCATTTCAGGTCGTAGGGTTATGCCCCCAAAATGTCATTTTACCTCGAGCATGTTATATTGTAAATTAGGCCTAGGCTATAATAAATCAGTTCCACATACCAACTTGACTGAAATAATCAGTTTAATAGTCCCTTTTTAGGAAATTATGGGTCAAAATCGAAATCCATTTTGAAAATCTTTTTCAACAAGCCTAATTTACAATATAACATGCTCGAGGTAAAATGACATTTTGGGGGATTTTGGGGGCATAACCCTACGACCTGAAATGGCCGTGGCGTTATCAAGGGAATGTGTATAGACGGTTTCCGTCTCTAAAGAGAGAGCCGACCCTACCCCAATAAGAGGCTAACGAACGAAAGAGATGGAAAATTCGGTCTAGAACTTTCTTACCGGCTGTAGTAAGCTATAAAGGTCTGTTTTTATCAAATGACACACACACACAAAAAAAAAAAATCAGTGGCAGATCTAGTTCTTTTAACATTTATTTTTATTTTTTACGACTCATAATTAATAGTCTAGTCTAGATCTGACTCTAGGTCTATAACGAGTCATAAAAAATAAAAATAAAAAATGTTTTCATAACTTGTCTTGAGAAAAATTTGCAGTCTTAGATCTATTTCGATTGGTTATGACGGTTTATCCACTTTGTGACATGTATCTCCGTACTAGGAAGGTCGCCGACATATGACTGTCATCATGAAACGACCCCCAGGCCAGGAGATGCACGAGCGCCCGAGCGCGAGCGAGCTCCAGTGCAGCGAGGACGAGGTACTAATATTAGTAGCCTAACCATATATAAATCAATGGAATAATTCAGGTAATACAGAATCCAGCCTTCCATAGAAACATCTTCAAACTTACTCTTAACAAATTCATAAAGGCGTATCCACAACTTTCTCCAGATCCCGGTGAAGTCAGCTTAGCTTAACCAGGGCATTGTTAGGGCAAAGATAATGCCAAACTCAGTCAAACAAAATAATACATTAAGTCGCGCCAGCGCTATATTTAGCTACAATGGAGGTCCGGTTCTTCAAGACACCCCTTGCAATGTAGTCACGTGACAAAGACTCCTTCAACGTCACCTGACATTCGATTTTGCAGGTGGAAAAAATCGCAACGACTCAGCCGACCGAAAAGTCGCTCAGTTGGGGGGGGGGGGGGGGGGGGGGGGGGGGGGGGGGGGGGGGGGGGGGGGGGGGGGGGGGGGGGGGGGGGGGGGGACACTTTTTTTTATTTATTTTTTTGGTATCGAAATTTGAAAATTTGACATTTTGCTCCGTTGGGGGGGGGGGAGGGTAAGGTCATCTTTTTGAGGTCGGCCATGGGAATATTTTTTTTTAATTAAAAAAAACCCCCAAAAAACCCCAAAAAAAACAAAAGGGGGGGGGGGGGTTTAAGGGAAATTTAGGGGGGGTTTACACACAAAAATTTACCAAAGGGGGGGGGTTTAACCCCCCAAACCCCCCCCCCCCCCCCCCCCCCCCCTGTGTACGCGCCTGGTAGGCGTACATGTGACGCAAAATCCGAGGGGTGCAACTTGCCACACGCTTCTACCACTTTGGTTGCTTTGATCCATTGCCGAAAATATTTTGGCACCTATCATCCCCCCAACCACGGATACAAATCGATACCCTTGCCCCCGATAACAAAACACACGCTTTCCCATCCACTCACAATGTTTCCACGATATGCGCGTATCGCTAATATAAAAACCTCCATTGATAAGGTTGCATGCGCAATGTTTAGGAAATTTAATTCCTGTTCACTTCCCTTTTCTTTGAATGGAATTTTATATGTGATATAATTCAGGTTTGCATTATTGTTATGTTCTTTTGGGTTAAAAAATACATACCATCTTTACTCCATTATTGCTTTTCTTTCTTTTTGGGGGAGGGGGGGGGGCGTTTTTTTTTTTTTTTTTTTTTTTTATTTGGGGGGGGGGGGGCAAAAATGCGTTTTGCCCCCCCCCCCCACTTTTTTGGTTGGGGGTGCTAGTGCCTCTCCTGCCACCCCACTTCCGGCGCCTATGTTCTAGAGACAGGTAAATATGTAGTAAGTGGCCATAAAAACATATCGCGGTGTAGCTTGCTTGTGTATGTTCCCTCAACGATCTGGCTGATGCGATACTCGGGGCCTGGGATTTTGAGACCATCGTCATCTATTTCGTGCTGGTACTCCTGGTCGGTCTCTGGGTAAGTCACTAAATAATTAACTGTTTGAATCCTTTCCACGATACTTTATTAATGTTTCCTTCATTAAGATTATTTACATTCACATGTTATGATGTGGTGTACGTAGGCCTATAATATGTCATAATGTAAACATAGCATAATGCACTATGCATTCCGTTGCAGATTCTTAGTAATTAGACAGTATACACTGTTAAAAACTAAACTATTCATACCCTAATACCAAGTTTGGTTAATTTTTAGGTAATATGCGAAAACATGATTTGTCCCGATCTATGTTTCTTGGGAATGTGACATTTTAAAGCTTACTTATATATGTTTCAACAAAGGCCCCAATTCCACTAATCCACCTTTCATTATTGAGTTATGAAAAAATATTGTGTTTAGAGTTACTCTCCTTTACTATTCCATACAATGTTGATATTAAGCGACAATGTGTAGCTGTGATGATGGTGACCAGTTCGACCTTGATCAGATGATAATGATGATGAAGATGGTGATGATGATAATGATGATGAAGATAATGATGGTGATAATGATGATGAAGATGGTGATGATGACAATGATGATGAAGATGATGATGATAATGATGATGAAGATGATGATGATAATGATTTGAATTGAATTGAATTTATTTACCACTTTCATAAAAACATACAAAGGCAAAGAATACAATACTTTTTTGCAAACATAGAAAAACCACTAAAATGGAAAATACACTAAAGGAAATTACGAAGTGGTTGGATCATCAAAAAAGTTACAAAAACTTATAAGTAGATGATCCTAAAAATGTACACAAAAAAAAACTAAACAAAAAGGGGACAAAGAAAATACAATACTACAATGGTAATTACACACATAAAAATTGCGTTTGTCAAATTCAAATTTGCTGTATCAGGTGAAGTTTTAAATGATGCTTAAAACTGTTTAAAGATGCACACTGTTTAAGTTTAGGGGGTAGTTTGTTCCAAATAGTGGGTCCTTGGCATAAAAAGATACTATTTGAAAATGAAGAATGACCATATATTACACGAGTGTCTGCTGAAGTCCTGGTATTATATCTATGAATATCGTTATTGCTCTGAAATATATTACAAAAGATTTCTGGTAATAGGTTATGATAATATGAATACATAAAAACACAGAGTTGAAAATCATGTAATAATGATATTGGGAGAATATTCAGTTTCAAGAAAAGAGGTCTGCTTGGACTTAAAAATGGCTTGTGGCAAATTATACGAACTGCTCTCTTTTGTAGGAGGAAAATACGATTAAGTAAATGCTGTTTACAAAAACCCCATATAATGTTACAGTAGGATATATAAGGCAAGATTAGTGAGTTGTATAACATTATGAGAATTTTGGTTGGCAAGATGTCTTTAAGTTTACTCATAATTCCTATTGTTCTAGACACTTTACGTAGAACTTCATAGACGTGTGTTTTCCATTTAAGATCTTTATCAATATTAATGCCTAAGAACTTGGTTGAATTGGTATGTTCAATCAGATTTCCATTCATATATATTTTTACTTCACTAACACACGTCTTTGGAAAGTTAAATAACATAACATTGGTTTTTCATAGTTAAGTTGCAGTTTATTTGCTTTAATCCACTCACTAACCTTTAAGAGCTCAGTGTTTAGATTTTTTTTTTTTTTTTTTTTTTTTTTTTTTTTTTTTTTGGTCAGGCATTCAACATCTTTATGCTTATAAAATATATTTGTATCATCCGCGAACAGTATAAAATTCAAAATGGGAGAGACTGAATGTAAATCATTTATATAAATTAAGAAGAGCAGTGGGCCTATAATTGACCCCTGCGGAATACCACAGGAAACTAATTGTAAACTTGAATTTTTAGAATTGAAAACAGTGAATTGTTTGCGATCATTTAGATAACTGCGAAATAATTGAAGAGTAACACCACGATGATGAAGATGATAATGACGAAGATGATGATGATGAAGATGATAATGACGAAGATGATGATGATGAAATGATGAAGATGATGATGATGAAGATGATAATGATGATGATGTTGATAAAGATAGTGATGGTGATGATGAAAAAGAAGAAGATGATGATGACGATGATGAAGATGATGATACTGCTGCTGCTGCTGCTTCTGCTGATGATGATGTTGATAAAAATAGTGATGGTGATGATGAAGAAGATGATGATGACAATGATGATGAAGATGACTGATGATGATGCCGCTGGTGGTGGTGCTGATGATGATGCTGATGCTGATGCTGCTTCTGCTGATGATGATGAAGATGAAGATAGTGATGGTGATGATGAATTAAAACAGAATGTGGTGCTCTTCAGTGGAAGAGCCTACCCCACTCAGTGCGAAATGCTCAGACCAAGAATACTTTTTGTTATCTCTATTTTAAGCAGCGATGTTAAAGATAGATTTGCATTTCTTTCTTTATTTCTTTCATGAATATTTACATAAATTTCTCAATATAATAAATTGTTAAAATCTGAACAGATCATTGATAATAATCAGAGTATATTTTTATCGATTTTAAATTGCTTATTGAAATTTATCATTCTTACTACGGCTTTGTTTCATTATTCACTCTTATTCTTTACTTTATATTGTCTGTTATATGTTACTATGTACTATTATTATTATTATAATGTTCAAGTAGTTTGTATCTTCATATATGTTGCTCTTGTGTACAGGGCCCCCTGGAAAACAGTACTGTGATTACTGACGGGGCTACCCTGTTTAAATAAAATGGAATAAATAAATAAATAAGGCGGGGCCCTGGATGCTAATCTAACCGTAAATTTACAGCCAGGCAAGAAATATGCTTCTTGAGGTGCCTACATGTCAGGGCCCGTGGAACGGCGGGGATCGGGAGCTTCCAGCTCCCCCCCCCCCCCCACATTGTGGCATTTAATATTTTATTAAAGTAGTTTGTATCATACGTAGGCTTATATCATCCAAACATGGTCACGTCAGTGAAGAAATATATATTTTTAAATGACAAGAGGGTTTTTCTGATTCATATCTCGAAATTGTCAAGGGTAAGAACAAGAAGTCATTTTCATTATATTCTTTAAACTTTCTTTATGGAGAGGGATCACAACTATATTTATATCAATAAGCAAACGAAAGAGATCTGTAATGTGCCCGAGGAAACCCTTAGTTTGTTTAACCAATTTGGTTCTGGTAATTGTTCTGAAAATCTTGGTCAAAATAGCCTAGTCAATTGAAGGTTTTGTAGAGTATTAGAGTTTGAAAACGGGTTAGGGTGAATATTGATCAATGCAACAGAAATGGCACGCCATCTCAAATATTAAATAAATATTTGGATGCAAACAGGCACACACACACACACAAAAGCTTTTCAATGAAACCTCTGAATATATTGTAATGAAACATACATGTATATTGCAATTTTTCGCCGTTCTGGCAGCACAGTGTGAGTCAAAAAAAGTTAACACCTAGAAAATTGCTAAACATTAAAAAAAAAATCATCTATAAGCAGTGAATTATTATACATCTTATGAAAGAGGTGTTTTATCCCGAATCATTTGGTGTCATTTTTGTGTGGTATGTGGACACGCCTGGATGACCAGGAGACTTTGTTTAAGAGAGTGCAAAAATCGACTTGCGCCAAACGGCTTATGTAATGTTTGAATAAAACAATTGGGATTTGGGTAGTAATTCGGTGTTTGCAGATCCAAAAGGCATCCCTAACAAAATTACGTCTATGGTACCACACATAATGAAAGAACATTTGTGCGCGCGCGTGTGTGAGTGTGACTTTGCTTCTGCAAAAAGCATATGCAATCATGTTAAACTCGTCTATGTCATTGTCAACTCATGTTTCTAGTAATTGTAAGTCAGTCAGATATCAACTAAGAAATCTAGGTTTTTATTAGGAAATACTTAAGTCGTTCAACCACAGAGAGAAACTTGTACATGCTCTTATTTCATCACGCTTAGATTTCTGTAATTCTATTCTCTATCTACTCCCTAACACACAACTTTCTCGACTCCAGAAACTGCAAAATACTGCTGCACGTATTGTCACACTTTCTTCTCGTAGAACCCACATCACCCCCATTCTCAAAACTCTTCACTGGCTCCCGGTATGTGACCGAATTACTTTTAAGTTGTTGTTGCTAGTTTTCCATTCATTGTATGACTCTGCTCCTTCCTACAATATCAAGTTGATTGTTAAGTATAAGCCTACAAGACATCTTCGTTCATCTCAATCCTCCTTATTAGTTGTCCCTAAGACGCGCAGTTCCTGGGGGGATAGAGCATTTTCTCATTCTGGTCCGTCCCTTTGGAATAAGCTGCCACTTAGTATTCGTAATTTAACTACCCTTCATGCCTTCAAAGTTGCTCTAAAAACCCATCTCTTTCTAAACAGTGCTATTTAATCATGTCAATGTAGCGTAATAATTTGTGTTGTTTTAGTTTACTTTATTTTAGTTAAGAAAGTTATATTTTTGTGATAGTAATACATGTATGTACAGCGCCATGAGCGTCAGAGCCTGGCGGATACCGGCGCTATATACATATCCATATTATTATTAATTGCATTTCATTTGCTACATTCAATTCATTCTCTCATTTTAATACTTTTGCGCAAGTCGATTTTTGCACTCTCACAAACAATGCCTCCTGTTCCTCCAAGTGTGAACACATACCACACAAAAATGATACCAAACGATTCGGGATATAATACTCTTTCAAAACATGTATGATAACCATTCGTTCATAGCTGACTAATAAAATAACGAAACCTTGAAATATAAGTGCATATTATGTTCACGTGTCGAATGAGTTTCATCTTTACAAATATGAAAGCCCCATTCATTGTGTTTGAAAGTTTGAATAAAAGACACACACCGTTGCTTTCTATAGAAAAATAAACATAACACTCTGTGTTTGGGGGTACTGAATGGCAAATACAAAGTTTTTAGAGTTGTACTAGCCCCGGTTTCTAGCATGGTCGATTGATTTGCTTCTGTTCATTGCCGTATATTCTATAGAGCCAGGTAAATATGTAGTTAGTTGCCATAGAATCATATCGCGGTGTAGCCTGCTTGTTTATGTTCCCTCAACGAAATGGCTGATGCGTTGCTTGGGGCCTGGGATTTTGTGGCCATCGTCGTCTACTTCGTTCTGGTACTCCTGGTCGGTCTCTACGTAAGTGACTAAATAATTAACTGTTTGAATCCTCTCCACGATACTTCATTAATGTTTCCTTCGTTAAGATTATTTACATTCACATGTTATGGTGTGGCGTCGCTAGGCCGATAATATTCATAGTGTAAACATAGCATAATGCACTATATGCATTCCGTTGCAGATTCTTCATAATTAGACAGTATACACTGTTAACAATTAAACTATTCATACCCTAATACCAAGTTTGGTAAATTTTAAGTAATATGTGAAAACATGATTTGTCCCGATCTATGTTTCTTGGGAATGTGACATTTTAAAGCTTACTTATATATGTTTCAACAAAGGCCCCAATTCCACCAGTCCACCTTTCATTATTGAGTTATGAAGAAAATAATTATGTTTAGGGTTTCTTTCCTTTACTATTCCATACAATGCTGATATAGCGACAATTTGTAGCTGCGATGATGGTGGTGTTTATTAAGGATGATGCGGTGACCAGTTCGACCTTGATTAGATGATAATGATAATGATGATGGTGATGATGGTGATGATGATGATGATGAAGATGATGATGGTAATGATGATGATGATGATGAAGATGATGATAATGATGATGACGATGATGATGAAGATGATGTTGATGAAGATGATAATGATCGATGATGATGATGCTGCTGTTGATGAAGATAGTGATGGTGATGATGAAGAAGATGATGACGATGATGATGATGAAGATGACTGATGATGATGCTGCTGCTGCTGGTGATGATGATGCTGATGCTGCTTCTGCTGATGATGATGAAGATAGTGATGGTGATGATGATGATTTTGGTTAGACTCATCGACGAAACGATAAACTCTAAACATAAATTGAAGTCTGTAAAAAACATTCTTCATTATTTCTCCTGTCCGGTGACTCATGAGTATTTCTGAAACATTTATAATCTTCGGCCAAACAGGGATCAAGCAATTCTCTCGATGTAAACAATCAGATGCATATTAATTGACCTAATTAGTACATAATCATGATAAAGCCAGGCTACAATTAATTTTCAATTGGTGAAAAGGGTATAATGTCAAAGCAAGGAGTTACCACACTGTAAAAAAATAATAGTCGAAATAATTCAATAAAATTGAGGAAAAGAATTGCCTTATTTTTATTAAGTAAATATTACCTACGGCATCTTAAGTAGAATTTACTTATTTTGCTGAATAAATTTTTACTCAGTTAAATCGAGTTACATTAACGTAAATAATTTAAGTATTGTAATCATTTTAGATAATTAAAAAAAAAACTATGATAGGATTACATATTGCACGATTTGGTACCCATCTAAACTAACAAGTAACATCCACTAATCATTCACTACTTCTATTTAAGATTAATTACTAATCACTAACACTACTTCTATTTAAGATTTAACCGTATATATATATATCTACCACCATCACAAACTATTACATACGCTTCAATTCGACACATATTGAAAGGCTCCACATTTTATATATACTTGATCGTATAGCATCTTAAAAGGAAAATTGGTTGACAATTTTCTGAAATATCAAGTTTTGATTTGTTTTGAACTGGGTAACAATTAAAAATTGTCTTGTCTTTGCTTAGCCATGTTAAATGAATTAGTAAATGTTTTAAAGTCCTTAAATTTTCATTCAACCACAAAAAAGAATTGTTTTATTTAAAAAAGAGTTTAATTTGGTCTTAATGAATATTCATAAATTATTTAAATATTTCTATTACGCACTGCATCGGTACTTACTTTAAAAAGATAAGAATAATCAACATAAATTGTTTGAGTAATACGTATAATTTCTGATTTTGAGTTAAAATTACTAAATTAATACAAGCTGAAGTTACTTTAAGTTCTTATGTATTTGATTTTACTTAAATATTCCACGTATGTATGTTCTACTAAATTGAAAGTTTGATTTAGCAAGACTTAAATTTAGTGCGTAAGTGGCAAAACTAATGTTTTCAAGTAAATTCTACATGGAAAAAATACGTAAAAATTACCAATGAACAAATTCTTTTTTACAGTGCAGCCAAACATAATTTAAGCTCTAATAAAATGATAGATGATTCTTTCTTTGAACAGTCGTTATGCAGATCGAACCGAGGAACAGTCAGCGGGTATTTCCTTGCTGGGAGATATATGACATGGCTACCAGTGAGTTAAAACTAAAATACATCCTTCTTTGTTTATTCAATAGTTATGTTTTTTTCTTCAAATCAAATAAATGTTTTGTGTTTCATGATTATCATATAGTAACAAGTTTATTTCATTTCATTTATTCGGTTTATTCTATTTTATTTAATTGGTTGTTTAACATTTTAAGGCGATCTTTCCGTACATGTTTTAAATGACTAGGATTATACAGACTTCATGTATATAAACAAAATATTATCAATATCCCTGTGAATATGAAGATAAGTATATCTCCTCGAATTATGTAGTCTTTCTCGGGGTATAACGCTATTCAACGGGATCAAATTAGCTAGTAAGAAATACTCAGAAATGTAACATATTTCTGTGTCTGACTGATAGCAATGACAATAGCTCATATTCAGCGCTCAAAATACACGGGGGCGGTGGGCGATTCGCCCCCGTGAGCTCCATAATCGCCCCCGTCAGGTTGCTCACGGGGGCGATTGCAAAATTAAAAAATCGCCCCCGTGGAATTATAAAATTAAGATTATCTTTTCTGATATAACTTTAACACAATATTGAGTATTAATTTTCAAACCTTAAACCAATGAAATAGAACTTAGATGGCGCTTTCTCTACCATCTCTACGAGTATTCCCGATACAAACAACGGAAGCTCGCGGTGCGGCCGTCAGCACAGTGGCTATACTGCGCTGGTAGTACCGGTGTGCACGCTGACGCCCAATATCTGCTGGAGCTGGTGATCGACAATCGCGCAAGGACTGAAACATGGAGAAGTTTTTCGTTGTGAAAGTTTGAATCCTCTGAAATCTGGTGATTCTTAAAGACCAGCAAATAATGTAACCCGACCAGTAAATCAATATTGAGAAGAGGAAGAAGGCATAAGATGTTGCAGGGGCGGATCTAGGCGGTTTAGGGGGTTTGACCCCCCCCCCCCCTTACGCTGCCAAGGAAAAATGTGATGTGCACAGAAAAATGCTATCATGTGTCCAGACCTACACAGTATTAGTAGATGTCAGTAGATGCCAGGAAAACATCACTAACGGGGGTTCAAAAAAGCACCAAAAAATCGCCTCGCCGCTTCGCGGCTCGTGGACGATGATCCGCATGTTAGTAGATGCCAGGAAAACACCACTTACGGGGGTTCAAAATAGCAACAACAAAAATCGCCTCGCCGCTACGCGGCTCGTGGACGATGCTCCACATCGTATTTGGGGTACCCCCCCCCCCAGGGCTCAAATTAATTTTTTGCCCACGGGGGCTCTTCCAAAAAAAAAAGAGCCCCCGTGAGCCTTCTCACGGGGGCGCTTTTAGTGCTGACGGGGGCTCTTATTTTAATACAAATTTCCATTGAATTGGTACCCGTGAAACTCCTTGGTATTTTATCATTATCATTTATCTAAGTCGGTATTTTTCCTCTTAGAAATTTACTTGTTACATAGCTGTTATTGACTTTTATCCCCGTGAGGACATTTTCTCCATTTCTTCCCGTTCTGCACATAATTTCCTCCTCATTATTCGGAGCAACCTTATTTACATTCTTTCTTTACTTTTAGTCTTTACCATATCCTTCCAAAACAGAGGGGCGGATCAAGCTTTTTGCTAAGGGTGGGGGGGGGTACCCCAAATACGATGTGGAGCATCGTCCACGAGCCGCGTAGCGGCGAGGCGATTTTTGTTGTTGCTATTTTGAACCCCCGTAAGTGGTGTTTTCCTGGCATCTACTAACATGCGGATCATCGTCCACGAGCCGCGAAGCGGCGAGGCGATTTTTTGGTGCTTTTTTGAACCCCCGTTAGTGATGTTTTCCTGGCATCTACTGACATCTACTAATACTGTGTAGGTCTGGACACATGATAGCATTTTCTGTGCACATCACATTTTTCCTTGGCAGCGTAAGGGGGGGGGGGGTCAAACCCCCTAAACCGCCTAGATCCGCCCCTGCAACATCTTATGCCTTCTTCCTCTTCTCAATATTGATTTACTGGTCGGGTTACATTATTTGCTGGTCTTTAAGAATCACCAGATTTCAGAGGATTCAAACTTTCACAACGAAAAACTTCTCCATGTTTCAGTCCTTGCGCGATTGTCGATCACCAGCTCCAGCAGATATTGGGCGTCAGCGTGCACACCGGTACTACCAGCGCAGTATAGCCACTGTGCTGACGGCCGCACCGCGAGCTTCCGTTGTTTGTATCGGGAATACTCGTAGAGATGGTAGAGAAAGCGCCATCTAAGTTCTATTTCATTGGTTTAAGGTTTGAAAATTAATACTCAATATTGTGTTAAAGTTATATCAGAAAAGATAATCTTAATTTTATAATTCCACGGGGGCGATTTTTAATTTTGCAATCGCCCCCGTGAGCAACCTGACGGGGGCGATTATGGAGCTCACGGGGGCGAATCGCCCACCGCCCCCGTGTATTTTGAGCGCTGCCCCCCCCCCCCACCCTTAGCAAAAAGCTTGATCCGCCCCTCTGTTTTGGAAGGATATGGTAAAGACTAAAAGTAAAGAAAGAATGTAAATAAGGTTGCTCCGAATAATGAGGAGGAAATTATGTGCAGAACGGGAAGAAATGGAGAAAATGTCCTCACGGGGATAAAAGTCAATAACAGCTATGTAACAAGTAAATTTCTAAGAGGAAAAATACCGACTTAGATAAATGATAATGATAAAATACCAAGGAGTTTCACGGGTACCAATTCAATGGAAATTTGTATTAAAATAAGAGCCCCCGTCAGCACTAAAAGCGCCCCCGTGAGAAGGCTCACGGGGGCTCTTTTTTTTTGGAAGAGCCCCCGTGGGCAAAAAATTAATTTGAGCCCTGCTCATATTTGTTTATAATGGTTACAGCTTTTAAGTATTGGTGCCCTGCAATAAATAGGTGTAACGCTATAACAAACGAAACAGTAACTTACGGTATTATATCAAGCTTGTTAGAAACAAAAAAGGAAAACAATACATTTCACTGACTATACTAAATCTAAATATTGTATATCTTTATCGTCAACATCGTCTCCATAATTATGCATACTTGCTGTTATTCCAATGTTTGTTTTCACTAAAAAGACTTTATAGGTTGGAGCATGCAGGTCTATACTGTCATTATATTTAATGTACCTTGCTACTAACACAATACTCTCACAGGTTAATATTTTTGTAACCTTCATGCATTTCTTTAGGTTGGAGCCTCACTTTTTGCAAGCAACATTGGGAGTGAGCATTTTGTTGGGCTGGCAGGGTCCGGCGCTGCAGCAGGAATTGGGGTAGCAGCATTTGAACTTAATGTAAGTGAAAAAGACAAGAGATATGGATGTCAGAATTATATAATCATACTACAGTATCATTCATTTACAACCAGCGCCACTTCCTACTGTGAATTCTTCTGATTGTAACTGTGAATGGTCGTTTGTATAGGTCCTTAAATATATATCAAGTATTTATTAAGGAAATTTAAATCACACAATTCTGAACTACTTTAAACTATTGTGGAAATATATAGTCATCTATTTTTATTGTTATTGTTATTGTTATTGTTATACGATATTTTTGCGTTATCAGTCTGTCAAATATGATACCAAATCAAACAAAATTAAAAGAACAGTACAATATAGAGATAGACACTAGCAAATCAACATATCTGCGTCACTGTTAAAGGTAATGAAAAAGCTGTATAACACATAACTGTTTTCATGATCCGTGATGCATTTCTTTCTTTCTGTTATCTTAGGTTATTTTCCTGTAATTCCTTTTCTTTTTCAGGCTTGTCTGTTGGTTCAACTGCTCGGTTGGGTGTTTCTCCCAGTTTACATTGCAAGCGGGGTATGTATGCTTCCATCCAGTTAAATGAATAGTCAAGGGTGGGGGATATTAATCAGGGTGTAAGAATGACGATTTTTGTTGTTGATTTTGTTGATTTTTTTTTAAACAAAAATTATTATTATTATTATTATTATTATTATTATTATTATTATTATTTTTTTTTTTTGGGGGGGGGGGGAATTAACTGCGTACCAAAATGAACCATCTCCGCTTAATGCATTGTCCCCTATCCCCATCACTAAGATATATCGATGCTTTAGATCCTAGCTGCCATTCTAAGTCTCTCATATTTCAGGTGAGACATGCAGTAGTATGTTAATTTATGTCACTCCTGGTTATTGTTATCTTTACTCTTACACTCAATCATCTATGTTACACTATAACTTTCAAATTTGTTATCCAATGTACACAAATTGAGAATGATCCTATCTGTTTGGATCGAAATCAATAAAGTTCGAATTTGAATTTATAAAATAGTGTCCCCCTCATGATAGACCCCCCCCCCCCCCAGTACTAAGATCCTCACAATCACATATATATTTTCCTTTCACTTCTCCCTATAAAAGGGGGATGTACACATTTTTCTTTTTTATTTGCTCGTATATATCCGATTTGAAAAAGGCTCATATACCTCTTTGTATTTTCGTTGCACGTTTATAGAATAGGACGTACCTCTTACAATGTAACCGGCAGTATTGCTGCAAATATGTACTCAGGGACATAAGATCTTTCATATTGTACTACTTTGACCTTCAATATTGTTGTTCGATCTGATACTCGTTTTTTTTTCATTTACGTGTCATTTTGAGGTTAGGTGTCAACCTTGCCTGAGTATATGGCAAAGAGATTTGGAGGCAGTCGTATTCGGGTCTATCTGGCTATGATTTCACTTATCCTCTATATCTTCACTAAAATATCGGTATGTTAGCCAATATTATGAACACCTTCCATTTATACCGCACACAAACACACACACGCACACAGAAACGCGCCACGCCCCCACCCACACACGCGCGCACACGTATTTATATCGTATTTTGATAATTACGATTCAATTACTCCAAAAATATGGCAGAATAAACCATGTCAGCTATAACCATTGACTTTTATCTCATCATACTGATTAAGAAGACAAAATGTACCAACAAATGCATTTCAGTATTGTCTTTAAAACATTTCTTCACAAAGGACGATTATAAGCAAGAAGACGTTTTGAAATGAGAAGATTCACTTTAATGGTATGTTGGAGAGCTATACGACAAGTATAGGCAGTCCATAGTGATAGATTTATATAATCGACCGCCAGATACACAAGAAAACAACAATTAAATATATATAGGCCTATATAACAAATCAAAATGTACACGATTTTTTTAATGGCTTTTTTGTCTGACAGCATTGCAAAAATATGGGTTTTCTCTATTCTAACATATTGAATCATGCGAATAGTAATCATTCAGCTTGAAAGTTTTAATGAATTATCGTCACATATGTTCATATTTAAACTTGTACACGTTCCAACCATTTTTATTTTATTCTGAACTTGTCAAATAGTAGTTCATATTTTGATTTCATTATCGAAAGTAGTAGTAGAAGTATTAATTTTGTAACCCCGAATCCCGAATATGGTTCATTAATACACCCTCCTTAAATTTGGTTTGGGTTTAACTTTCCTATTTATTGCGCATTTGCATTAGGTTTTACGGGATCAAAGTACGCTGATCAAAGGAGAAAATGAATTCTATTTATTCCATCTTGCTTCTATTTGATCAACATCTAAAACTACAAACGAAACAACGCCTTTAACTAATTTATGCAGATGTACTGAAAAAGAAACGGTCTCTTTTCAAACAAATTGGGTCAAAAGATGTACGAGGTGAATTAAACCCTATAAATATTTTTACAGAATTATCTATGTGCTATGCTGTTTCTTTAGATGATTGTTAACAGCTCTACATAAAACAGTCCATTTGACCGACCTGCGCAAATTTACAACAATAAAACCGTTGTCTGTTTACCAAACAAATCTGGGTAATAGTTAAAGGGTGTATGAATGAAACTGAACCCGTTTAATATGATGAAATAATTTTTATGAACATAATAAAGAAAGAAAGCAAACAGCCCCTTTGGCCCCTTTAGATCGGATCATAACACAAATCATTACTGTAGCTTCAACCATATTGTTTTTTTTACAGTTTGCAGAGTCCAGTCCCCTTCATGTATCAGTTTCTTTGAAAACCTTGATGGTTGTCTGTTTTTTTTCTTTCTTCTTTTTATTTATCCAATCACATAAAACACTACTGGCCGGATTTTGACCATGACTTCGCTTGGATACCAAAATATTGTAGTAGTAGTAGTAGTAGTAGTAGTAGTAGTAGTAGCAGCAGTAGTAGTAGTAGTAGTAGTACTACTACTACTACTAGTAGTAGTAGTAGTAGTAGTAGTAGTAGTAGAAGTAGTAAAAGTAGCTACCACTAGTAGTACCATTATCATGATTATGATTACCATTATCTCATTATTATCATGAAGTGTTTTCGCATTAAACAAAAATCAACATTACCACGATGATCAAGTCTTTAACTATTATTGTTCCTTTAACAGGTTGATCTTTACTCGGGTGCTCTATTCATCCAAGAAGCACTTCATTGGAACCTATACCTATCCATCATACTACTCCTTGCCTTGACTGCAGTATGTACCGTTACAGGTTCGGCAAACTCCTAACTTTTATCTTATACCCTAATTTAAAGTTAATGTAGGCCTACAAGTCACGTAAAATTTCATCATCACAATATTATCCTACGAATTTACTCATTTTCTTTACATCTTTATCGACGATGTCTCGCTTTTATGATCTGTGCGGAGTTTGTATGTGTAAACATATATTTCATTTTAAATTTTTGTATATTTATTTAAATCATTTCAGAGTAATGTCGTGTTTATTCGCAATTGTTTATGTCGTCTTTGCAGTCTAAAATTTGTTTTCGAGTCACATCGTATCTTATGAAGCTTCATTTAAGTGTCAAGAGCCTTTTCCGGCAGAAGGGAAATGAGTGTTAGGGACGATGATCCCCGCCCCTCCAAAAAAAAAGAGGATAATTTGTGCCCAACGAGAGTTAGTTTCTGTGTGAAAATACACACTCCTTCTTTAAAGGTAAAGACCAGTTATGGTCATGCGATTGCATTGTGAAAGAAACGTTGTGGAATCGATCAGAAAAGGTTGATCATCTAGCATCTAGCATCTGCAAGGTTCTGGAATCATCAAAATGACAAGAAATTTGGCCCATTCTTCGTAAAGTTACAAGCACTATACACAGAAAGATGTATATGGGACTACCCTATATCTCTCACAGACCATGAGAGAAACAAATTTACCAAATATATGAATTAGTAGGCGGTTTCCCGGCAAATTTTTTATCATCATGTATTAGTCAAAACATATTCTTTCACATGATAGGTAATGAGAGCTTCCATTTCATTTTTTGAAATTGGGGTGTTTCCAATACTGGTCTTTACCTTTAAAACAAATCTTTTGCTTGTTTTCAGTATGCAACAAAATATGCAGAGTAACCAACACAACATGTTTTTGTGCTTGAACAGGAGTATATTAAGATTCACTTCATAAATTATGTTTGGTTTATCCTTTAGGTGGTCTTGCTGCAGTTATCTACACAGACACACTTCAATTCTTCATCATGATTATCGGGGCATTCATCCTCATGATTATGAGTAAGAAGAAATAAAACAATAATTACTCCTCCTCTATCTCTGCATTTGTTCTCCCTCTCTTTCGCTCTTTCTTTCGTTTCCTTTGTTTCCATTTTCATTTTAAAGCTTAAAATGCATATAACATTATTATTCAAACATTCTCTTAAATAAAAATCAAATGACTTCAAAGCGGAAAGAAATATAACATAACACAATCATAACGAGTCCTCGAACATTTATCTTGTGAAATAACTACTTGGAATGTTGTATATAAACATAAAAATTCAAACTTTGATCTATGATTCCATTAGTTCACTGTCTTCTATTTATCTCTTTATACATGTATATGTAAACGATCTTTTCCATATGTGCAGAGGAAATTTGATTTGTTTAATTCAACTTCGAATATGTCACTATATTCACCATTCACCTTATTAACATATCAAGTTTAAGTTTGTCCTCACGAAGCCTTTCTTGAATTTCTGTTTTTAAAACATAGGTTTTGTCCGCATCGGTGGATATGAGCAACTCCGAGTAAAGTATATGAATGCTATACCGAACACAACAATTCAGAATCCGGATACTTCTTGCGGATATCCGAGAGAAGATTCTTTCCAAATGTTACGTCACCCAACTAACTCTGACATGCCCTGGGCCGGGTTCCTGTTCGGTCAGACACCGGCATCTATTTGGTATTGGTGCACGGATCAGGTACGGTGTAAATATGGCCTCGCTGATGAGAACCATTAATAAACCCATGGATTATAGTACACATAGAGCAATATCTATATCAAATTAAATGTGTAAAAAGGACATTTTTGCTACCCAAAAAATATATATATATAGTGGCTTAGGGATAGCAATAAATTGATATATAAATGATCAAAACAATGATTATAACAAATGAATAAATGAATGAATGAATACAAACATTAATTAATCAATAAAGTAGGCATAATTGATCACTTGATATATTGACTAATTAACTGTATCGAATAAAGAAAGGTGATGACTAGGATGCGTGGCAAAACAGAGTCATTTTATTCTTAATCTTCTGCAATATCATTCTATTCTAATAATAATTATTTGTATACGATCATATTGCATAACCATACACACTCTTCAAGTAATAAACACAAATAAATATACCTGTTCTCATACATTGAATTTGTTAGCTCTCCGGCCGGGGTTCTCTTTCTGAATATATTACTAAGAACATCATCTGGGAAACTATCATTAAGTTACTTTCTCTAAAAGAACATTTCCTTACTTCCGTGCTTTCTTTAAAAGCGCAATATCACTCTTCCTGGATCTCATAATAAATACTTGGCTACGAATAACTTCACCAATGAATGTATTCTGCGGGCTCCACATAACTAAGGAAACGTGAATACAATTTATCAACCTGGTTCTGTCACATCTCGACTTGAGATTTTCTAGATATTATTCGATTAATCACCATATGAAGAAGAAAGGAGGAGAAGGGAGAGAAGTATATTTATATGGGTCAATCTGGCTGTCCAATCCTTTAATTCGAATCATTTTTGGTTTATTTAGATGATGGTACAGAGAGCCCTCGCATCCAAGAGTCTGTCTCATGCACAGGGAGGTTGCATCTTCGCTGGATATATTAAATTTCTCCCCATGTTTCTAATGGTACTGCCCGGGATGATCAGCAGGATCATGTTCCCAGGTACAAAGCTATTGATATTCCATTCAGTAAATAGGGATAAATTTCATGTTATTTTCAGCTCACTTGAATCCAACGAATATGAGATGATCAGTTAACACACACGTCGCGGAGGCGCTGAGGAGATTACATTTTTTTAGATGGTTGTTCATCGAAAGTGTATTTTATGTAGACCGATTTGCATCTATCTATCTCTTTATAGTATCTTTATGGTTAAATGAATACACTGAAAATTTGCCAAATTATTGAAATTATTTCACTTTTCATTTACTAAACTGTTGTTTCATTATTTATGCAAGTTTGTTATATACTACTTGATTTGACAATGTTGTTTTATATTGACTTTTGTCATGCTTAAAACACAAATGAAACGAAACTGAATTTTAAATTGAACTTAGTTTGAATTGGAGAGAGGTTTGAAAGTCTCTGTCAAAAGTTTACTGATCCCTCTTCTTCTTCATTTAGATGAAGTTGCCTGCTGTACAGCCGAAACGTGCATGGCGGTGTGCGGTAGTACCACGGGGTGTTCCAATATTGCATATCCTAGACTAGTCATGTCTGTCCTTCCCATGGGTTTGTATTCCAATCATGTAGGCTATTCTTTGACGACACAATACATGACAGGTGATAATGTGGTTAATGAAGTATGAATACAGAGCTAGATTGTCATGTTGGCACTGGGTACCAAATATCTGCTACAATACGTTCGGTTAGGTCTATATCGAGATTTAGTGTTGGTAAGCATAGCTTCAACTTTTGCAAAACCTTAATAAGTATGAGATCATAGGGAATGTGAATCTAGAGGTGGCAATTGAGAAGAAAATGTCAGAAAGAGCTCTCCTTATTATCGAAAGTTATGAACTCAAACCATCAGGGGCGGATCTAGGGGGGGGGGGTCGGCGGTTTACCCCCCCCCCTTGGGCGACCAAGTGAGAAAAAAAAGTAGAAAAAAGTAAAACGGCGCGAATTTTGGAAAATCCTGGGTCAACCCCCCCCCCCTTGGCATAAAGCTAGATCCGCCCCTGACCATGACATCTTTTTTGAATATCTGTTCATGTCAGTTTTAATTTAATTTATCTATTCATCACCTTTCCTTTAGGCCTGCGTGGTATAATGCTTGCTGTGATGCTGGCCGCCCTGATGAGTGATCTAACATCCATCTTCAACTCAACCAGTACTCTGTTTACCATCGATGTTTGGACCTACTTCAGAAGGAGATTTAGCAAGAAAGAGCCAGGGGTCAAGGAACTCATGCTTGTGGGCAGGTGAGGGCTTGTGTATATGGGTAACGATTCTCTCAGACATTTGGTGCCGAGTGCCGTTTAGTGCCGAGTATAGGATGTGAGGTGTCAAGTTTAGTGGGGTGCCTAAAGGTGTGTTGAGTTTAAGTGTAGGGTGATGAGTCAGGTAGCATTGAGTTCGTTGTGTAGTTGGGGTGACAAGTAGGGTAACAAGTGGGGTGCCGGGGGTGAAGTTGGGTACCGATTTGGGGGCTTTGTGTGCCGATTGAGGTGTCAAGTGGAGTCCCGAGTGGTGTGCCGAGTGGGGTGCCGAGTGGGGTGCCGAGTGGTGTGCCGAGTGGGAAGTGGGTGCCGAGTGGTGTGCCGAGTGGGATGCGGGTGCCGAGTGGTGTGCCGAGTGGGGTGCCGGGTGGTGCGCCGAGTGGTGAGCCGAATGGGGTGCCGAGTGGTGTGCCGAGTGGTGTGCCGAGTTGGGTGCCGAGTGGTGTGCCGAGTGATGTGCCGAGTGGTGTGCCGAGTGGTGTGCCGAGTGGGATGCGGGTGCCGAGTGGTGTGCCGAGTGGGGTACCGAGTGGTGAGCGGAGTGGGGTGCCGAGTGGGATGCCGAGTGGGGTGCCGAGTGGGGTGCCGAGTGGGGTGTCGAGTGGGGTGCCGAGTGGTGTGCCGAGTGGTGTGCCGAGTGGGGTGCCGAAGTGGATACCGATTTGCGGGCCGATGTTTGTACCGAGTTTGGTGCTACGGTGGGTGCCGAGTTAGCAGCCGAGTTCTGTGAAGGGTGCTGACTGCGTGTTGAGTTTGGTAAAAGAGTGCATGCCGGGTGGATGCCGAATTGGGTTCCCGAATTTCATATGGTATGCCAATTTGGGTGACAAGTTTGGCGACGAGTTCCGAGTTGGGTGCCAAAGGGGTATGAAGGGGAATGTCAAATGAAATGCCAACTGGGTTAATTGTTATAAGTAGGGAGCGGCATTGGATGCCGAATGGAGTGCTTTGTGAGGTGCAGAGCAGGGTGCCCATAGCACAGCAAAAACACATGAAAACAGTTCTATATAGTTAGCCATAACTCGTAATGACTTGCGAATGTCGTGGTATCTCTTAAAGCTCCCTTTACTCGAGAGCATTAGGTGGGCGGGTAAAACTCAGCATCCAATATCTCACTCAACAAAAAGATGGAGAAGTTTAGTTTTCGTCATTGACAGACACTATTTTTGTACATTTCTTGTCCTATTAGGGAGCTTCGTGGTTGAGTTAGGGCGTTCGGCAACCAATTGCCTGAAATGGACCTTTAAATTGAATCAAATACGATGTATTACTATTTTCTATCTCCTTCGTTGCATTTTCTTGATACTTGCATCAGATTGGTGGTCTTAGTATTGGTCGTAATTGCCATTCTATGGGTTCCCATTATCCAAGAGATTCAAGGAGGACAGCTCTTCATCTACATCCAAGAGATCTCGGCTTACCTGGCCCCACCCATCGCTTCTACCTACCTGGTCGCTATCTTGTGGACCCGTGGGAACGAAGAGGTCTGATTATTAACTTAAATTGGAATGCAATCTTTCAGAAAAATAATTGAAATGTCAACTGAACGATCAGTCGGTGAAATATAGATCAATACCATTATTTATTCATAAGGCCAACATAATATATACGTCATTCAATCAAACAATCAATCTTTCACCGCAACATCGATGAAACCATTCAACTGGTCGATCAAACTGTATCAAAGGCAGACCATTAACCGTTGACTTCTGTATTATCTCATTCCCATCGACTTTTAAATAAAAAGCACCCGTTTCCCGTAGGCAGTGGGTAAATCAAAATAGCTTGTACGCAAAACCTGCTGGTTTCTAAAACCAAGATCGTCTCCTCTTGTTTGTTAGTTTGTTTTTACCTGATTGCTTAGAGGACACATGTATGCTTGTAAGTAAGCAACCAGGGGAAAGACGGCTTTAATGCCTCTCCAAGGGACTTGGTAATGATGATTAATGCCTTACCAAAGGGCACTAGCGCAGCGACATGGTTTCGAACTCCGAACCTCCCGATTACGAGACCACTGCTCTACCACTGAGTCATCGTGCCTGTGTCTGGTTTAGTTAAAACAGCAACTCTTTGAGTAAACAGCAAATGATATGTAAAATGCAGTTTAATTAAATGATTAAAGGGTTACTTATTCCATTTCTAAACTTCTTCCACCTAATGTTGTTTGAAAGGCTTTTCATAAACCATAATTTTTATTTTGTGAAATAGGGGTGCTTCTGGGCGCTGTGTGCAGGATTCTTCGTGGGCGGTATCCGAATGATCCTCGACTTCGTCTACAGAGCACCGCCATGTTGGGGAGAGCCTATCTACAGGCCATCGATTGTAGCTAACATGCATTACATGTACTTCGCTCTCTTCCTCTTTTGGTTCACCATCTTGGTCAATGTGGTGGTCAGTCTCCTCACTGATCCACAAGATCCCCGGAAGGTAATCGAGAAAACAACTTGAACTTACAATTACTGAATATAAGAAGTCTAGTGAAAATAATCTTACCAGAGAGGATTTTGCACAGCAAAGTTCAGATTTCTAATCCCACAAAATAGTATAGTGCTCTGTCCTTTTGTTTAAAAGCACTTTACAAATTACTCCTTTGTATGCAGTTTCGAACAACGGAATCACACGTAAACAAAATCTACAAAAAAAAAGACGATCTAAATCCGATTTCCTGTTTTCAAATTGTCAGTAAGATTTAATCTTGTTTAAAAAAAATTCATGAAAAGTGTACGCTGATTAAAAACATAGATGTTCCGTTGAACTGGCAGTTGGTTTGTATCTGTTGTGTATAAATATATAGCTTTACGCTTTTCTTGTAGAATGACATTAAAACTCAAATAAAATTTCTTTTATCAAGTTGCATGCTGGTACACTGGCAGTTCAACGATATTGGCACCAGCTTTTTAAATCTCTTTCGTGTAAAGTATTGCATAACTGAGCCCCAGCTTTATTTTATAAATAGGAATTTTTTTCGTACGTCCATCATCTATGTTCGATTTTTATTTTGTACAGCTTATAAGGACAACATGGTGGACTCGTCTGAGTCGAGTGGAGCGTGAAGATGAACTGACTGTCACTGAAGAAGAAACCAAAGAAATGGAAAAAGACGGTAAGCCCTTAGATATTTTACATTGATTTGAGATCAATTATTAAAAATAATATCTTCAGAAATGTAGGATACGAAACATCAACATGATGGCATTCTCAGTAATTAGTTACGGAAATAACAAGTTAGTGAGATTTTAATCGACTTCAGAAGAGAGAAGAACTTGGTCTCTATAATAAATACCATTGATCTCTCTCTACACAAATTATCTTTTGGAACACTTGGTGATTGCAGTTTGTAAGGTTGACAAAACTTTATAATTTCCTTCACTGACTACCATTTATCACAAATCATGATATCATCATCATCATCGTCGTCATCATCATTATCATCATCATCATCATCATCATCATCATCACAATCACCATTGCACCATCATTTCCACCACCACCACTATATTATAATCATCAATAATCATTACCATCACCATCATCATCTTCATAATCATATCACCACCACCACTATAATGATGATGTTGATTATAATTGTCACCACCACCACCACCGCCATGATGATGATAACGATGATAATCACCATCCTATTTATCATGATCATCATCATGATCATCAATTTCTTCTTCATCATTATCTTCATAATTATCACCCCCGTCACTATTATTATGATTATGTTGAGGATAATCATTGTCATCAACACCACCACCACCATGATGATGAAAATGATGATAACCACCATCCTATTTATCATCATCACCATCATCATCATCATCATCATCATCATCATCATCATCATCATTCTTTTTCATTTCATACCAATGATCCTCCTCCTTGTATTCATCAGATGAGGTACGTTCCGATGAACGGAGCCACGTGCGTCGAGCTTACGACTGGTTCTGTGGTTACGACGATACCGCCAAAGGGAAGGAGCTGCTCAAGGAACAACAAGAACGTCTCAGTAAGATTACGTCACTTAAACAAGATCCTCGGGCCAAAGTCTTTCTCAACATCAACCTAGTACTTATCATTGGAGTCACTACATTCATGTATCTCTTCTACTCAACATAAGCCAATGAAGTACACTGATTTTAAGCACAAAATTAACAACAAAACTAACGGTTAAATAAACGTCTTAGTTTTCATGTTTGTTTGTTTGTTTTCTTGACATTTAAATAAGAGTTATTTTGATATTTTTATATGATTGAAGACGATGTCAATTACTAGCATAGGCCTTTATGAAAGAGGGACAATTTGCCCCTACTGGTATATTTGCGACCAATACAGCCACATTAGGCTTCGTTCAGATACGACACGGCTCTCGCATTGTTGTTCTCTTGTTAGGGGAATCCCCCGTAAAGCAGAGTCCAGGGCCCTCTCTCTCTATAGCAGGGATAGTTACCCCTTATTAGGCTAAGGTCTGGATATGCCGCTTATAGTATATGATCAAAAAAGCAAATAAATGTAAATTTATGAATAAAACTTTATCAGATACATATATAAAAATTCCAAAACCATATTTACAAGCAACAAAGTTTCATTTTTATCCCTATATTTTACCATCGAGTATTCGTATAACATTTCCACTGCTTAAAATTTCTAGTTGAGAACGAAATCAATTCTATTTACTGTAATGTAGAGAAGCAACAAAAAATTTGAACGCAATAAAATATTTTGATATGCCCTTTTGTGATCGTATAAGCTTGATTCGCAATATTTGTATATTTTAATTGTTTCTATCGTGAGTACAACTTGATGCTGTTATTATATGTTTTAATATATAGACCTTTCGTAAAATTATGATTGAATGCAAGAATTCCATTTTAAGATATCAATGTCAAACGGGTACATATCACACTATGTATATGTTTTAATCATAATGTTCATTGTAGAATTAAGTCAGTTAGCTTTTAGAACAATATATATCAGCTAGTGATGATATGGTTTGATGTTATCTTTTGGTGGAAATTCATGTGATAAAACTGCATTTATTACCACAAGACTCTATGACCCGTTTGATGAGTAATCAAGTTTGCGATAATCTAAGGCCATATTTCATTTTCTTAGAAGGTTAGACAGGCTCAATTTGGATAGGTGCAACCAGGGTATCAATAACTGTGACGGGTTCGGTCAGTGCCAGAAATTCATGGCTATACTCCAGAGTATTATTTACCAATCGGGGTTAAGGAAAGGATGGCAAGATTTCTTCCCAACTGAATACTTTTGCTCTAAAAGACAACACATAAACCTCGTATACATCATTGAAACGTTCCAAACCGTTTATTGCTGAAGAACAAAAATTTCCAGAATGTATTCCGTTGTTGATTACTATAATATAAATGAATAAAGTTGAAATGATTCTCGTGATAATCCTATGAGATTTTGTTGTCACTTTGTTCTGTGTTTGATCAAATATTTTACATAAAATTACAAATAACGGACACACCAGTGTTGGTGGAATAAAGACAGTTGACTACAAGTTTTTATTTTAAGAAATGTGATACTATCGCAAAGAATTTCCCAAAATTAACCCAAGGCAATTTCAATAGAACTGTGCGTCACCTGTTGCAATGTGCGAACATGATTTTATTGGCGATGCAATAAAATGCATAAACTTGCCCTCGAGTGGATTTCTAGAAAGTCTCCGCGAACGTGTTCGATGGAAGTAGATGAGGTGTGTAAAATGGTAACTTAAAAAAGAATACTTCATGACTACAATAAAAGATAATAGAAGTACTGAACTTTCAAAGCAATATCTCTTAGGAAAAGAAAATCGTCATGGAAGAAAAATAAGAAAGGATCTACATGTAGGCCCAATATAGCAAGGACACATGCAAAGTTTTTGTTTTTGTATGAGTAAATTATTAGAGGGCGACATGCTCATCCCAAAGAGAGTTAATTAAGAGTGTATATATATATATATATAAAGATACATAAATTTAGTTTACCTCGCAAAGGGCATATGTCAACGTGAAAGGGACATTTTTCAGTTAGATGGGGGATATTATGGTCAAAATTTTGATGCCGACCATGGCAGCCATAATGATCAGATAGGGCCTAATACCAACCGAGGACTAACTGTATTTGATATGATAATGATTAAAAGGATGAATTTCATTTTTTTTTCTTTCACAGAAACCTGTATAAAAGGGACTAATCCTTATAGGCCATCAGCCTGTAGAAACGTTTTTTCTTGTTTCCTCTCATGAGGCTTTATATACAGGACTGACCACGTACGCATCCTCACTTGCATGGTGTGACATACTTTCTCTCAATTTAAACAATCAAATGAAAACAACACAAACAAACAACAACATTAGCCAAAACCTTTCCAGTTTCCACCATCATATACCAACAGGTTATGATACATGACACAATTAAGAGTTATTTAAATTGATACTTCTTTATTTCTATATTCTGCTCTTCAACTATGTACTACTCAACATTCTACAAGTAAAAAAAAATACCTGGGACCTAAAATAAATATCTGCAAGTACAGGATTGCATATTATCATGTGCACATGCATTCTTGCATACTAAATTTCTCAACCAACTTATACAAATATCATCACAATCTTAAAAGAAAATATCACAAAAGTCCAAATGGCTCAAGGTGACAGCCTTCTAACCAATATTTGGAGATAGCTATAATTATTTTGCATATCACATATACATGTATAATATAATGAAAGACTTGAAGTTTTAAATCACATTGACAGCAAAAGTATAATAGGTCTCATAAGCTTTTTTTTCATAAGTAGTTAGACCCAGCAGACCTTATAAAAAATATTTTGAGGGTCATGAGATCGATACTGTCAATCCTGTGTACTATTAAAATCCAGGGAGGTGACCCACCCCCCCCCCCCCTTGATTAAAAAAAAATCTATGCATGCATGGAATAACTAATGTCATCAGTAGTTGCAGTATTTGGAAGAAGCATAAAATATAACTTTGTTTATCAATGCTCAGAAATAAAATTTGATTTACTACCAAATTGTCTTCTCCATCTTACAACTTGGAAGGCACATGAAATAAAATATACATGTACATTCAAATCTGACTCACATAATTTGTATACAAACTTGCCTAAATTCTCTTGGATCAAACTAATGTTAATTGTACATGCATGGTAATTCTGACTTTACAATCAAAGAAAACAGTACACCAACAAAAAATAAAGTAACTTTGTATATTAAAAAAAGAACTGCAACAAAGCTACATATACACGAAATACAATGCACATATCTTTTAGATGTATCATTTGTAAATAAAATGTTTAAGCTTCCTAAAGACATGTATGTAATATTTTCTTTAACGTTGAATATTTCATAACAAAGATACTTTTCAGCCTTATTTGACTTTCACCAATTGCTTTGGTTAGCCTATGAATTAAACAAAATCTGACAAATGATTGAAAGAACTAATGTGTATACATACATTTTATTCAGTCTTATAAATTTTATGATAGACAATAATTCGTCCCTATTTTCACGAAGTGACGGTAGTGAGGAAAATTGCATACAATTTGCATGACGATTTTCCTCACTACCATCACTTTGTGAAAATTGGGACGAATTATTCCAACTTTAATACATACAAAATAATCAAAACCTTTGATTATTTGATTGATTTTCCTTCTCAAGAGAGAAAATTTCAGAGCATCTCATTTTATTATATTTATACATAGCCCAGAGCAAGAATATCCTTAAAGTTACATTTGGGTGTCAGCTTGAATGTTGGAAAGGTATAATAGCTTTGGCATTACACTCACTAAATGCTTACGGGAATCCCATGCAATGTCATATTTAATGAATCATTTTCATTGGATTAATATGATAATTAATTCCTGATCTATTTTCTTATCAAATCACATGTTAGATCTCTCTCTCAAATTTCAATGTTCTTCATCTTTCTTTAAAAAACCAAAGCAACATGCTATTGGGCATAAAATGGTTTGAAAACAGCACAAATAAAGCACAGAGGAATTAGACCACACACAAAGCATTCTGCCTTGTTTCAATTAATACAGGACACTTCATTATTAACAAGCATTCAAATTGGTTCTATCCATCTTCCTTTGATCTCTCTACAAATCTGGTCTAGTTCCTGGTCCAGGTCCTAGAACTCATCGTGTTTTGGTCCTGGAAACTCCTCATGGCTAATGGCTCCATTTTTATCTTTGTCCATCTGTTTGAACATGTGATCAATAGCGCCCTTATGATCCTCAAACTTCTCCAGTCCTCCAATACTGGTCTCCTCCATATACCTACGGATCTGTACCAAACGGAAAGAAAAATGAAAAGAAAATACAAAAAGCAAAAATATTAATATAAGGTGCATCAAAATAAGTTGATATAATAGCTCACATTTATAATGCGCCTAATACTTTGTTTCTAGGCGCAGCACATATTACCCCGATTATCAGATCCAAGTTTACCCGCAACACAATGTATGCACATTTTCCACTCCCTGGGGAGTATTTCACATATGCACATATCGTCTGCTGAGAGCCAGAAGGGTGCCAACTAATAGAACTTATATCCTGTTTATTCCCTTCCAGCTTTCAGAAGATGGTATAAGTTGTAAACAAATAAACAGGGATAGATTTTTTTTGAATTATTGAGCACATCACATTATATTAATAAACTACATGTGCTGAGAGCAAGAAGGGCATTAAGTAATAGCGATTCATTCATTTTAATACCTTTTTGCGTTTCAAAAGACAAGGATAAATGTAATAAAAATCATTTTTATAATACGCACCACCTTAAGTCAATATGCACATTTATTTATATGCATATGTATTGATTGTTGAGAGCCAGGATGGTACAGTGTAGGGCTAATAAATTTATGCCCTTTACATGATCATGTTCATGCCTTTCTGGCTCTCAAAAAGACAATATAAGAGTATTACTTTGCATGGTTTATCAAAATAAAAGAATGTAATTGGCACCAAGCATTTTTTATAATTGCAATTTATTATGAAAATGTCTAAATTACCTAAATTTACAGCTTAGGTATAAATTTTATGCAAAATATAAGAAACCTGAAATATCTTTGCAGGTTTGCACAATAAATTTGCGCCTGTTTGAAATGATCTAGATCCACAGCATTTTTAAAGATGTTTCTAGGAGGAGTAATTATTAGAAAATTATGACATGATCAGATATTCTATTTGGTTTATCGTTGGCTACTAGTTCCAGGAAATACATGTGAAGAAATTAATTACAGTAATCATGGCGTATCTTTAAATTCCTTGAGCTTAGAACTATAAAAAGATACATCTCGGACAGGACTAATTTTTTTTAGAGGAATGGTTATATGTATTACAAAGACAATTTCACAGGTACATATTTTGCCCGGCGTAGAAACAAGATATAGGCATGGGTTAGTTTTGAGAAGAGGTGAGGTTATTTTTTCCCCAAATACATGTAATACATTTGCAATTCCTCCTAAAAAAAAAGAAGAGCCAAAATGAACAAGTTATAAGAGTACCGGTAAGCATTATACTTTTTTTTCAGCACATACCCTATAATTCTTCATGAGCATTGTGCCCAAAGAACTCATTTGAAGACAAAGAATTGCTTCGGTCATGGTCTTTGTTTTCAAAAATATTATTTATGGCTCCATCCAGAGTTTCTTCTTCCCGCATTCCCCCAAGGCCTTGCTTGCTCAGATAAGCTTTCATCTGAAAGTACCAGAAACCAGAAAGCAGAAAGAAATTTAATTTTACAGAAACAGCTGCAGTTAAACAGGAACTAATCACCAAAGAACATCTTGTGCTGTACATTTGGGAATCGGGATTCAACTCTGGTATACTATATTCAAAATATCCCCTCCAAAAACCAGTAGTGTACAGTGCCTCGATCAGTAAAGATATTGCAAGTTTTGATACAGACATTGTAATCTGAACAGCTATTTGATTTACAAGAACACTAGTTGACACATGTATGTTTTCCCATGATACACACATTTTTTTTTTCTTCAGGTGATTAGATCCCCTTTAGAGAAAATAGTTACATTTTTTAACCAGAACATTACTCTAAGCTAAAAATGGGCTATGAATGTTAACACTATGAACACAATCACCAAATGAAGATGATTATAAACATAAAATAAGATGATTTTAACCCCTCAAAATACAAGTCTAAATTGTGTTAATTGAAAGACAGTGAAAGAAAGAGCTGGCTACTTGGCTAGCCTAGAAAGCATTGTTACACAAGACAAATGCTACTACATCTCCTATCTGCCTGCGTATAGGAGATGGATAAAATTATTTGTGACATATCACAATGAAAATATCTAACAATATCCACAATACCAACATCCATAAACATTTACACAAGACAATAAACATGGTCTCACAAACCTCATCTTTCGAGATCTCTTTGTTTTCATCAAAATCCATTTTCTTGAAGAGGTTCTCAGCTGGGGGCGAGTCTTGGATGTTGCGCACTTCAAAAGTATAGCCAACATCTTTTCCCTTTGGTGGAGGCTTGGAGTCTGTAGTAACAAAATAAGGTTGACAAAAATTAAGACGGCATCACAGAATAATAGAATGTGCATCCATATGAAGTTAAATAACCATTGCTTACTTCATTGATTCAATAATTATGTTAGGTGTTATTTTTGGTCATTGTGCAATAAATTCAAATTACGTAAAAAAAAAAAACAATCCATTAATTGTCATCAGTGGTATTCCCTCAAATAGATTTTGAATATATAAATGCTGAACAAAGATAGAGTTTTATCAATATGTTACTCATCGCACAAAACCGTAATGTATTACTCTGTCTCAGTTCCTTTAAATCTGTATTTTAAAGACAAACAACATTTGAAAATTTTGTCTTTCATTGACCAAGGTCAGTTGTCAAATAGTTCCAAGTTAATGCTAAAATCAAAGTTTAATTGTCATAATTAATAGCTCACTTGGCAGTCTATGGTTCAGGGTAAGTTGTCCAGCTGGAATCAAGACTTCTCTCTTCTCCCTCAAGCAAGCTCCCTCTAAGCCCTGGTGCCATCCCTGCATGGCAGTACTTTTTTTATCATTCAGACGAAAGTTAACCGGCCCTGTATTGTCCCTGAAAATCGAACAAACACATAGAGAGATGTGGTAGATTGATTCTAAAATACTATTACTTTCCTGAAAATTTAAAACAAACACATTAGATTAGAAATTTAAATGAGAAGTTTGAAAAACATTTTAATCACCCTGGGGGACGTTTCATGAAACCACTTCAAGACAGTCAGGGGGGCGGTAGGGGCAGTGCCCCCCAAAAAAACGAGAAGAAAAAAAAAGAGAGAAGAGGAAAAAAGAAAGAGAGAGAAGAAAGAAGAAAAAAAGAAAAAAAAAAAAAGAAAGAGAGAGAAGAAAAGAAAAAAAAGAAAGAGAGAGAAGAAAAGAAAAGAAAAAAAAAAGGAAGAAAAGAAAAAAAAAGGAAGAAAAGAAAAAAAAAGGAAGAGAAGGAAGAGAAAAAAGTAAGAGGACGTAGATAGAAAAACATAAAAACACTTTTTAAAATTCAGACAAGGATTAAGAGTTGAGAACGGTACAATGATTCGTCTTCTTTCTTTAATAATTTAATGAAACATCAAAGGGAGAGAAGAAACTGAATTCATACAAAGATTAAGAGTCAAATATGGTACAACGAATCGTCTTCTTTCTCTAATAATTTAATGAAATGCAAAGCTTCCCCGCTTTATGCGGGAGGGGGGAGGGGGAAAATTCCCCCCTCTGCACCCAACACTCTAGTGAGCGTGCTTCGCGTGCTCTGTAAGTGATAATTCGCACGCTTCACGTGCTCACTTCTGCCTTCAATACTGAATGAACGCCATAAAACATTTACCAACAACAAAAACAACTTCTGCCTCCCTAAAATAAAATCCTAGCTACACGCTTGAGAAGGACGTCAACTCATTAAATTTTTAACCACTTAAAGCCCTTCTGTTCTGGCTCTAAAAAGACAACATTATCTTTATTTACCTTCATTTTCTTATAAATGCCTGGCGTGTTTATCATCTACAAAATTGCTTTTTCAATAATCGACTCGGCTGAGAAATAAAACGTAATGAGACCAGCCCGGTAGTCCGGTAAAAGAGCTACACACAGTACACTATGTATGTGAATTTTACCGCAGGAACAGTGGGTGATACTTACGTATTATCGAAGCGTTCATTGCCGGACTCGTCGGCGAGGAATGCCACGTAGGTTACGGTCACGTAATCCCCTGATTGTGCAGTTCTCTGGCAATCTTCGGGTTTGAAAAGAACATTTATATTTACTTCTCCTGCTACTAGAGCTACGACAGTCACTATCAAAGCAATGCAAATTGAAAATGCCATTTTCATAGTGTTCATATACACTGATCCACTGTAGACTGTAGTTCCTCCTTGGTTTTAGGCAGATCTGCTTCGTCGCCACGCAATTGACACTGGTATTGGACTCTATTGTTTTGAATACAGTACACGTGTACATGTACGGTTCACTGAATTGGCGCCGCGATGCGAGGGGCTGGGTCTTGCTGGGGTAATGCAAGTGGTAGAAAACGTTTTAGCGGCGCCAAAAGAGGATCGGGATGCATTCAAGACAGAAATAACCGTTTGGTATTAATTTTTGTCAACCTTCTCCATAGAGGCGGGCAGTGGAGCCAAACAATCGAAGTCTCAGCTTCAGCTAGTCTTGATGCATGCATGCATTATTGTACTCAAACCCCATCCATTTTATATATTGCCCCCATTTCTAATTCAATGCTTTTATTTTGGAAATGGCATAACTTATGTTTAATATCTCTTGCAAAATATCTATGACAGCAGAAGTAAATCCCTTTCAGGGGTGCCGGACAGTTCCCGAAAGAAGAAAAGCATCCATCATCAGCTCTCTCTCTCTTCTCTTTCTATCGACTCTCTCTCTCTCTCTCTCTCTCTCTCTGCCTCTCTCTGCCTCTCTCTCTCTCTCTCTCTCTACTCTCTTAATTTCTAGGACTTATTTTAAAGTCCAAAGAATTTATTCTAAATCCAAGGGGGACTTGGGACAGTGACAATTGTCACTGTCCCAAGTCCCCTTGGATTTAAAATAAGTCCTAGAAATTAAGAGAGTACCTCTTTCTCTCGATCTGCCTACCCCCCCCCCCCTCTCTCTCTCTCTCTCTCTCTCTCTGCCTCTCTCTCTCTCTCTCTCTCTCTCGGCCTCTCTCTCTCTCTCTGCATCTCTCTCTCTCTCTGTGCCTCTCTATCCCCTGATATCTATTTATTCGCTTTTCTTCTGTCAAGAACTGTCCGGCACCCCTGAAAGGAGTTTACTTAATTTACTACATAAGAAACAATGATGAGCCACTGATTAACGCCGGTTAGCTCTAATTGCTCAAGGGAGTGTTTCCATTGGCCTATTGGCAGCTAGCTAGTGCATTTATTCTTTTCATGTTGCATTGGTCCCCCTTCCCTTTCTTTCATTCTCCCTAGCTTCTTGTCCTCATGCATGGCGCCGTTCGAATCTTTTTTTTTGGGGGGGGGGGGGGGAGGAGGAGGGGGGGGGGTGAAGATTGGGGAATCGATGTATGTGCCCCACGTCCCCATTTGACCCCATAAATACGACGGAATCAATCTGATTCAAATCAAAAGGAAATAAATCAAAGCAGTGCTTGCATGAGAACAAAGCATTCTTCCAGAATATAATCTCGGGTAAAGGTAAAGGTAAAGGTAAAAAGTTTTTATGTTTCTTGTCTTTTTTTAACAGAAGGTCGAACTCAGAATCCCTGGTTATAACGGCATTATAGATCGTGTTTCACATGACTGATCGACAGAAGCTGCTCCCTGATCAAAAATCGAACCAAAGAAAACCTTTTGAAACCAGACGAAACTTAAGCCCCAAGATGCTCCACTCCGGGGCTCCACTCCACTTACTCTAACTCAACAATCTACCGATAGGCTCAAGGGTCAAAAGCTGTGCGTGCATGCCTGGCGGTCGGGCGAGCTGTCTCGCTAATATAACTGCCAAATCTGTCATTTCATGTGTAGCTGCTTACGAGAAAGTACGTACAAACATGGCCGGGAAAAACGTTGCAGTGCAGCTCGCAAATGGTCGTTCTATGCCCCTTTTTGGGCTGGGTACATGGAAGGTAAAGTCTGATTAGAATTATATTAGATGTTACATAATTTTATGTACTAGGCTTATTGAACTGAAATACTAGTAGGTACGCATACTGGTATTGCGATTTAAACTTGATAAAGTACAATGTGTACAGGTAATAGTATGTTTAACACATTATATAGATTTCATGTATGATGTAGCTAGTCCATGCACTATGATGGATGAATAGACATTGTATTGCATTACGGTATATAGACGGCATGAGCGATGATGAGAGTGGTGTATAAAATTCCTTTGAAACTCCTCAGTCTTTTATTGATTCTTAAAACCTAGCTTAAACTCCTATTGGCCTTGGTATTTTATGGTCTATTGTAAACGTTGTTATTGTTTTAAGCTCTGGTGTATACAAACCACTGTCTCTTGTTAGATCACTAATCATGGTGTATATGATTGACAGATGATGTCACAAGATAAATGAGACCTGGAGCATTTTTTTAGGGTGGAGTTTAGCAGGTCTGAGAAAATTATATACCGGTATATATTTTTTTAATCTATGACATATATTTTATGGTAGATGTTTGAATTGCAAAATATGAGCTGTATGCAGCCCTGCACATCGGCGTACGCAGGGGGGGGGGGGGTTAACCCCCCCTTTGGTATTTTTATGTGTGTATTTTTTAGGAAAACCAACCTAAACCCCCCCTTTGTTTTGTTTTTGTTTTTGTTTTATTATAAAATAAAAAAATCATGCCCATGGCTGACCTAAAAAATGTGACCTTACCCCCCCCCCCCCAACGAAGAAAAATGTCAAATTTTCAAATTTAGAGACCAAAAAAAAAAAAAGCGGCTGGCTGAGTCGATTTCAAAATGTTAAAACCCCCCCTTGAAAAAATCCTGCATACGCCACTGCTGCACATCAACAGGAATCAACTATATATTTGGATTTCACCCCACAAGCAGCACTCCCCCAATACAATTGACAATGTATGTCACTTTTGTTGCCACTCTTCAAAGAACCATTATGCTTTGAGCTATTCTAATTTCTGTATGCTTCTAGCTCCCCTATGCTTTAATAGTGGTACCGGTATATGCTATTGGTATATAATCTCTCCACTCTATACTATATCCTGCAAAAACATTCTAGTGCAAGTTTTTGTCATGGATGCAGGGTTCACATGACCTATACACCATGAAAAAATATGGATATTGAATGACAATATACTTTGTTTGACACCATATTTCGAGCTATATATTGATAGGTTTATCGCGATATTGCCACTACTGCCAATGTGATGTGGCATGGGCAGTGCAGTGCAGCACTCTTTGCAAGCGTACTGTGTGTATTTTTTGGACAATGGTGTGAGTTGAAGTTCATTTTCAGATGTATTTCTTTATATATATTACATATTCAGTATTTCCTTTTTCAATAAGGGAAATAAATCAAACATACAGTAACAAGCACCTGGGATTTGGGCACCATAATAATATTAAAGACCCCCCCCCCCCCCCACCCCACCCCCAATTTTTAATTTGTTACATATAGGGCTCATGCATATGCACATGCTAAAAACAGTTTATTTTGGACCCCTTTTTATAAAAGTTAGTGTGAAGCCCTGAAATATACCATGCACTCTTTTTGAGGCACTGAATCTTCAGTGACTGGCATAGTGGTGTGCCACTCCTCTCTAAGAATCCATAATTTTAAACAGAGCCTCCCAGTTCATGGTTTATTTGATTACTATTTACCAGTTATTTCTAGTGCTATACTGCTAATTGCAGTCTAATTTTTTACATGCTGTTTGTTATTATGTTTCAGGCATTTAGTTTTCTTCTGGCATATTTTTCTGTTCACAAAACCTATTGCATGGTATACAATAGTCAAAACCTGCATAAAACCTTTAAAATAATATGTTTCCCCGAGCAAAAAGGTCACTAAATAATTCAAATCAAATATTTAATCTGCCAAGAACCACAATGGTGTGATCTGAACTTGGAGGTACAATGTGCATATGTTATTGTCCTTATAACGTACCAGGCAATATCTCCATTCTATTTCAGATTCCTCAAGTAGGTTTGTAAAGACAGTGTCACAGATTTACCCATGCAAAATTTAGTGCTATATCATTGTTTTATGCAAACAGTTCCAAACACTGCATTCTCTTATCAAGTTGTGCGTACATCAATTCCAAAGTACAATGATTCTTTTTTTTTATTTGAAGAAGAGATCTTCTCCTGTAGGTCATCCGTACATCTGGGCCCCATTGCATAAAACTTACCATTGATGGAAACTGTACTTTTAAAGGTAACTTCCATGGAAACCTTCGTATGATTGGCTGTCGAGTGATGTTGCCATGGTAGTTTAATGGCAAAGTTACACGTTCTATAGTAAGTTTTATGCAACGGGGCCCTGAACTTAATTTTAGAAATATTGAGAAAAGAAATTAGTACTCTCAGTGAAGCTTCATTTCAAGAAAACAGAATTATATAAGATATGTTGCGTAATAACCAGGGGAGTGTTTCACAAAGACTAAGATTAACTTTAAGTTGGACTTAACTATGGCAGGCCATTCATGCCACTGTTTTCTCCCACCATTTACTGGCATTGGTCTCTCAAGGGACAAACAAATCATGGTCACACATCTACAGAATTTATTTCTTTTGACAGTTCATTATTGAAGAAAAAAATATTATCTAAAGATCATAATGGTGAGAGCAACCAATGGCATGAATGACCTCTCATAGTTAAGTACAACTTAAAGTCAATCTTAGTCTTTGTAAAACACTCCCCATATGTTGTAAATATTATGTCAACCCATTGGTTTACATGAAGAAAAGAATTGTTGAAAATCAAATTAAACTCACCATTATAGATACAAATGCTTGCAAAATATTGCAGGTAGACAATACACATAGCCAGATCATAGAACAATTTTTCTCGGAATGCATTACTAATTGTAATTAATTATAGAGTAGATAGAAAAGTGTGAATGATAACAGGAGGAAATACCTACATGGAACATTCAATATGCATTCTAACAAATATCTTTATTCTGCTTATAGTCTAAACCAGATGAAGTACGTAAAGCTGTGATAGAAGCCCTGGAGGCAGGCTATCGTCACATTGACTGTGCTTCTATATATGGCAATGAAGAAGAAGTGGGAGCAGGTCTGAAGGAGAAATTCAGTGATGGAACTGTCAAGAGGGAGGATGTGTTCATAACGACTAAGGTATGAAAAATAGACTAGTATCTTCGTAAAGATTTAGTGAGTTTTAATGTAGATAGAGGTGGAGGAGAAAAGGAAGAGGAGAAGAAAAAGAAGAGGAAGAAGAAGATGGTGATGAAGAACGAACGACTAATTATGATAAGAAGAAGAAGAAGAGGAAGAAGAAGAAGAAGAAGAAGAAGAAGAAGAAGAAAAAGAAAAAGAAAAAGAAGAAGAAGAAGAAGAAGAAAGGATGAAGAAGAAACTTTAGAAAGGGCAAAGAAGGAAAACTATAAAGATTAGGAAAAGGGTTTTCAAAGTGTTAAAAGAAGATAAAGAAAAGAAAGGCGGAGGAAGAGTAAAAAGGAGGAGAAGAAGAAAAAAAAAAAAACAACGAAGAAGGAAAGCTATAAAGAATAGGAAAAAGTGGTATCCAAAGTGTTGACTCCTTAATTAAGTAAAATTTCAGAGAACAAGGTCAGGGATTGGAGCACAATTGATAACAGTAATAGTCCAAATGGGCAAATAGTCCTGAATCACACATAATGCATGCTGTGCACACTATTGGTACTTCTTGATGCAAAACATACCTTTTTCTCTCCTTTTCATCTTTCCAATTAAAGATCAATGATTAATGATGATTATATAATATTATTTTTGTTCTCATTTCTTTCCTGCTAAACCAGTTATGGAATACCGTCCATCATCCAGAAGACGTAGAGGCAGCATGTAAAAAGTCATTGGAAAACCTTGGTCTGGGCTATGTCGATCTCTTCCTCATGCACTGGCCATTTGCTTTCCAGGTTAATTCTTGCTATTCAAACTCTATCTTTTCATGATAAATTTACAGTTGATCAGTATAGGGTCAAAGGTGATACAAATATTGATTTATTAGTCCTATTTGTGGATGAGAGCAAATTGACCATTGTTAAGTGTCTACAACTATATTATATAATTTTGGGCACAATTTTTGGTACTGAGAGCCTTTGATCTAGGAAAAATAAGATATGGCCTACTTGAACCTTGTGGAATGATTGACCCATTTGTTAAAGTATTATGTAAAATAAAAATTCAGACTGTAAACAAATTCTTCAAAACCTGTTTTTCATAACATTCAATTCAGAAAAAAAACATTAGTACACAAAGGAGACAAGAGATTTGGTAGAAAACTAGAAAATGAACAACTTAGAAATTGGAAATGTTCCCCCACATTGAAAATTGTAATTTCTTAAAAAATCTGAAAAGATATCCAAGAAGAACATAATTTGACACTGATGGAAATATATTTAAAGTACAATTTAAAATGAATAACTGCTAAATTGTCCCTTAAGCTATGCCTTCGATGTATTTTAAGAGTTGTTATGTGATACCCGCTTTTTTTCTAGAGAGGAAATGACTTGTTTCCGAAAGGTCCAGATGGTGCGGTACTTGATGGTGATGTAGACTTTGTTGATACCTGGAAGGTAGGGTCATAGAAAGCATCTTCTTTCAAAATTATGATTCATGTCCAGATTTTGTATGTGGTGCTACAATGCCAGGCACTGACTTCTATAAGATTTCCAAGAAAAGTTCTTTATACTACTTGTACTACCTGCGGTGTGTTTCACAAAGATTCAAAATCAAACTTTACTCTAAGTTAGATTTAAATATTATGGAGAGCCGTTTGTAGCCTTATTTTGAAATATATTCAAAAGCAAAAATTGAAGTATTGCAGACTTTTCATAAATGTAACATCAAGAACATGAAATCTCTCATGATAATAGAAAATATGAATGATTTGAATCAACATTTTATGCCTTTTAAAATAACTTTTACAAAATATTTTTAAGGATGCTAATGGCTTTCCATAATTGTTGAGTCCAACTTAGAGATAAGTTCAACTTAGGATCACTAAGGAAACACCCCCTGGTATATACTCACTGGCAGAGAAATTCAGCTGGTCCCGATCCCACGCTCTTTATGCACAAAATTGTGAGTCCTATGTGATTGCCGTAGGTCGTAACATGACGTTTAAGTTTCATTCTTTAGTAATGAGCATTTTTTCAATCTTTTTGTCCCGATACCAAAGGCAAAGAGGGATTATTTGCATTAAAATTCAAAGTTATACATGCTGTTGGTCAAGTTTTCCTTTTAAATACAGAGATGATTTAATTTGGTTTGCAGGCCATGGAAGACTTGGTAGAGAAAGGGTTAACAAGAGCTATTGGTGTGTCCAACTTCAACAAGAGCCAGCTCCAAAGAATTCTAGATCTACCACCAAAACAGAAAATATGCAATCTACAGGTGAGCATTTATTCTATTTCTCTTTTCCTTTTTCTTTTTCTTTCTTCTTTATCTTCAAGCAGACTACCCATGATTTTATCATTAATCTAAATATGTATATAGGGACCCCCAATGGAATAAGTTAATTAATAGCTTTCATGGGTCATTCTGTCAAGGTATGCTTTTTCTTTCATTTATATATCTAATGGCGTAAAAGTACATATATTCAATGAATAAAATCAACATATTTTCTTTTTCTTCACATTTCTTCTATTTACAATGTATAATGTGGTTAATTCTGAGCGTTTTGTCTTACAAGTATTGTATCACAGACAACATATATGTACATATTTACTAGCTCTCTTTGCACATCTGTTTTTTAATGGCCAGATTGAAATAACACCATACCTTCCAGGGAATGACATTAGGGAGTTCTGCAAAGCTAACAATATTGTTTTAACAGCATACAGTCCACTTGGATCACCTGATCGCCCAATGTGAGTTTATTGTGAATTTATCGACCTTGATCTTCTCAAAAGATTTATTTATTGCCCTAAACTGAAGATATATCAGGCCCTAATGCTGAATAATTTTATTGTTAGCATATTAGGCTAGTGATTGTTCCAGAGTTATTGTGTGTTAAGAGTTAAGTTTTTAGAGAAAGTGTAAATATGATCTTGTGTACCATTTATGGATAATAAATGCTAGTGATGGATTGTATTGATGCCATATATTATTAGATTGGTACAAATATAAAGTGTTCTATATTTCACCATGCTTGTATATGTATGCATTGAGGTATTATTAGAATCGAGGAGCATGTTAGAGGCAACATGAGGTTATTATTCAACGGTTGTCATGAGGAAAATAGCAAGAAATTATGTCCACAGTTATCTGGTCAATTTCAAGTTATATGTATTTGATCATTTGTTGTCCTAAATGTTACCAAGTATTGTGAAAGTACAAACAGGAAAAGCCATCAAAGATATCATTTGACATGATATTTAGTCTGCTCCAAACTCTGCAGGGCTATTGATTAGATACTTTTATTAGAAATACTAGAATCTGAAAAAAAATAGCTTAGACTTGCCCCTCTCTGTGTATTTGTTAAAAGTCATGATCTGTCCGTGAATGGGGGGTTAAGATGAAAATACTTTTTGTTTTATCTGATAACAGGCAAGCTGGTACTGACCCTATTCTGCTCCAAGACCCAGTGATCAATGAGATCGCAAAGGCCAAGGGGCGCACCCCTGCCCAGATAGCGACCCGGTACCAAATAGACAGGGGCATCGCGGTCATTCCTAAGAGCGTTACCCCTTCCAGGATCAGAGAAAACCTTCAGGTGAGAATACAATACTGGTAGCTAGGCTTTCATTTGTGTTTAGTGAATTGAACATTTCAATAGTGGTAGGGGACGGGCAATTCCAAGGTGTGTGGGCTTTCATGTTCCAGAGTGTCATGGATTATGAACATAAATTGGCATCAGAAAGTTAATTTATAAATTTATCTTTATATTTGGTCCTAACCAAGCTCTAGTAGGGCTATAAACTCAAAACAATCACAGGGAAAACAAAATCTTAGGTGTAACTGGTTTTAATAACTTGTGATACAAAAAAATGGACTTGTCAAGGTACAGATATGCTACATATTTTTCCTGTATTCATTTTTGTAGAATACATTGGTATTGCAAGTTGGAAATACCAGTATCATCAACACTTTTTTTGTATTTGGGGTTGTGCTGATAGTAGCAAATGAAGTAGTAACTAGGTTATGGTATTGGTAGTGGAATCAGTGATGTACCGGTAGTTAAAATGATGGTGATGTTATGGACCATTTGGTAATGATCCGGGTAGGAGCTGTGATATCAGTAATGAAAATCGGAATGGACGGCCTATAAAGCAGAATAGTAGTGGTACTGTTTGAAATTCAAATTTTGACTACACACAAGTTCTCTTATGTACAAAAGTATTCCAAAAAGTGCAAATGAAATGACAATATACATGTGCATATATTCTTAAAACATACTAAGCATGTCCAATATTTAATTCAGGTCGTAAGTTCTGAGAGGACAGAGAAAGAAATGGAATTGTAGGGGGAGAACTACTTCTGCGCCTGGCAGATGACAAAAGAGAAATTATGTTACATCTTTGTGGAGGTGTAAAAGCTCTGAGTTTTTGTAAGACACATTGCATTCTACGTTTAGTAAATTCACCCAAACCTTTTTTTCCTTTTGATATACAGGTTCTTGATTTTGAATTGACAAGTGACGAGGTTCAACGCATAGGCGCACTCGAGAGAAACTTCCGCTACATATGCTTCGGAGCGTAAGTGTAACTCAGTGCATCCAGTGATTAGGATAATCTTTGACCTAGATTTGTTATTTAATTTCCACATATGTTAGACAATTAAACATGAAACATTCATTATTTTATGTTAAACCCACCCAGGTTGTGGGATCAACTTAAAATACATAGTTGTGAATATCTTTAAATCAAAACTGAAAACGCATCTTTTCAATTAACTGTAAATCTAAGCATATCAGGAGCTCTTGTATCACAGTAGAATATATACTTAATGTTGGATAGTTTCTGCGCTCTATAAATGTATTATTATTATATTATTATTAATGTTTCTGAAGACATAAGCATCAAATTAATGACATTGTTTAAAGTGTTGAACATGGAATAATTCAAAACTAAAGATATACTAGCAAATATCTTGGATACTTAATGTTTTCTTTCTTTTCTTTTACAGAAGCAAGCACTGCAAGTATTACCCATTTTGATGACTCCGCCTGGTGCTGACGATCTTTTTACTCTAGGAAATTAATTATCACACTTCCATCTTATCATGAATGAAGTGATGCGAGTCCAAAATATATTGTTTGATAAAAACCGAATTTCTCTGGTGGCACCCCCGTTGAAAAACGCAGCTTTAGACCATGATAATGCCTTTCTGGCTCTCAAAAGAAGAATAAGAATATTTAAAGAATTAACAAATAAAAAGAAAAAGTACATACCGGTATAGTAATAACCTCTGTCCATTCTCCCTCTCTCTTTGCCCCTCATTCTCTCTCTCTCTCTCCGTTATTCCTTAGTCCCACTCCTTCATAATTCATATGCTATCTCATTTCCATTATTTATCTCTCTTATAACACACTGTGGTATGCAAAACCTCTTTTCCTTTCTAACCCGTTTTGAATGGTCCAATTATGGACATTGACATTTTACAGATTGCCAGTTATTAAAGGTAAAGACCAGTTCTGGTCATGCGATTGCATTGTGAAAGAAACGTGGAATTGATCAGAAAAACTTGATCATCTAGCATATAACTATTGGTGTATACTGCAAGGTTCTTGAATCACCAAAATTATAAGAAATTTGGCCCAGTCTTAAAAAGTTACAAGCACTGTACACAGAAAGATGTCTATGGGACTACGCGATATTTATCCAGTCAGGATAGATATGATAATTTACCAAATATATCAATTAGCAGGCGATTTCCCGGCCAAATTTGTATCGTCACGTATTAGTAAAAACATATTCTTTCACATGATTGGTAATAAGAGCTTCCATTTCATTTTTTGAGAGGGGGCGTTTCCAAAACTGGTCTATACCTTTAAAGCTTGTTATATTCCATAATCTTGTCTCACTGCCTAAAGCAGGCCTAAAGGCTTGTTTAGATACGGTGCGGCAAGACTGCAGCGGTAATATGCTTCACATTTCTGTATCTCATATAAAAAAAAAGACAGAGCTCAGAGAATACCTTAAAATCCCTTTTTGCACTCGGTTGCCATTCATGTACACATTAAAAAAACCTGCAGCGGCTTTTTTTTGGGGGGTGGGGGGGGGGGGGGTTACCATGCCATATCCGACGAAAATGTAAGGGTATGTCCACTCGTGGCCATCAGTAATATTATGTGATTCATGAAAACTAAAGACTCTGAATAGTTTAACCATATAATTGTAATTCTATAATGTTTAGAGGAAATATAGTCTATAAAATTATAACTTATTTCTATAACTAATCAAATTATTACAAGATGTCAGTGTTTCATGTTTGCATTGTAAAGTGCTTTGTTGTTGCTCTGTCACTTGAATAAGTCTAAAAGTATCAAATAAATTTCATATATTTCAAATTGGAAATACTGGTGAATTTTGTATAATTATTATTAGTCCAATTCTGTATCAACTTGCCAGTGTGGCATATCTGTACAAAATGTTCAAATTGAAAGGGCAATCCAATCTTGTAATAAACTCATTTGTATGAAAGCAGAAAAAAGATGAACAGAATGGAGAAAGTTTGTAATAAATAGGACCAATAATAGGAGAACTATGAATGTTTGAAGTATGAGATCATCAAGTTTCAAATTGGCAGTTTGGTCAGTGGATTGTGATGTAGTCGTAGATAACTATCCCGTTTGTGTTTTACTTTAAAAAAAACTGATTTTTCTCCGGAGTGCCTTCTCCCTTAGGGCACTATTAAAAATATGCAGTATTATGGATAGCATATCATTATAGGTTCTCTAAAGAGAATAGACACTTGAAAAGTCATACATTAAACAAAACAAAAAAAAAACATTTACTTATAGTGATTAATACCTCAACAAATTCTTAACTTTTTCATTTTTGTCAGATTTCATTCAAACTTTCACTATTCTACTTCTCTGATTTTTCTGCTTTCCTCTAGAGCAAGTTTGCTTTCAAGGTTGGATTTCCCCATATATTAATTAAAGGGACTTGGTAAAATTGTCTAGATGAGAGAAAATGGTGCTAAAGTAGTGACTTCAATGCTAGTTTTTCAAGTAAAGATAATCTGAAAGTTTGAGTAAAAACGGACCATTATTAATGATAAAAATTGGGAAAACTGATCTGACCAATTCCTTAATTCTCCAAATCATAATTAAAATTTAATTACATTTTAGGTGAATGTCAACCATCACAGTGTTGAAAGATTTTAAAAGCCTGTCTTGTGTCTTATTTTCATGGAAAAACGGTTGGGGAAATTCAAAAATGGTTGGGAGAATTTACTGTTAGAGGTTGTCTCACAGTGACGCCTTCGAAGAAAACCATAAATATCTTTGCGGTTTGAGAATTTTCAGGTTTTTTTTGCATGTTAGAGGGTTATTACAGTAGAAGGAATATAATAAGTAACATTTCATACAAAAATTATGCAGTTTTTTCATCAACCTTCAATAATGTTAGCGAGTCACTTTAATGTTAGTTTGTGTTTGTTTCTGATAGAGAGAAGGCATAAAAAACATGATATTCCTTATCAATTTTCATCACTCACTGAACACAAATTATATCTTAAAAGACACTGAAATATTGCAAATGACAAGACTGCTCCAGGTTCATGATATAATTCCATTTCTTCACATAAAAATATTTTTAAAAAAAATCAATTTTCACATTATTTATGTATAAATCTATTGATAAGAAATAGAAGAGAAATATAAAAGCCCTTCATGTGGGCTCACAAAATATAAGAATAGTATCAACTCTTTGTTGAATGATATACAATTATTGACTGCTTTGATGGGCACGGTTAAAAGTATTGCCCAAGGTGATCTCAAAACTGTACTGTGACCCGAAACAAAGTCATAGGGCATATTACAATCGCAAGATCACCGAGGAGCCATAGTATACAAATATAAACTGTCTTGAAGGTTCGGTGGTTAAAACTATGGGCAAGAGGCAACTCCAATAGTACTATTTTATGAGGGGCTCAGCCCCGAAGCAAATTATATTTGTTTTATATCCGTATCAACACAAAAACAAAATAACATTTAAAAAAGTTTCAATAAAAAGTATAAAATATTATTAATTTTTTTTACAATCTTAAAGAAAAATTTAAAGAAAAGAAAAATGAAAAAAATCAACTCTCAAATAGTACTCCCAAACAGTTATTTTTCAGAGCAACCTTCAAATGGTTGACATGTTTCTGGTCACGTGAAGAGCTCTCAACCAATCAAAGACCAATTCATTTTGATGCAGGATATAATCTATATATATATGTGTGGTACTTCCAGTACTCTACAGATAAGGTCAATATGCATATATCATAATTAAGGGTAATATATTTGTTCATGACTAATGCCAAACTCTCCATTTTATCACAATCAACTATTATGCAATGAAGGGTAATTACCTCAACATAATAAGGATTCAACATATCATTAGTATAATGATCATAGTAGTATACATGTACATATTACAGTACAGAAAAAGACAATGCAACATACAAAAAGCTCATGCAACATACAAAAAGCACATAAAAAAGGACAGTTTGGATAAAATCTTGCAAATTGAATATTTTACAATGCCAAGATGATTTGGGCCACTGTGTTTTTTCCTAAACATGTCATCAATGAATTTTCAAGATAGAAATTTCCTTTCTTTTTTTTTTCGTTGATAAATTTGGCAGAAAATATCTTTCATGATACAACTTCACAATGAAGGCAGCAGATTTATTTCTGAAACATTTTAAGAAACATTGTTAAATATCCTAGGTGAGATTTGCTGCCCATGGTACTGAAGGTTCTATCAAGTACATGTTGAATGTCACTGAGTTTTCATACTACCAGTATACCAAAGATGCATGCGCATGAGTTCATTATACACTCTATCCGCACTCGAGTTGAGGCTGTGTGCATCTATTGAACAAAGCCGTTGGGATGAGTATGATACATGTAGATAGGGATGTAGGTGCATACACAGCATCAACAAGAGCAGATGGATCTTGTAAATAAAAGAACGAATAGAAACATGCATCATTTGTTTTATAAAGCGAAACTACTAGATTCTTGTTAATTGATGTAAAAAGAATTCATTAAAGGTTGTTTTGTGACAGAATTGTTGACAAATAAATCTCAAGTTTAATAGCCTTAATTTAGTGCGCACACATAGATAAGTGCACTTACTGGTACCTCTATATGCATTTACGCATAGTGCTATGCAAGTATAGGCCCACAGTGGAGTGGACTTTAAATGATTATTATTAAAAAGTAAAAGCGCTCTAAATTCTATGTGCACTATTGCGCATCATGTACATAAAAATCATTGGATAGTACTGGAAACTATAATGCCCGCCTTTTCATAAAAAAACATGGGTTAGTCTCGGTAAATGAATCACACGTGACCAGGTTTGACCAATCATTTGATCAGGATTTCAGAGTGAGTTGTATAAAACTAAATGGTCTGCAATTTCGGAAAGAAATGCATCTACGCTCTCATAACTAGTTTACTAATCTAATATGAGATAAAAGAAATTACTTTTAGAATGACATTATTCCATTTAAATACATGTTAGCTCAATATTTGTTTATACTCTTCTTGCAATTGTTTATCTTTTTTCAATCATATTCAAGGATATACCATAAGTACCATAAGTGGAATATATCATGGAATGGATATGTTGGAGGAAAAAAAATAGCAGTACAACATGGATTTTCAGGAGTTTTGCTTTTAAAATTCATGTAACATAGTAAAAGCATTAAATATATTATTACATTTTCAATGTATATCTATAAGAAATAACAATTTGTTTCCTCGCCTCACGAGGGGAACATAAGATAAGAAACTTTTAATAAAAGTATTTAGTGCCATTTTTATGAAGAACATTTTCCAGGAAGATACAATTTAATGATATAACCTTATCTATATTAATGATATTACCTTATTATCTGTAAGGTCTGATATCATAGTTCTTTTAGAACACTATTTGAAGTTTCTATTTGAATCACAAAAAATGAAAAATGTCAGAACTTTGTGACTAAATGATGATTGGTGACTTATGTAAAGCTTCTGAAGTATTCAATCCCCACCACTCCTGAATGGTAGACAAAATCTTTCCATTAACTTCTAATATCCCTTGAAAACTTTGCAATGTTCTAGGGTCATAGAATACAGCATCATGACGTCTGTCATTTGTTCCATCACAAACATCCCTGCCATGGTCTTTTGCAGCATACTTTGTCATGTAATAAAAAATGCAATTGATCAACTTATTTTCTGCCAAGAACAGGCATTCACTGTGTCTTATAAAAAACCATGACAACATTCAAAGGAGAAATAGACAGTGTGGAGAATTTGAGCGGGTCCATTTTAAATCTAAGATGTTTCTTTTGGATGGGGACATTAAGGTCATGAATTGGTCAAGTAGTAAGCTCTTGTTCTACACCTACAAACCAACTGTGACTGACCTGTGTTCAAAGTCACCATCTGTTAAGGTCAGCCCTAACGCACAAATAATGAGATCCGACTGGTACACATCAGGAAAAGCCAACTCACAGTCACTTTCCAGATAGTCAGACATCACATTTGTATTTCTTGATGCTTCTAAAGCAAATGTCTATTCATCCAGTCCTTCATTGAAGAAGATTTTTTTGCGTAGGGTGTGAGAAGGATTCCCAATCTGCTTCCCACTGTACTTCCAATATCCTTTTAAATTTTGATGACTCATCCGCTCATTAACCATGGTAAGCATCGAAAGAAGATCCTCTTTCTTGTAGTTGGCGTCGATGATGTCACACAACGAAATTATAAACAAAGATCCCACATTAGCACGTCTGCAGGAAGCATACCCCACGACTGTGGCCTGACTGACGAGGGTGTCTGATTCATTTGCTATCATAGTAGGTCCGTCTGTCTGGATGGGAAATGCTTCTTGAGGTACTGCTCCCCGGCAAGCTTGGATGAAGAATACTTTGGGTTTGCCCACAAGAGATGGATGCACCGACATGCCGTTGAATAATCCTGAAAGTGATGTGAGGGAGGAAATATTTCAGTTAATTTATTTTTAGAATGCGAGCTAAAAAGACTATACATGTAAAGTTTAACTAGATAAATACAAGAGAAATTAACCAGTCCCCATATATATTCTCCTTCACATTTTCTAACCCAACATTCTTTCTCTCTCTCTTTCTTTCTGTTTCTATCTTTCTTTCCTTTTTTTAATCTTTCCATCTTTCTCCTGCTGTCTCGTTCTCTTCCCCCCCCCCCTCCACTCTCTCTCTGTCTCATTTTCCCTCCCTCTCTCTCTTTCTATCTCTCCCGTCCTTTCTCTTTCTCTCTCTCTCTCTCTCTCTTTCACACACTCTCTTCTTCTTCATTCCATTATCGAAGTAGCACTCTTTCATACTTCATGTAGAGTTACAAGAAGGATTTTCAATATATTCCAAATTCAAAGCAGAGTTTACAGATACAATTGTCAAGATATATTCCTTTACGGTATAAATCTGGAAATGGCAGAGGTATTTTCATTACCATAAAGTGTTTTGTTATACATACCTGTCAAGGCACTAATGGACACCTCTCCTCCATCTTTGCCATAAACATGGCCATCACATCCGTGCGACAGTATGACGCAGACAAAACAATCAAATTTTGAATGGTCCATTTTTGCGAGCTCTTGCAGACACTCTTCGTATTCCTCATCAGTTGGGTCGTTCTTGACTTGAGTTTCAAACTTCAGAATATTTTGGAAAGTGTTCAGCAAAGCCTCTGTCAAAAACATATAAATAAGATGGACAAATGTCATACTCCGATAAAGAACCAATTTTCAGAGCGCTGGTGTAATACCCGATATAAAGAACAAGTTGAAACCTTCCAAAATATGACTTTACTTTGGTAACATTGAAGTTTACATATGAGGTAAAACTATGTTACTCTTGTATTAAAATGACAACTGCCTACTTCATATCTTTACTGACACATGCATGTATTTCAATGGAACCTCCAACCAAAGGATATGATTCCTATTAGAGTAGGGGTAATATTTATAATCTTCATGTCTTTTTCGTCTTCTTAATATCAAATTATTTTTGTATTATACTGTAGCAGTTCAACATTCTACTGTGTAAATAAGTTATAGTTCCTTCATCTTTCTGTCACCTTTTCATTGGCATGCGTCCGCATTCTTTATTCATTTTTAGACGCGCTATTGTACTGTTGACGTCACAATGGTATGCAAATTCTTCAGTATGCTTGCGCGTTGCTGTTGTAAATTTATTGTGTTATGCGTGCCGATCCCATTTGATAGGTGTGTTTTGCCTATTCAGTAATGTATTTTTGCCATTTTGTGTCACTTAAAGTTTAATAATATTCAAAATGATTGCTTGGGTGATAATTACATTTTTATATTGCTCTATATTCTTCAATTCAATAATAATTTTAAATCTGAAAGTTTTATTAAGATAGTATTCTAGTTGACTCCAGTAGCACAAATAGTGTGTGTTTTGTCATTCTTGGTTTTATTGGTAATTGTAAAAGTTTGCTGCCATTGGTCAGTTTTTTCTCTTCTTTGATTGGCTCTTTATATTGGCCAACCCCTTGGGGCTAAAGTTAATTTTTTGGCTTTGGCTAGAGAGTCGCCTTTAAACCTTCGACTTGAAAGGTTCAATTTTTTTGTCTGATTTTGAGCTCAGTTGTCTTTTACGTAATTTCACTTATTTACGTGCTTCAGTTGATCTCCTATAGACCTCTACGTTTTATTACGTTTATTTGGAAATTTTATTTTCCTGAGCAATTTTCACTTCAACAATACGTCAACCTTTCATTGATTACTTTTTGGCGACCATATTTTTTAGTAATCAATCTTCAACAAACTTTTGGACTTCAACTTCAATTCAGTGAATCAGTACAGCTCATGAACTGCAACTCTCAAGTCTAAATTATTCCCGACTTAGAACAGTCGATTAAAGACAGTCATCAATCTTCAACTCCGACAACGTCTTCAGCATCATCAACATTTTAGACTGAGAGTCTTGTGAACTGAGTCCAGAGTTACTTTCATCATTTAAGCATCATCTCGAAACTCGACTCGGATTTACTGTTCCACAATCAATTTATTGCAGGCTGAAATTTTGATTTCTCATCAAGTTCAATCATTCATCTAGGCAATACCATCAATTGATTAGTCTAGTTCAAAACTTCAAACTGTCGCGGTTCTTCACTTAATCAACTAAATTAACGACTAGCTTCAAACTCTTATTCAACGATCACCAACGTCAGTCTACATATTCAAGAGTAGATCTAGCTCTTCCGAATTTTGATCATTCTACAAGCTACAGTCTACGCTGGATTCGTGAGTTTGGCTCGTCTACCTATTCAGCACTGATCAACGTCATTCTAGATCTTCATCATCTTTATTTCATCTTTTCGTTGGGTGTTTCGCCAATGCGTTGAAAAGAGTTTGTATCTTTAAATCAGGAAGTTTCTTTTTAATGGATCTATATTTCCCCCCTTGTATTTGACTTGGCAGTAAGGTAAAATAGCGGCGGTCTTTCGCTTTATAAATAGACCTTAATATTTTTGTTATCTGATGTAAAATAGCGGCGGTCTTTCGCTTTATAAATAGACCTAGTCTAGATCTAGAATTAAGAAAATCTATTTCAGATTATTTATTATAATCTATTTATTAATATTAATTAATAGATTGTAACCAGTTGCATGCCTGGATTATCTCATTTCTAATTTCGTGATTTTGATATGAACATTACAATATTTGGAAAGTGAATCTATTTATCAAATAAAAAAACAAATCGGTGTTGGAACTTAAAGATTTTGCTTGATCAAAGTTATTTGGGAGTTATTTTCTTGTAAATCAATTTCATCTAAATTATCTTTAAGTCCTTTTATCACCAAAATACCATCAGCTGATGAGGACAGTGCTATACAGAAACTTAATTTCTTTTGGTGATCCACAGGCATTAGCTGTTGGTTTCTTTTCTTTTGTTATTGTACTTGTTATTGTACTCCATTTTCTTGCATTCTTTTTTATTATTATACTCCTTGACTTCCTGGAAATTAAATGAAATAAAATCATTGACACAGAGTTAGGATCTGAGGGGGAAATCTTTGAACTTACCAACATCCTTTTGAGTGCCATCTCTTTTTTTTAGATCTTTTGTTGTAAAATTCTCTCCGTTGAAGATAATACACATTCCTCTTGGCAACCTATCCATCTTGTACTTTAGCGAATCTCGGATACGGCCTGCATCTTTATAAATGAAATAAAACACATTCATGATTAAATGTTAAACAGTAAAATCTGAGTACAAAGACTGCTGGGTAGACACAAGAACAGCCAATCTTATGTTCTGATAGTCTCATTATTCAGGGTTGATAGTGAGCACTAAAAAAAAATAGGTTTGTTGTTTTCCCCTCAACCACGTCCCCCTTGAGTAAAAAAAAGAAGAAGACGATTCGCGGGGAAAAAATGGCATCTAACAACATCCCCCCCCCTTTCGAGTAAGAGAAGATAGAGAAGATAAGGGGGAATTCAGGAAAATCAGGATAAAATAGGGAAGAAGAAAAAATCTGGTAAAAAAATTATTTAAAAAAAAAAAAAAAAAAATCAGGATTTTTTTTTTTTTTAAATCGGGAAAAAATCGGGAAACCGATTTAAATCAGGTTTTTATCAGGCCTGATTATTGTATAAGTTCCAAATCAAAGGTTTCAATGAGAAAAAGTGTTAAATGAACACAAAACAATATATTAAATTTCTCATACCAAGCTTTTTTTTAAGTTTTAGGAATGTTTTAGTCTTTCATTGTAAAATTAATAAGAAAGAATCAACAACTTTCATGACGTCAAAATAGCACCTTTACGTAAAAAAAACATATTACATACAAACATACCGAAACTAAAGTGCCAAGTATTTTGAAGATTGAAATTTTCCATCACGGCATAAAGGGGCAGAAACAAAATGTCTGTGATGTTGAAATTCAATCATTTCAATGCACATCAAAATGGCAAAATAAAAGAAGAAAGCGCAGTTGAAAATGATGCCTCCACCGTTTTTTCTCGACTAGGCTTTATGAAATGATTTTATTACCTTTTTTTGGATGTGGTATATCAGTAGCAGTTTGGGCAGGTACTTCCATATGTCCCTCGTTAGTGAGTGTGCTGCTAATTTGCTCCGATTCTAAATAAAAATAGGTCAGATGTAAAGTAAAGTAAAAATACATGTACAGTGGAGATTCAAGCTTCATTTTATAGTGTTCCATATTTCCTTGACAAGCCTTTATGAAATGAGTTTATATACCTCACTTCAGAAATCCAGCCATCTGATTGGTCGAAATTGTAGTTGTGATTTTAGCCATTCCCGTAAAGCAACGAAAAATGCCAACACCGATTAATAGGCCAAGAGTGAGATCCCTCAAAATTCTGGTTACCGGGAAAATAATAACATTTTGCTGCGATACCCAACTGCTTAAAAATTTCAGTCATTTTTTCCGGAGGTGATAAACAGACAGTTTCTCAGATTTTCCGTGATATTTTAACTAATCTTTACTCGATAAAAGGATAAGGTAAGAATTCTTGGTAGAATTTTGTTTGCATTCGGCATATAAAAGGGATATCAACTGCTTAATACTCGAGGACTGGCTGTTTTTATACTGGCTCTCAGGGAAATTTGCATCCCCTGCTATCACCCCTCGGCACGCCACCCACCCAGCTGCACATTAGGATGATAGCAACGGATGCAAATTTCCCATTGAGCGTATAAAAACAGCCAGTCCTCTTGTAGCAGTCGATATCTCTACATTATTACCTGTATTTGGATGTGGAGTATCGGTAGCAGTTTGGGCAGGTACGATCATATGTCCCTCGTTAGCGAGTGTGCAACTTTGCTCTGATTCTAAAGAAAAATAGGTCAGATGTAAAGTAAAATGAAAATACATGTAAAGTGGAGATTCAAGCTTCATTTTATAGTGTTCCATTTTTCTTTGACTAGACTTTACGAAATGAGTTTATTTCCTGTATTTGGATGTGGTATATTAGTAGCAGTTTGGGCAGGAACTATCTGTCCCTCGTTAGTAAATGTGCTGCTTTGCTCTGATTCTAAATAACAAACGAGGAGGTGTGATAGCTCAGACGGTAGAGCAGTGGTCTCGTAATCCGGTGACTCGGGTTCAAAACCAAGACGATGCGCTAGTGCCCTTTGGTAAGGCATTAATCCTCATTACCAGGTCCCTTGGAGAGGATCTAAAGCCGTCGGCCGTCTGGTTGCTTACTTACAAGCATTAGCAGTCAGGTAAAATAACTACCACCACCATTCATTCAGGTCAGATGTAAAGAAAAGTTTTTAAAAGATGTACAGTGGAGATTCAAGCTTCATTTTATGGTGTTCCATTTTTCTTCGACTAGGCTTTATGAAGTGAGTTTATTACCTGTATTTGGATGTGGTGTATCAGTAGCAGTTTGGGCAGGAACTATCTGTCCCTCGTTAGTGAGTGTGCTGCTTTGCTCTGATTCTAAATAAAAATAGGTCAGATGTAAAGTTACAAACAAATAAGAAGAACAAATTACTGATAGAAAAATAATGAGCAAGGACTAAAGAAGGTTATCACTTTTGAAAGTTAGAATCACTAATCATATCCATAGGAACTCTCTATCCCCCTGTCCACACACAACATTTTCCGTGACTAATCATGATTAGCTATACCGTTTCGTGATAGTGATACCGTTTCGCGATAGTTTTACGACCAAAATTGTAGGTGTGGACGCTCACTAACGATACGTCGTATAACGAAACTAGTCTAACGAAACGCAAGTTTGGGCATCGTTTCGAACTGAAACTCGATAAAGAATCACGCCTAATCACGGAAAATGTTGTGTGTGGACAGGGGGAGTGTAACTAGTGTAACTAACTGGGCGGGGCTTAACGTGACCTCGAGCGAAATGAGACCAGACCTCTTATCACTATCGCGAAACTCTATAAAGAATCACGGAAAATGTTGTGTGTGGACAGGGGGCATTTTATACGATGATTCTTTAGTGACGACGTTTCTTGTGTGTGGACATCCTGGAATTTATACGATGATTCTTTATACGACGTATCGTTATAGAGTTTCGGGATAAATTGTTTTGTGTGTGGACACGCTGTATTTCTACATCAATTCCTTCTTCTCCATACATTCTTTTGATGGACTAAAGACACCAGTATATATTTTTATCATTATTATTATTATTTTTTTTATTTATTTATTTATTTTTTTTTTTTTTGGGGGGGGGTGTTATAGGAAAAGGTATTCTTACATGTCCTCACATAAAATATGTCTCTTCTATAATAAAAATTGAGAAATAAGATACCCTCCGTATTTCTCAGAACAGCTGGCATACATGTAACCATAATACACATTAGATAATCCTGCAAATTTACATCAGTACTTAGTACATAATAAATGGTGAGTTAATTCATGTATCTAATAATATCATGTATATATGACATCAGACATTAGAGACCAAAGTGGAAATGAAAGGATTCTACACACAGCAGTTAACTACTCCTCTGCTTTCTGTAGTTCAACATTTTCTTATTTTTTCTTAAATTTATCTCAAACAAGGTATCTCAAAACTACAAGGATATCTTTCTTGGAATGCTCTGAAAGGTAGTTCCCCTTGTATACCATATTTGCCAGCGATAAGGCCACACCCCAACTTTGACATTTCAAAGACAAAAAAAAAAAACAAAAAAAAAGGAAAAAAAAAAAAAAAGGACAAAACAAAATAATCGTAATTTTCTCGTATACCCGGTAACACTATTTTTTTTTACAAACTGATACCAAATTCATCAATATTCTTATAATTTACCGGAATTTTAGCTCAAAAAGTGATCGCGGGCAGATTTGGTGTCCGGTATATACCCCTACCACAATGAACGGTCTAATGCGAAACTGCATGAAATGGAAAACAAAATGGCGACTTCGGATGGATGCTTTGCGGCAGGTCCATTAAATGGTCCCTTCCTTTACTTTTGCAATGCATTGGCACGATCTATTGGCAAATGTTGGTTTAGCAATTTATTTTCGTATTCATGTCAACAATGCAAGATAAAATTGTCGGTAAGATGTGTTGAAATGTCCTGAACCATAGTAGTATAGTTATTGTACTGTTTGTAGTCCCATATGTGCAAATTCGTGCTGGTTTTGACTCGATTTTTTTTTTTTTTTTTTACTCTTTCGCCGTAAAGGCTGCACCCCCGACTTTTTGATATTTTCTCTTCCAAAAATATGGTACTTCAATTTTTAACATACATGAATGATGTTTGTCTATGATACCAGGGAACAACATAAAACATGCCAGATGTAGAAATAAAGGATTTTACCTTGTGATCTTGTTGTATCTTCTATTGGTCCCAAGCGAAGGTCCCTTGTGACCGATGCTTCCCTTTTGTCACCACCTGGTTCCGTCTTGACAGAGGACATGCTCTCTGCTGCCCTCCTCTGCTGAGCAATATTTATCTCCTGCATTTTCTTCATTACTTCATCTTCTAACATCTTCTGCACCACGTTCTCCCATAACTTATCAGCATAGGCAACACCTAGATGGATCGAAAGAGAGGTCATGTAAAAAATGAGAGCTGCCAGTACATCTTTTTCAAACATATCAACACAGACATGAAAGGTATTCCGAACCCAGATCAAGCACCTTCCCCCCCCCCCCCCCCGACCCCTCATCCCAATTCTTGGCTGCAGAGTGTCCCCCGCCCCCTTAAAAAAACACAAAAACACAATAATGACTAAAACAAATAAAACTCCATCAGAGTATGCTATGGCATAGATAGGTAAGGAACACCACCTTGAATCCTTCTCCCTTCAGCTCTATGCAGGGTATATTGCAATCATGTTACTAGCCTTTCCTAATCAAGATTTGTGATTTTACATCTAAAAGCTGAGTACTGAGAGACTCTGAACCCTAAGGCTATCCAATTTTACATACCGCAATAATCTTAATACTGGTAGATAATCATACCAATGATCACAATATTACAACAATATCTAGCTTTTTTATAGCCCTATATAAGCTCTTCATCATCAATGACAAGTAACTGAATGAAGAGCTTTATTCTGTATCATTAACCTGATTGTTTGATTCAATTTCTGCATTTACAGTGCACACTCTCTCTACATTGGGAAATATTCCAACAAATTGCTATACACAGACATATTAATAATAATTACCTGGCATCCTGGTGGATATACATCTTGGTGGAGAGAGGCTTTTAAAGGGGCTGTAGCATGTCTTTCCTGTGGCCTGATTGGGGCCAATCGGGTATAATACGACCACGGACGATGCGACCGCAGTAGGCCTATGTATTCAAGTGTGTGCAACATACGTGAAACTGAAGCGTGAGGAGAACTTCGGTCTGTTTCGCGAACGCTAGCGCGCCCTCACCCAGTATTTCCAAGTCCATTCGTTTGTGCAGTTGTCCAAAAGAATATAGACATAGATGATATCAACCAGTATTTCCCATGCTACAGCCCCTTTAAGATCAATTGATTTGCCTAAGATCTACAACATTCTCCCAGAAAAAATGTTTATCAAGCCAAAGTGACTTACCATTCTTTTGAACAGCCTCATAGTACCACTTTGCCTTCTCAGGTCCAACAGTCAAACCAGAGGTTGTGTTGCTTGTTCTGTCCTTAGGTTCCTTCTTTATTGCTGGTTGCTGTCCATGCTGCCATTGCTGTGGGTTCTGCTGACTGAATGATGGTGTTGCCTGTTGCTGTGGTTGATGGTATTGTTGTGGAGGATAATTGTGGTAGGGTTGATGTTGTTGTGGAGGTAGTATCCCTTGACAATTAGGGCTGGAAGACGGTTGTATTTCATGTACTGATAACCTTTCAATGGCTAATTTAAAAAAAAGAATAGTATGTAACTCATACCACCATGCAAACCTTCAAACATCATCAGTATGTAACTTGTAAATATATCTAAGATAAAATCTAAGATAAAATGTATAATGACACTGACTAATAATGAAAGTTGTTCAAAACTGATGGAAAAGAAAACATCAACTTACAAAACCCAAGTGCTCACATGAATCAAAGTAACTTATGGCTTGCATGTAATTTGAAATGATTACAAATATTATGACGTCAAATTAGAGTAATTTTATATCTTTTTTATTATTATCAAAATGTCTTGCAGTCTTTGAGAGACTGATAATAAAGTGTATTACCGGTAACCATCATAGATTATTTTATTCATTTCTTTTATCATGAATTCACAACAAAGCTTCTTACCTAGCTGGTAATCCTCTATATCTTTGACAATGGCTAGATTCTCAATGGATTGCATGATTTTGGTGAAGTATTCCAGTTTTTCTGGGCCTATCAATGTTTTCTTCTCCATCAGGACAAAGAGCTACAGAGGAGAGAAAATAGTTGTTGATGTTAAAAGTTGATGGAGAATTTATGAATGAAATAAATATCAACAAAACTTGCATTACATCTAAGGAATTATGGCCTAGGATAAATCCAGTCTGGTGGTAGAGCTGTACATGTAGTTTCGTAACTAGGAGGTCCTGGGTTTGAAACCAAGTTGATGCACTAGTATAGTATTAATGACTGCTTTGAGAGAAATAGTTGTTTTATTACTCTCAAGGGAAGGTTAGAATTGTGCTATTCCCCGAGGCTTGCCGAGGGGAATAGCCCAATTCTAACCTTCCCGAGAGCGTATGAAAACAACTATTTCTCGAATATTAAAGCAGTCATTAATACTTTTATATGCCGAAAAAAAATAGACTAAAAAATGAAAAATTAAAAATATTTATCACTTTTGCCGAAGACGGGATTCGAACTCTTGCGTACAACAAGAGGTGTACTGAAAACCAACGCTTAGACCACTCGGCTATGGCGCCCGCCGTTAATATGCTTGGCAGTTTTCTCCAATATATACATTAAAATGGATTGAAACCGGCTTCGCGTGTGATGAATGCTTCGCAAAAGCTCCATATACGGACTCTTCTTTTACTTTTGCAATGCATATTGGCACGAACTTAGATCAAGATCTATCGGCAGATGTTGTTTTGATACTAGCAGTCATTAATACTTTTATATGCCGAAAAAAATAGACTAAAAAATGAAAAATTAAAAATATTTATCATTTTTGTCGAAGACGGGATTCGAACTCTTGCGTACAACAAAAGGTATACCGAAAACCAACGCTTAGACCACTCGGCTATGGCCCGCCGTTAACATGCTTGGCAGTTTTCTCCGATATATACATTAAAATGGATTGAAACCGGCTTCGCGTGTGATGAATGCTTCGCAAAAGCTCCATATACGGACTCTTCTTTTACTTTTGCAATGCATATTGGCACGAACTTAGATCAAGATCTATCGGCAGATGTTGTTTTTTTGTTTTTGGAAGTTTATTTTCGTCTTCATGTCAACAATGCAAGATAAAATTGTCGGTAAGATCGATCGAGATTCAATTGTATTGAAATTACCGACCAATCCTTCGCACACATACGGCATCCTCCATCGCTCAAACCATTTTTTAACATGTAAACCTATGGGGTAACCATGGACGCTGACCAACTTTTTTTAATAACCATGGTTATTAAAAATATTGAAATGTTTTATGCATGGTTACCGAGAATTTTACAGGAACAGTTGAAGTTTATGAATGCAATTCGACCAATCAGATGGCTGGATTTCTTAAGTGAGGTATATAATGCCCTTTGGCATTAATCCTCATTACCAAGTCCCTCAGAGGAGACTTTAAGCTGTATGTCCCCTGGCTGCTTCCTGATAAGCATACAATGCTTTCTTAGCAGTCAGGAACAAAAAAATACCTGTAAAACTCCCAAGATAAAATTGATACATGTAAAGAAAAATTTAGTTTCCAAATATTACATTACACAGACTAAACCTCAACACAAACCTAATGAAAGTCACATACAAATATTTTTACTTTTTTTTATAGTCAGGTAATTATGACATAAACAAAGCCATATAGACATTTCTTGTGTCAAGAGGAAATACTGGAAACCACTATAAATTAGATAGCTTCTCTGTTGAGCGAGTTTCCACATGTTTGATCAGGGGAATTTCTAAGAAATATACAGCATTAAAAGTGTGTACCCCTCAATTTTAGTTACCGGTACTGTGCTTGTGAATTCATTTTTATGCCTCCGCCACCGAAGGTGGTGCCGGAGGCATCATGTTTTCGGGTTGTCCGTCCGTACGTCCGTACGTCCGTCCCGTTTGACCGTTATCACAATATCTCAAGAACCATTTAAGATTTAAACTTAAGACTCTGGAATAGCATTTATCACCATAGGAAGACGATCTGATTAGATTTTGGAGTACGTAGGTCAAAGGTCACAGGTCACAGAGGTCAACTTATGAAATTCCTTGTATTGAGTTTGTTAGCGCGATATCTCAAGAACCATTTGAGATTTAAACTTCAAACTTAAGGATAGTATGTATCACCATAGGAAGACGATCTGATTAGATTTTGGAGCACGTTTGTCAAAGGTCAAGGGTCACAGAGGTCAACTTATGAAATTCCATACATTGAGATTGTTATCATGATATCTCAAGAACCACTGGAGATTTAAACTTCAAACTTAGTGATAGTGTGTATCACTATAGGAAAACAATCTGATTACATTTTGGAGCACGTAGGTCAAAGGTCAAGGGTCATAGAGGTCAACTTATGAAATTCCATACATTGAGATTGTTATCATGATATCTCAAGAACCACTGGAGATGTAAAAACTTCAAACTTAAGGATAGTATGTATCACCATAGGAAGACGATCTGATTAGATTTTGGAGCACGTAGGTCAAAGGTCAAGGGTCACAGAGGTCAACTTATGAAATTCCATACATTGAGATTGTTATCATAATATCTCAAGAACCACTGGAGATTTAAACTTCAAACTTAATGATAGTGTGTATCACCATAGGAAGACAATCTGATTAGATTTTGGAGCATGTAGGTCAAAGGTCAAGGGTCACAGAGGTCAACTTATGAAATTCCATACATTGAGATCGTTATCGCGATATCTCAAGAACCACTGGAGAATTTTCACTTCAAACTTCATTTTTTCAATTCAAAAGACTTTATTTCCGTTAAAAAACATACAAATATATACATGTGATAAAGTACAAACAGTTTAAAATATACAAATCATGAGCATTAAATTAAATTAATTTAAACAAACTGTGAAAATGAGTAAAAGGAAAAGGGAGCACCTGTAGGAAGCTTATGTTAGCTTGTTAATTCAGGCGTCCAAATGAATAAAATAATTACACAGATATAATAACATAATAATGAGTATTGCGCATGTATTTGTTCTACCCCCCCCCCCCCTCCCTCCCTCCCTCCCTCCCATCCCCCACCCCCACCACCACCTCCCCCCTCCCCCTTCTTTCTCTCTTATGGTTATTTACAAATTATATTTTATTTTAAGATAGGCGTTAAACTAAAACAAATTATAGGGATAATAGATATATTTTAAGTTTTTTCTTGAATGAGTTTAAGTAAACATATTGAGTAAGAGAGGATGGAAGAGAATTCCATACTATGGGCCCTGTATACCTTACCGATTGTTGCATGTACTGTTTATCAATATTCCAAATGTGTAACTTTAGACTATTTCGAGTATTATATTTATGAATTTTAGAGTTAGTTTGGAACATAGTGGCAAAAGATGATGGTGCATTACCTTTAATACATTTGAATACAAACACAGCATTTTGATATTTATTTAGGCTATAAATATTGAGGGTATTTAACTGTCTAAATAAAGGTTTAGAATGGGCCAAATAATGAGAGTTTGTACAATATCGTAGACAACGCTTCTGAAGTAAAAATAAGGGTTTCAACTTAGAATGACTTGTATTTGCCCACACGATGTTACCATATGACAAATAGGAGAGAATGAGTGAATTATAAATCATAAACAATACATTTCCTGGTAAATAATATTTCAGCCTTGACAATAATCCTGTAGTTTTACTAATCTTTGTAGAGATCATGGCAATATGGGATTTCCAAGACAATGTTTCATCTATGAGAATACCTAAAAATTGAATATTTGAGACTTTTTCAATAATTGTTTGATCAATATATAATGGTGGAACTTGATTTTTCAATTCATTTTTGTTGCACTGAGCTGTTCTAAAAAGAATACATTTGGTTTTGTCTAAATTAAGCGATAGTTTATTTACCTTTAACCACAGAGATACATTCTTCATGTGTTCATTAAACTGGTCTATCAGTGAGTATAAGTTATTATGGCTTAAGAACAAAGAAGTGTCATCAGCAAATTGTACAAATTTTAAGGAATGAGAGGAGTTGCATATGTCATTTATATATAAAAGGAAAAATAGGGGGCCTAAATTTGACCCTTGAGGAATTCCAGATTTAATCAGTAATTTGGTAGAACTATATCCATTATATTCAGTAAATTGGTACCTTTGTGAAAAATAACTCTTAATCCAATTCAATGCAATACCTCTGATTCCATAATTAACTAATTTCTTAAAGAGAATGGAAAAATCAATGGTATCAAACGCCTTACTCAGGTCCATAAAGACACCAAATATAAACTGTTTTGAATACAAGGCATTAACAATGATATCATGAACAGATATTAAAGCATGGTCAGTAGAGTAATGGGTTCGAAATCCAAATTGATTATCATGTAATATATGGTGTTTAGATACAAAATTGTATATACGATCATAGACTAATCTCTCCATGATTTTTGAGAAGCATGTCAGAAGTGATATAGGACGATAATTACCAATAGTGTGTTTATCCCCCTTTTTAAAGATTGGGATAATTTTGGATACTTTTAGTTGTGAGGGTACTATTCCCATTTGAAGAGAGAGATTAAAAACATAAGCTAAAGGTTTTGTAATAACATATCTGACATACTTAACAATATCTGGACTAATATCATCCCATCCACACGACTTTCCATTTTTAAATGAGTATATTATTTTCAAAATTTCGTCTTCATTAATAGGTTTCAGAAATAAACTTTCCTTTATCGGAGGTATCATAAAAGAGGAGAAATTTAAATCTTTACAAGTAGTTGCATCAATGGAAGAAGCTAGTTTTGGTCCAATATTGTTAAAATAATCGTTAAAAACACTAGATATCAATTGCGGATCATTTAGTGTTCTTCCTTCGTGTATAAAGTGTTGTGGTAAGATGGGTTTTCGTTTTTTAAATATACTATTAATCAATCGCCATGTTTTCTTGAGGTCAGTTCTACAATCATTAAACCTTTGATAAAAATACATTTTTTTTGCCTTTCTCAATTCAGATGACAGTTTGTTTCTAATCTTCTTATATTTTTCTTCATTTTCATATGTAGGATTACAACAAAACCTTTTATAAAGTTTGTTCTTCAATCTTATTTTTGTCAACAAGTTTAATGATACCCATAACTTTTTGTTTTTATTTTTCTTATTACTCCTAACAAAAGTGAAAGATTCATTATAATACCTTTGAAAGTTGGAGAAAAAAATATCATAGGCAACATTGGGATCTTTACTTCTATAAACATCTGTCCATTCTTCAGAAGATAACTTGCAGAAAAATGACTTCTTTGTGTTATCATTGATTTGTCTTGTTTTTTTCCCCTTATCATACATGTACTCATAACATCTTTGAGCACTATTTAGTACTACAAAAACTGGCAAGTGGTCTGATACATCAGAGTATATGATACCAGCATTTACATTTGAAGTATAAGAATTAATAAAAATATTGTCTATAAGTGATGCAGTAGTTTTTGTAAGTCTGGTTGGTTTGTTGATCATAGGTGTTAAACCATTAGCATATACGTTGTTCAAAAAAGTATTAATCCTTGTATTACTAGAGGACTTCAGGAGGTCTAAATTGAAGTCACCCATTATATATAGATGCTTATTCTCTTTAGTTAAACATTGTAAAATATCATCAAAATAGGTATTAAAGTCAACTACACTTGAGCTTGGTGGCCTATATATAACCAGTATTACAATATTTTTTCCACAAGACACTGTGATTTCAATTGCAAAACACTCTTGAGTAGATGTTATAACATTTAAATCATTTCGTATTAAATATGTTAGAGTACTAGAGACAAGAAAACCTAATCCCCCTCCCCGACATGTTTTACGGTCTAAATGTATAAATTCATACCCTTGAATACTAAATACAGGTAGACTATGGTCTGATATCCACGTTTCAGTTAACCCAACCACAGAAAAAGGGTAATTTAAAGAATTAAATAATTGTTCAACATCACACGAGTTTTTATTTAAGCTTCGACAGTTGATGTGAAGCAAGCTAAAATCTTGACGATCATCTTTATAATACTTATGGTTAAAATCTTCTGGAAGTATATACTGACATTCCTGACATAGTTGCGGAAAATTTACATCTGGATCTCGTTCATTGTTGGTATCTTCTTCGGTTATATTTAAAGATTGGGTAATGTGTGAAATTATTTCAACTTTGTTAAACTCGTGACTAACAGGAAGCACATTCTCTTTAAATTCAACACCATCAGTAATGTGATTAAAAGGGAAAATTTCACGTAGACAGAAACAACATATCCAATCAGGATTACTTGAATTAATTTTACCTGCCAGTAAAACTATTTCACAATTACTTGTATGACATTTTAAACAGCATGTGCAACATATACCAGCATCTCCTTGACAATTACATTTAAAATCATCCACCATCTGGGTGCAGGTCATTTACATATCGGTCACAGTAGACTATCCTACAATAAAAATCCATCCTTAAATAACCTACATGCATTTTGAGAGAGAAATATCTAAACAAATATCCCACATCTAAGTACATCATATTAGAAAAAACAACAGTTTGTCTTGCATTAAAAAAAAGAAAAATGTAAGGAATTATATGAGGCATCTTAAATAGCAAAGTGTTCACAGCACCTACTCCAAGTTTAAGTTGTCAAGTTGACTTGTTGAGGTTATGAGTTTTTTCATGGGTTTAGCACCGTTTGTCTTAATGGTTGCAAATATTCTTCCGTCCTGGGACCAGGCGTTTTCCACCACTGGATTTTTTCTAGCTGTCATTAGAAGTTTGAACTTTTCACCAACCAGATCTTCTGCGATTGTAATTCCTGAACCTTTCAATTTCTTTTTCACGAGCATGATCTCACTCCTTTTCCTGTAAGAACAGAACTTGACCAGTATAGATCTTGGTTTGGCACCCTTGTTGTCCTGTGCGCCCTTGACGTTGTGTGCGCCTTCGATGTCGTGGGCACCTTTGCCTTTGTTGTATGTGCCCTTGATGTTGTGTGATCCTATGGTGTCGTGATCGTCCCTTCTCTTACCAACTCTGTGGGACCTATCGATGTCTTCATGTGTCAGGGGGCAGTCCAGTGTCTTGGTGACGATATCGATGACTATATCATCCGTGCATTCACTTGACGATTCATCAACACCGTAGATTCTGAGTGAGTTACGGCGGCTGTACTGTTCGTGTTCTTTAATCTCCTTTTCAAGGTTGGTTATCTTTTCAGTTGCTTGTTCGAGAGCTTTTTCTATATGCACCCTATTTGATCGTGACTTGTCGATTTCGTTTTGGATGTCAAACAAGGATCCATCTATTTTATCTATTCGTTCCTCGTTTTTGCTTATTGATGTGGACAGTCTATCTCGGATATTCTCAATACATTCTCCAACAATCGTTGTGACGCTGTTCCTTAAAATCAACTGGAATTCCTTGTCTTTAAACAATTCTTTCACCACTTCAACAACGTTACTCCCGGCCGCGGCCGGCCCTTTTGTTTTCGCTTTTTTGTCTGTTTTGGTGTCTGCTTTATTAGTAGATGATCGAAGGGTGATAGAGTTATCATCAGACATCTTGCAGTTCAAAGCTTCATATTTTCTAAAGATCACTCTTAGTAGATGTGAAGGTGGTCTCGCTTCTATTTATCATGAGTGATAGTAGCTGTACAAGTTGCGAATAAACAAACAAGACTCAAGTCTCAACGGCACACACACGGTACGCGTCTCACGTGCCACACGTGAAAGAGTACTTACATCAATCGCAGCGTATGGGACAGGTTCACGATAACTTGATCGGACAAGCAGAATCCAAATCCAAAATCCAGAGTATTAACAGTCTTTCACTTTCCAGAATATATAACAAAGATATCTTGAAGGTGCTATGATATAGCAGTATGTAGCGTAATCCAATAAAATATCAATATCCTTGATTTTACACGCGTTTTCCAAATAGGTTTCCGAATAGTTCTGTGTGTCAAAAATCGTAGTTGTTTATTGACTTAATGATAGTATGTATCACCATATCATAATATCTCAAGAACCACTGGAGATGTAAAAACTTCAAACTTAATGATAGTGTGTATCACCATAGGAAGACAATCTGATTAGATTTTGGAGCACGTAGGTCAAAGGTCAAGGGTCACAGAGGTCAACTTATGAAATTCCATACATTGAGATTGTTATCATGATATCTCAAGAACCACTGGAGATTTAAACTCTAAACTTGTTTAAATTGCTCTATGGCGGAGGCATCATTTTCGACTGCGCGCAGTCAAAATTCCATCTAGTTTTAAAACTAAATTTACTTTGTGTCATTCAACTTTTGATCAAATAATTAAACTACTCTTCATGAATGAGAATTTTGTACCAAATTATAGTCAGTAGCCTACATTTTGCAGATAAACCATAAATATCATTGGCCATTGAATTGTTTTATAATAATTTTTAACATACAGAGTGTGAGAAATCTAAGATTTCTTTCTAAGTCACCTGTAAGAGTGACTTGCATTCCTCGATGGCTGCAACAGGAAGAGGAGAGTCACCACCACTGAGATAAAAAGTAAACTGGTCCCTCTCGTCTCGACTCAGACTGTCAGATATTTGTAGCATCAGACTCCTGCAAAACCAAAACAGAGTGTGGTTACTTTCCTACTTGATTCACGACTAGAGCAATTAATCCCCAAACCCCTTCCACAGATTAAACATTACATCAGAGCTGCCAACCTCCAGCACAGAAAATCAGTAATCACAAGGCTCAAAATCAGTAATTTGGGGTATAAATCAGTAATTTCCTATGCGGCGCTATGAATCTATAAAAAAAACGGCACGCCAATACTGCGCGGACGAATGGGCGTATGATTATCTGACATTTTTGGTGATTATACTCACACAAAGTTGTTAAATATTGAGTTTCAAGTCATCACAACACCGTTTTCCATGAAAAATGGCTTCTATTAAGAGAAAACTTGATACTTTTCTGTCTTTCTCAGCGAGCTACTATAAATCATATTTGAAAATTTAAAAAAAAAAAAAATTAAAAAAAAAAAAAAAAAAAAAAAAAAAAAAAAAAAAAAAAAAAAAAAAATCATTTTTATTTTTTAAATCCGTAATTTGAGACAACATTCCGTAATGGTCGTTAATTTCCGTACCAATTACGGGAAATCCGTACTAGTTGGCAGCTCTGTTACATGCACTGAACATCTAATAAGCCAAGTTTCCCCACTAACTGAAAGGGGTTCATTACAACATTTTTAAGGTCTGTAAGAACGGGTGCCTGTTAAAAATTAAATTTGTGGGGTCAAGAGTAAGAATTGGGGGCCCATATGTTTCGGGCACCTCTCAGTGTTAAGCGTTGAATAAATCCCTCCATACATCATGAACCACAATAGAATATCACAATAAAAATAAGAACTCTAGTGTTATTTTCTTTGCATATTTCAAGAATTGCACTTTATTATCCATTAAAGTAAGAGAAAAAGACTTACCAGTATACTTTTGGTAACGTATATAAAAAAAAATAATTAAAAAGTGTAACAGATGTCATTTATAAAAACATTTCTAAGCCGAAAAATGTGAAGTAAATTGTATATTTTACCCTCTCACTGATAAAACTGATTTCCTCACCTATATGCACTCAACCTGTGGGCCAAATTCCCTTCTTTGCTGCTCCATGATTTGAGGTTCGTCACCAGGTCGTAGCGATTGATTGCCTGCATCAGAACGACCAGCAGTGAAATGTCGTCTGCTTTGATCAGCTCCAGCTTTTCTAGCTCGCGAAACAGGTGGGTGCCCCGGGTCATTTTCTCAAAACTGCAATGGGCAACTCCCAAGTCCTGGCACAGGTACTTCAGCTTCTCTATATCATTCTCTCCTAATCCTTTGCTGATTTTGATTAGTAGACTGCGGAATTTAGAAGAGTCAGCACCAGGGTTTGCATCGCATTGAACACCAGCACTCAGTGCACTGTCACTGTAACTCCTTGGAAACGCCATAGTTGGGTCAGGATGCTAATGTCACATTGGTTCCCTTGTCAATGTCAACATAGATCTTCGAAGTTGGAGAATAAAGAAAAGATACAGTTTCCTCAGAAAAGATGACATTTTTTCCTTATGAATTGTAATGTGTAACAATTTACTACTTTGCAAGTGTGTCATTTTTAAATCATTTCTGCAAAAAGGAAAGACCCAAATAGAGTTGATTGGTCCAGATATAAGGTGATGTGAATTCATTTATATAAGTATTTAAAGGGTTTGGCATCAATTCATTACTATGGAGTATCTAGATAAGAAAGTGATGGAAGCTAGCTTTGCCTTTGATCAAATACAATGGGAACTCTGTGATTTATCTGTGTAATTGGGTTTTTACAGACATGTATCAATCAGATGTGATTATTTACATCTTACAGGCAGCTCTCCATAATAAGTGTTCAATAATGTTTAACAATTTTGCAATTTTCATATTTCTATAAATAGAATATTCTGGAAAATCTGTGCCCAAAATATAGATCTATAATTCAACAGTTTTGTTTACAAATATTTCTATGAATTAGATTGATTCTTTCATTAAAGGGATGTATCTTTGCCTCAGATTCTAAACAAAATCCTGGATTTAGCTCATATGCTGCAAACATAATTATAAACCTGTAGGTCAGTCAGGAATCCCATGACTTTTACAAGCCAATCGTCTGTCTGATGGTAAAACCAGTCACTCAAACATTTTTACTTTTTGAGGCACTTAATTCATGATCATTTTGAAGAGCAATTTTATTAGAGCTTCAATATGATACCATATCACAGACACTGATAACACGTAATGACGTAGGCCGGGCCATGCATCTCAGATTTGTAAAACTGGAAACATTGTTAAACGATGCCTTTAACAAACAAGAAGAGGGATATTTGGGGGTGGTGTCCGGATGCCTAACAAAAATAAAATCGTCACTTTGGCCTTTGGAGTTCAAAAAGTACATGCATCAAATAGCACATATACCAGATCCCGGCCCATACCTCGCAGGCCCAGGAGAAATCAATCATTCAGTAGTTTATCATCAGTGTATGATGGTCATAACTTGAAACTTAATTTCATTTATCAGATTTCCTTAAATAACTTCTTTAAGTACTTAATTCGGCGCTTTATTCAGAAACCTATCAAAATTTGACCCGTAACTCCGGCGTGGAGATACCCTACTAAAACATACCCAAAATGAAGTAAATATTCATTAAATGTCCAAATAAAGATCATGAGTTAAAATTTGTTATGTTTATTACCTGTATTATAATTTTCTTGTTATTTTGGGAGTATTTTTCGGAAAAACATTGATATTAGTAGACCTATGTACACTTTTTCACAGGATTCACGGCAAACCGCTGCACAATACAATTACATACCGCAGAGCTACCAAGTATCACGCATAAGGCGTGACATCACGCCTTTCGAGGGTCTGGAAATGCTCTCACGCACGACGCGCACGCTAGATTTAGAAAAAACGCTATATATGTGTGTTATACTCTCGCCCGCGCGCCGAATCATGAAAATGTCACGCATTGCTAATCTTTGAACTTGCATGCGTCTCTGATACCGATGGTGGGTTGCAGGCGGGCGCGTCTGTGTGAAGTTATCTACCGTAATGCCTCAGATCCTCATTAGTTACGGGTCAAATTTTGGATAGGTTTCTGAACAAGCGCCCTTAATTCATTGATGTTATTAAAAAACAGATTTAGAGTCTAACAATTTGATATCTAAAAATATTAGGTCTACTGGAAAAAAAACAGATCAACTTTTCATATAATTTCAAAATAACATCGAAATTCATTAATTGTAAAACATCGAAATATAGCAACTTACTTTCAGATAATCTGACCGTCTTCTTCAACGTAGAAAAAACTGGAAGCGATGAAATCGGCAATCACTAGCAAAACCTTCACTCACGTCACTATTACAAGCCGTACGATGCATGTGCTTCAGTCTCTGTAGTACGCAATGTATAGAGGCGATCAGCTGTGCAGCCAGACGCAGCAGTCTCAGCGGAACAACCGTCGACACACAAAAAAGAGCAGAAATTAAACTCGCGAAAAAAGAAGTTGAGGAACTCAAATTTGATCGATTGTATCTCTCCTGTCATGGCATGATGATCATCTCTATGTTTGGTATCATTCGAAAGTGTGTTTATTTCTTTTTAAAATGATACCCTATTTGATAGCCTAAGTAAGGCACGTACAGTTGACTCCTTACACAAGTGCTGAAAATTGTAGAGTTTGATTTCGCTTCCACGCGCACTTGCTATCTCTGTAGACTAGACGCACAATATAGATCGGATGGGAATTCCCCGAATTCCCCCTACGTCTCGCGCAGGCTGGGAATCCCAAGCTTCCGCTTCGTGGAATCCCACATGGAATACCCCCATAACAGCTTCCCCCCTCTCGAGTCCGAAAAAAAAGAGTAAAATAAACCCTCGAAAAAAGTTGGGAAACTCAAGTTTGATCGGTATATCTCTCCTGTCGGGCCCATCATCCAGCCGATCTGCTCTATGTTTGGTATTATAAGAAAGTGTGTTTCAGGGGCGGCGATTTCATTTCATGACTAAAGTATTGTGGCGGACACGGTTCGCCACCTTGGCTTGACACGGAATATTTGTCAGGATGCCCCGTATCTGGCCAGGCGCTCTCCGTCCGTTTGGACAAAATATATGCCCGTAGCTTAATGGCTGGAGTTATTAACTGCTCACACGTATCTCAACAATCATTCGTCCATCGACTACAATCGGTCACCTAAACGTCTCGTTCACAGCATCAATCAATTGAGCATCCTTCGAACAATCAATTTCCCTTGTCAACACTTGTCACAGGTTCTCGTCCCTTGGTTTCACTGCTCCAAGAAATCAAACCAATCATGATGTGTAGGTTGAAAGTCTTTATTGCGATCCATTCAACAATCGGGTAAACTCAGTACAAGTACAGTGCAAACTATGTGAGACTTAGCTTAGAGGCTTAGGCCAGGCCAACTATCAGGCCAACTATCAGGCCAACTATCAGGCCAGCCTCGGTGAGGCTGGCCTGTATCGGATACAGTGCAGTGGAAAGCCCTGGATGCACAACCTTGACCATCGTACCAATTTCCCTATACATAAACGTGTAAAAGAACAATTATGTCCTCGTTAGTAAAACAACACTTCAACACAATATTTCTGCTAATCCCATAAAATCTTCACATATAATCTTCAGTATAACCCCTTATTCCTGATTAGATCACTACTATACAAGTAATATCCCCAAAAGAAACATGATAATTGCACCAACATGATCAAAATATGTAATTTATGCTCATTTTCCTTCAGTTTGGTAATTGCTAAATCAACGATGCACCATATTGCTATAGCGCATGCTCGTACAACAGAAAATGCTTAACCTTCGTCCAATACTAAAACCCTGATTTGTTACAGTATTTGCGATCAGATAGAGCAAAGCAACTGAGCAAAAATTGGCATGGTGCCCCGAGGGGCCACCCCGGCGGTGGTCAAGGGGCGGAGCCCCTGAAGCTTAGAGTTTTTAGCCGGGTTTTTAGGCATGTAATAAGGGTCAGATGAGCATTATGTTGATACCTTATTTGTGACACTTGCATGCAGGTCACTAATCAGGTTGGGGTCCAGGGGGCGAAGCCCCCAGAAACTCAGCGGATTTAGGCATTAAATTACGATCAGATAAGCATCCAGGGGTTGCCTTAGGGCCCTTGGTGGGGTCTAGGGGGCGGAGTCCCCGGAAGCTCAGGGTTTTAGTCAGATGCGCACCCAGTGGCCCGCCTTAGGGCCCTTGGTGGGGCAAAGGGGGCAGAGTCCCCAGAAGCTCAGAGAAAATCATGGGATTTCAGCAACATTTAGTCACTGGTATCGAATTAGAAATAAACCACGTTTGAATTTTATCGGGGGGGGGGGGACTATAGTATGAAAACATACGATACACTTTTTAACACTTCGCTTTTCTACAATATTCACTTTTATATCATTGGAAGGATATTATGCGAGGGAGCATAGCCGCCGAGCCAGAAGATTTTTGCACCTTTATTTGTCTAAACGCTGCACTCTTGGGCCCTCCAAGCCTAATAGTGTGTTGCAGTCTTTAGTCAGGGTTTGCTGTACATTATTTTTTTGCACTTTTTCATATTTTCCGGGGGGGGACGTGTTCCCCCCCCCCCCCCCGTCCCCCGGGATCGCCGCCCCTGGTGTGTTTATTCCTCTTTATTATATCTCGGATTTCTGCTACTGCATTCACGAAAAATATTGTGTTCTGTTGTTGTTTTTGTTTTGTGTATACCCAATAAACAAAATCACGTGAAAATCACGTCAATATCAAGGTATCGACTTGAGGAGAGTTACGTTCTTCAAACACCTGACATTTACGTAAATGTGTTAATACGTTTATTGCACTAGGTCACTTAAAACACACGTACACTAAATCACGCAATTGTCACTGCAATATCACCATTATAATAACGTGATTATCTCTACCTTGGAGACCATGGTTTGTAAACCTAATACTCCCGTGTTTATTTGGTTATGAAATTACATCTTCATAAACGAATTTATCGCGTCACAGAAACACGTGAAGCGTTAGTGATAGTTTTAGTCAAAATATCTGCGTGAAATTCACGTGAATATTACGAGGCTGACTTGAGATGAATCATGTTCTTCATTCACGTGAAATTTACGTCGAAGAGGAAATATGTTACTGTAACCCGCGTTCAACCCAATAATTACGCAAATGTTACACAATAAATGAACCAAAATAATGACGTTCTCATCCCGTTTCTGAACATCGTGTCTTGGATTTTCCATAATTACGTCCAGGCGCGCCGGAAGCAGTTTGGGATTAGAGGGGGTGGGGGGCGGGGGGGGGGGGGGGTGCAAACATCCCAGAAGAGAAAGCTAGTTGCAACTGGTCCAGTTGATGAACCAGTTAATGCCAACTGGTAACCCTGGAAATTGAAATGGGCTAAATGATCCAGTTGATCCAGGCCAGTTAGAATTCAACTGGTCTAGCTGAGCCATTGGAACTATTTGGTAAAACTTCCAACCAGTTGAATGGCAACAACACTTCAATACTGGTACGTCTGTATTTCCAATGTTAAGGCATTGGTAATAAGTAGACTTACATAATTTAATTAATCGACATTTTTTTCATATACTTGTATTTTATTGAAATTATTTTAGTTCATAGTTAATGTTTCCCTTATTCATGTTCAACAGTCAGTCATCAACTGGTGCAACTGGAAATATGCACACAGATCAGTTATCAACTGGTGCAATGAAAATATGCAAACAGTCAGTTATCAACTGGTGAGCATATTAATATGCCAACAGTCACGGGGTTATCACCACGGAACTTAAATGGTAACTGTGAAACCATCAAGACACCCAGGAATAACTCATTTTCACACCTGGAAAACGCGGAATACCCAGCTTATATTAATAATCCGTCTGAGTCACGAGATCATCACCGCGGAACTGCTGGCAACTTTGACTACCATTTAAATAGGTGTTTTAAGACACCTAATAATGACTAATTTTTCACACCTAAAAGTCACGTATGCCCAGCTTAGATTAATAATCCGTTTGAGTCACGAGATCATCACCGCGGAACTGCTGGCAAATTTGACTACCATTTAAATGGGTGTTTTAAGACACCAAATAATTACTAATTTTTCACACCTAAATATCACGGATTCACAGCTTAGATTAGTAATCAGTTTTACTACGTGATCATCACCAAGAAAGTTATGGTAACTTTGAAACTATTTAAAAAGGTGTTTTAAGACACCTATAATTACTAATTTTTCACATCTAAAAGTCACGTACGCCCAGCTTAGATTAGTAATCAGTCTTAACTACGTGATCATCACCAAGAAAGTTATGGTAACTTTGAAACTATTTAAAAAGGTGTTTTAAGACACTAATGATTACTAATTTTTCACACCTAAAAGTCACGTATGCCCAGCTTAGATTTATAATCCGTTTGTGTCACGAGATCATCACCGCGGAACTTATGGCAACTTTGACTACCATTTAAAAAGGTGTTTTAAGACACCTAATAATTACTAATTTGTCACACCTAAAAGTCACGTATGCCCAGCTTAGATAAACAATCCGTTTGAGACGGTCACGAGATCATCACCGCGGAACTTATGGCAACTTTGACTACCATTTAAAAAGGTGTTTTAAGACACCTAATAATTACTAATTTTCACACCTAAATATCACGTGTTTACAGCTTAGATTAGTAATCAGCTTGAGCCACGTGATCATAACCAAGAAATTTATGGTAACTTTGAAACCATTTAAAGAGGTGTGTAAGGCACCTCATAATTACTAATTTAATATAACCAGAGATTCACGGACAGAACAATAAGACGATGAGCCGGTGTAAGTAACGTGATTATTACCATCAACCTTGGATAACCTGTGAAACCAATCGATAAAGATGCTTACAAGACCAAATAATTACGTATTTATCACCACCATCGGTTAACGGACAAAAAACTCGTTGCTTGGTCAAGTGGTTATTTGGTCATAAACACTTGATTTACAGAGGTAAGTGGAATCACGTTACTCTAGTCGCGTGATAAATTGGTGGTTTTTAGGTTAGATGAAAACGTGAACAGGAGTACATTTTTTGTTTAAATGAAGGCACGTGTCGATAACGTTTAAATCTAGTTCAAAAAGCACCATTCTTTAAAATCACTTAAAATACACTCCCAAAAGAGGTTACTTTTTAGTGTTTTGTTTATTGGGTAAGTACTTTTTCTTGTGTGTATATGCAGACTTCAATATGAGTCGCTAACTGGTATCAAGAGATCTGGATTTGTGTTAAAGAGAGAAAAATAGGAGGAAAAAAAGAAGAGATTCTAAATTGAGAGTGAGAGAATACCGATTGATGTATGGTATATTGTGATATACCCCGTTCCATGGAGCGTCTATTGTGTTGCTTGTTATTTGATAACGTGCAATATTAAAGGGTAGTGAATTTCATCATGACCATTTTGCAAATGAAAATAATGCCTAAGAGACAATTTTTTTAACCTAATAATGAACAAAAATGTTCTCATTTTGAAAAAATATACTGTTACTTAATATGAAATGTGCAGAGTTGGTGCTAGGCTGAATGGAGTTGGTCCCAGGATCGACGGAGTGGGTGCAGGTTTAGACGGAGATCCAGTGGCAGCGGAGCGTCTTTCAAAGTGGGGGTGCACCCGAATAAAAAGGGCACTTTCCGGGGAAGGGGCACCTACATTGGCATAACCTTTTTTTTTAAATTCCTAAACAAAGAGCAAATTTCAAAAGGGCATGAGGTTATAT